CCATCTATTCTATCTAAGAGGAACTATTTCACTCGGTATGTATCGCACTTCATGGCTAAGTATACATTGCTTCTTCATTATACAATGCTGTATGTTTTCCGGAGGCACATCAATAAATAACTATGACAGATAACATTACTGAATTAATCAAATAATTAAATTTTTATGAACTTTTCTCTTCATTTTTTGACCTAAGCATATATTTGAGTATAAAATTAGGTTTAACGCGAATTAAAAACTGGCCTTTAATGATTAAAATTTCAAACGTAGATAAACTATTTTATAATAAATGTATAATATTGTTGTAACTGACAATTAATTAAAACTGACCAAGCAATTTTAAGTTAAAAATTGTGGAAGCACGTGGTCCCAAAATTACCAAAGAAATATGTCATAGTTGCTTCACGAAATTTATTTTGGAATAAATCACTGAAGAGTTTCATTAAAAAATTTTTTAATGAAATACATTCCTTTGTCTACAAAAAATAATAATATATTTTTCATTAAATTTGCGAAAGTAAATAAAAAAGAGTATTATGCTACAGTATTGTTATATCAATATTATCAACATTTCATACTAACTTTCTCAGAAGAAACGATGAATGTTTGTTTGAATGGTTTATCAACTGTAATCAATCACTTTTAGTGAAATAAAACAATAAATTTTTTAAATAATACTTATGTATAAAGTGGAGTATTTTGTTTATTATCTCTCCATACTCCATACATATATCCACGTCATGGTTAAAATCGAGAAACTATTAATTAATATGAATTTTCACGAGAGCGATAATCAATGCGCAATAACATTTAATTAAGATTTATAAAAAAAAGTTAATTATTATTAAATTACAGGATAATGAAAGCCGAACAGTTGTTTATTTTGAACGAACAGTTATTGAATAGTTCTAAACTATTAGAAAGAAAAAAAAAATATCAAAATATCTATAGTTCGTGCCAAATTGAGGGTCAATTTTTTTACAATTAAAAAAAAAAAAAACGAACAAAAAATTTTTTTGATAGAACAATGAAGAACAGTTAACGAACAGTTGATAGAGCTAAAAAAAAGTACAAAAAAATAATTTCCCCCCGCCAACTTAAGAATCATCACTTCTTGTTGGTCATCTATAGCCACAGATCAGAAACTAACATAAGTTAACTATAGTCAAATATATTTATACACCATATTATATTTGATGCATTTGAAAACGTGAATTAGTTTTCAAATGCATCAGCAGAGTGCGCTAAGTCAGTGTTGAAAAGAAAAATGTTCTGAATAGAGTTAGCAACCTCATTAATCATTTAATGTATAAATAATGTGGTAAACAATAATAATTGGATGAAAACTATTTACGCTTATTTTAATAATCAAATTATTTCATTAACATTTTTTTACTGAGATAAGAGAAAAATTTCTAAAAAAATTATATACTTTTTCAAAACCATTGCAATGTTTACAAAAGTATAATCCTGTAAAATAAATTTGTTTACAGATCCGAATTTTAAAATGAAATTGTTTTCATATTTTAAATGTGGAATATAAAAAAGTAACTATTTAACACTTCATCCATACTTATATTTATTTTTTTAGCAGTTTGAAACAACTTTAATTATTTTCAATAAGTATCTACGACGAAACGAAAGCCTTACAAATTTTTCAACAATAATTAATAATATTTACTAACGAAAATTTCGATCAATGCCAACTTAAAGAAAAACACTGGTCAATTTTCTGTCACTGTGTTGGTATTGATTGCGCCTAGCACGCAAGAGCATTACTTTTGAGAGTACTCAATTGTGCGAAGCGTTGCTTGTAGTTGGAACATTCAACGTTGAGCATTATGATTTATGCCACATAATGCGCTCTAGTGCTGTTATTGGAAAACTTTATATCGTATAACTTAATATTATCTTCAATACACTCAATAAACAACTATAAATAGTATGTCTAACGCAAGAACTCATCAGTACCAATCTAGTGGATATTATTAAAAAGATACAGGATGTAGATATTTTCGAATTTTAATAAGAATAAAAAATGACATTTTTTTATAAAAACGCAAAATAAATTATAACTCTGCAGGGGTTGAGCTTAGAGACCTCCCATAGATTTTTTTCCAGCTGTTGACCTCATCTATCCCCTATTTGCGTTTGATCCACTACTTTTTGACCTGTATATCACTCATGACTTAAAGTTAATTTCTCAAATTAAGCAGTTAGCAGTGCGCAACTGAAAGTTGAACACAGTACCCTTTGAATAGTAGTTATTTAAAATTAGTTTAATAATTAAGTCATAAATCAAAAATAAGAGATTTGTGAGTTAATAAAACAAAACACATTTAAAATAAAGAAACACGTTAGCACAACTTTTTTATTAAAATAGACAATAATTGAGATATTTACACGAGACTAGATAGACTATGATTACGAGTACATTATGCAGATTATTGACTTAATTTATATACTTAACTAGAAAACTTGCATTTAATGCAATATTAGTTTTGGCAGTTCACATTTGATTGGCATTGGATTCAAACAATTTAAGAAATTAAAATATACTGTTGTGTACCCCTTGTCAATTATTATTATTTGTAGACATTGTGTATTTCCGCTTAAACAATAATAAAACTATTAATGTTGCCGGTAAAATTAAATGAATTCCCTTAAATATCGTGATGCAACAACAGAGAGAACGGAACAATCCGTATTTTTTTATTGTTTTTAGTCTGTAAAGGTGCGCTTAAACGAGGGCAATAATTGCTCGGCGACACGAATGCACCGATCTGGAGCAATTTCAATAAATTATTTCATATCGCTCAATGTCGCAGATACGAATTGACGAATATCCAATGGAATTGGAAATTCCTAGCAATTTTTGTATATATCTCATTCGCACTTGTTTGTTTTGCGGCTTGCCGTCTTGTTTCCGCGGGGAGAGCAAAAGGTTAATTGATGGGCTAACTTTATTCAAAAGTAATTCAAAGTCTGTTCGTGACATTCTAGTAAAGTTTTTGAATAATATATCATCTAATTCTTTACACAATGAAAATTGCAGCCTCTTTGCCAAAAACGATCGCACCCAGATACGCCTATTCCTTTTTCTTTCTTTTTTGTTTTTGATTAATAATAAAAAAAAGCGCTACAAGCCGCCGCAGCAAGAACAATGTCGTCCATAGCGAGTGAATACTGAAATGCTCGTGTAGGACAGTATTGCCTAGTTGATGAAGTTGCGCCATGTCGCTCAATATTGTATTGCGCAGTATTGATGCTTGTTGGCGTTGCCGTAAATTGCTTGATATAGTCGTGACGTCATAGTTGACGAGTATTGACTGGAATTGAGCAATTTTAGTTGCCCGTATAAGCGCACCTTTAGAGTGTTATTAAACAATTATATATATATTGTTTGACATTTGTCACCTTGTCAGATGCGCTTTATTGAATACAATGTGAACTGTAGTTATAAAAATGCGTTTTGGCCACAATATAATAGAGACTAAGACCCCCGAGTTTGTTTCGACATTTCTTCTCAGGGCAGTCAGTTAGGAAATGTCGACTTCATCTAGTTTAGGAAGACTTGTAAAAGTGATATTAGTCCTACTTGCAAGATAAACTTTTCATTTCATTTCATATTTAATATATCATTAACACGAGTATCACAGTGAAATTAAATACGACTTAATAGGATTGATTACATTCAATAAAAAATCACACCCGCCATTTGTCTCGATACTATTATTTTGGCACAAGTATACAAAACAGGACTAAATAAATGCAGTAATACCTGTTTGAATCTCGAAGCTAAACATGAGACCAATTCAAAAATTATTTAATAGCATTTGATTGTAGATTTATTATTTTCTTGCAATTTTTTTTATTAACAATCAATGAAATTACTGAGAGTCTAATAGTTTTTGAAGTTATACTTCTTTAGGCGCGTTATGAAAAATGGATGAGAGTGAAATTTTACGATGCGTGCGCACCGTGACACAAAATTAACAGAATAAAGTTGCCCACGGAAGATGTGGCATTGGACATGATTAAGAAACAACATTCGAATAATAATAGAATTTATATTACACTTAATGTAAGAATAATAAAAAATATTTATTTATTTAATTTTTCAAATGTAAACTGAACTTTATTGACTATAATGACTCCTTTCCAGTCTCTGATTATTTAATTGTAATTAATTATTTGCATGCAATCAAAAACTATTTTTAATAATGCCAAAGAAGTATAACTTCTTACGCGCGTACATAAGTACACGCACCCTTTTTTTTATAGATTTTCCACAAATATTCCTGAATACTTGAAATGTTGTTTTAAAAAAATAACGATGACTATAATTAAACCCTCACAATAGGTTTGCTGTTCAAAAGACAAATTATAAAAAAAAAGTGTGTGTGTGTCAGCTACGACGCACGATTGGAGTTTACTCCTTACGAACGATAAAATGGCGATAATGTTCTGTGGCTGTCGACCATATTTTCATACTAAAGGTGGTAAGAATATATGTTTTTATAATATAAATGTTTGTAGTAGTAATAAAACGTACCTACATCATTTATGCCCAAATAGGATTTTCTTTCTGTGACCAAAGTTACCTTTATAGTAAGAGAAGAATAAGAATGAACAATCTTTTTAGTTTTAATTTCACTGACCATTACTATTGACAAAACTCTATGGCACGCTAGACAATCTACTTTTATTTTTTAAATGTGAATTCAAAATAGAAAAGTCTGTGTAATGTATTCCATCTCATTCTTTTACATGTTCAATCCATTTGTCTCTTTCTACATAACGCCTCAACTTTTCGTGTTACACTTGATTTTACTCCTCATAATATTTCCGTACCGGGCCTTATAACTCAAATCGTTTCTTAAGGAGTAAACTCCAAAAATGATAAACAAAGATTGCTTCCATCAATGATGATTACTTAAAAAGCTCACTATAGCTCCACTTTGCAGCGGCTTTGTTGTATCAATAGAGGATAATGATGACTACAATTGAATTCTCACAATAGCACCATGCTGTTCATCAGGTACACCATGTACCCGTCTCGTGTGTGCTCTGACTTTATTTGGTTTCTCAAAGCGGTGTTCACATATTGGACAAAGGTACCCATACCGTTTCCCGGTATGTGCATTGTGCTTATGTATTTGGAGAAACTTCTTCGATTTTAACCTTTTTGGGCACATGTCACACTGAAAAAGATACCCAATATATATATAATTCTTAAAAGTTTTGCAGTGAAACTTCTTTAGGCGCATAAGGGATTTTTTTTAACAGATAAGTCACGAAGATGTGTAGCGTTTTTATCAAAAAAAAGGAAGAGAGCGTCTGAGACCGATTGAGAGAGAGAGAGAGAAGGGCGAATCACCTTATAGATTTTATATTTTTAAAATTAAAATTTCGTAAAGATAATTTATGAAATATTAGTATTTTATATTTTACGCAAAATAATTTATTGAAATTTCAAATGACGAATTGTAAATTAAAATGCCACGTGTTTTTAATATACAAATTTAAAAATACTTTTAATATTTTAATGACAATTAAATTCATTTAATTCCTAACATATCTTCCTTTTTCCCTCCCTCTAAGTCTCGGAAATCTAAAGTTTTAGATTTGTATAAATATGAATATAAAGACTAAAAAATACAACTAGTTTGCTAAAGAAGTTTCACTTCTGGCATGTGTACTTTATACGCACACAATTTTTGAAGTTATACTTTAGGCGCGTTATGAAAAATTGATGAAAGTGAAATTTTACGATGCGCGCGCAGCGTTACACAAAATTATCAGTATGAAGTTGCCCACGGAAGATGCTTCAGCATTGGATTTAATTTCAAAACAACATTCGAATAATAATAGAATTTATGTTACTCTTAATGTAAGAAAATAATAATAAATATTTATTTATTTAATTTTTCAAATGTAAACTGAACTTTATTGACTATAATGACACCTTTTCCAGTCTTTGATTATTTAATTGTAATTATTTGCATGCAATCAAAAACTATTTTTTATAATGCCAAAGAAGTATAACTTCTTACGCGCGTACATAAGTACACGCACCCTTTTTTTTTCTATTTAACTGTTTGGATTTCATTGTTTGATATAGTAAGCCAATTAAAAAATTACGAGGCTTTATACATCCTTATTAGTAAAGAAACAATGTATGAAAACCTGTAGCGTAACTGATAATCCAATTTATTTAGATCGCTTTGGCTTTTAAATCCTTTATATAAAAAAGCTAAAAACAAAATACTCACTTGAAAGTTCTTTTCTGGTAAGTGTATAGCTATGTGTTGTACAAGAGTAGATCTACGATAGAAGCTGGCTCCACAATGATCACAAATGTACGGTCTTTCACCAGTGTGTCTACGCTCATGTATCTGAAAAATTTGTACACACTCTTGTATTGTTTGGCAATTATAAATAAATCTCAATATAATATGGCTGTTATGACATGAAAAGAAAATCAAAGTTTATTAATTGTTGTGTGTTTAATTCACACCAAAATACAAAGTGACATCAACAAATATTTAGTAATTACACCAATTGTTTCGCCTCTTTTCCATGAATTAAACTACATCTAATTAAGTTGAATTATATTTACTTGCAAATAGACACTAGAGATATAATACAATATTGTCTATTAGATTTTGAGATTTATTGGTAAATGAACGACTTACAATAAGGGCCTCTTTTGTAGCTGAACTATATTCACAGTAAGCACACTTATGTATTTTGCCCAAGCCGTGTCTTGCTCTTTTATGCTCTTGTAATTGATTATTATTCCTACATCGTTTGCCACAGGCCTGAAAACAAATTGAACTGAAATTTAATAACAGAAAATAGTTTTTTTTTTTAAAGACAATTCACACCAATTGACCTAGTCCCATGCTAAGCTGGTGAAGCTTGTGTTATGGGTACTAGGCAACGGATATACATACATATTATAGATAGATAGACATATAAATACATATTTAAACATCCAAGACCTAAGCACAACACCAAATGCTCATCACATCGATGTACGTCTCAGCCGGGGATCGAACCCGGGACCCATGGATTCACAGTCAGGGGTACTAACCACTAGACCAATGAGTCATCAAATATATATATAGTATATTTCATTACAAGTGCGGAAAAGCCTGTCAATGCAAAGGGTTCATACAGAAAGTCTTCGGTAGAATTTTTTTATTGATATGAACTGAAATAAAGCCTTACCTAACTCATTGAATCAAATCATAAAATCTGATATTGAAACAAATTCGTATCATAAAATCTTCTATGATTTTTTTTTAGTAAAAACTTTGTGGTTGTTTTATTCTTTTTAATAGACATTATTTTGACAGTTAGGAAAGAAAACGCACTAGTTCGGAAAAGGTAAAGAAAAAGCACGAGTGTGTAATAGCCCACATCCCGAATGCTATACGTCCCTGCAATACGCTACTTTTTGAGCAAGTGTATGAAAAAAATACATTACATTAAAAATGCTGCATCATTGACAAGCTTTCTTCACAATCAGATTTACTAGGTTTACTAAACATAAATGCACAAATGTTCAGACATCTGGTGATTTTGTGTGAAAATAAATATACTACCTCACAAACACAGAAGTTAGTATGAAATCGCATGTGTGCCCTATATGTTGCCTTCATACGAAATTCCTTATTACATATATTACACTTATATAATGTTGCTATTGGTACTTTGGCACGCTTTTTCTTGAGCAGGGTTTTCTGAAAAACAACACAATTTCTTAGTTTAGCCATCAAATGGCGGCGTCCATGCGTCGGGTTCTCTCTCCCTAAAATATGGCGAGGGGGCCGATGGCTGGCCATGCGACATACTCGTGAACGGGTGCTACTTGTGGTGACTGGTCGTACTTGAATTCGTGTATGCGGTGATGTTAATTATTTCGACTATGTGTTTGCGTGTTGTTCCCACGAGAATGTAAGTGCGTGCTCCTATTTCACCATGCCTCCTGCTGATAGGGGACAAGTCTTTGTTTTTATTTATGTTATTATTATTAATTACTTAAAATGTCATGTGGAACATGGTGTAATGGTTGCAGCTCCTTACAAACGTTGTGTAAAAAAAAAAAAAAAAACATGGCGATTAAAAAGAGTGGCGGAGAGTTTATTGCCAGTTCTTCTCTTCCGTTCTACGCCCTTGATTTGAGAACTGGCAGTAAATGTTAAATTAGAAGCATTAATATTTATTTCTTTAATAACGAATCACAAGTGTACATTGTGTTACCTACGTGAATAAATGATTTTTTAATTTGAATTTGAAATTTGTTAAGCTAAAATTAACCAAATTTTAATTATGTTTATTGTCAATTAATCTGCATCAGTGTTTCACAGCAGCATTAATTCACCAACTTTAGGCTTGCTGAAATTCTTACGCCCCCCTTCTACGTAAGATACATAATCTTAAATTTACACCCCTGTGGGGTGTGGGCCCAACATTGGGAAACACTGATCTACATAGTAGTGACTTATGATATATGCCAGAATTTACCACTATAAAGCCACCTTTTTTTTTTTTAATAATTAACAAATGTGATTAAAATATTACCTGTTTAACTTCCTTAGGTTTTTCGTCATCATAATCATGATTGTCAAAATCGTCATCATAATAATTATAACTATAATCATTTGTTTCAATATGATCTTTTTTTTTAATTACATTATCACATATTTTTTCTGTTTTAATATCTTTATGTTTCATTGTTAACAAGGTTTTTTCAGCTTTATGACTTTTTCTACGGAACTTTAATGCCATTCTTATTATATCTGAACACATTTTGCATATTTTCTGTGATAAGCCATCCTGGTAATTAATCTGGAAGGAATAAATAATATATGAGATGTTTAGTTAGGTAAAAAAAATGGGCGAATTTTACACAACAGCCAAAAAAGGTCAGGGCCCATCTTTTAAATGCTATTACCGTTTAAATACATAAACAATAAAATAATTGTGGAGGTAAAAGTCAAAATCTGTTAAAAACTAGATTTTAATGGCAACAAAGGGAAAACAAACTACTGTTATAAAAAAGGAGTCAATATTATACCATAATTTTATGCAAACTCACCTTCAAGCCTGTGATAAGTTTCAGATCTTGCGTCCGTTTTATAATCGTTTCCTTATTAATAAAGATATCACTAAGATTTTCAGCACTTAAGCAAGTCCTACAACAATCCATTTTAGATGTTTTTATTTCACTTTGCTGCCTTGCAATTCGTCGTTTACTAGCCAAACTATGCATCATCATTAAAATTGGCACCATTTTACATTTCTGCTTTAATACAAAATATTAAATATGTACAGAGGAATTTATCAACATATTTCATCGTTAATGTGATATTTGAATTTAAAAATTATTTTGTTCTCTACTTCATCATTCGGCGAAAGTCACAAATGAAACACTAATTACATTTTACAAAAAGGTAAACAGAAAAACATAGAATGCTGCACAGATTAAATTGCTGCATCGGCAATAGTCATAAGTATAATCTTAAATCTACAGTTTTAGTTTAAACTCTCTGGTCTATCTACTACGGAGTACGGACTACACTACCAAAAAATACAGTGGGGAAATTAATAAAAATTATAATAAACCGAATAAAAATACTCAAGACTTGGCATAAAGGTCTATATACCAGCCACTAGGTCATAAACTCCAAAAAAAAAAAAACTACACTACCAATTACCAAATCTAAATAAATAGGGGGCCTCAAAGCCTAGCGCCTAGCGGTCTTATTAAGTAGCAGCTAGGTGAGGGGTACCGGGTTCGATTCCCGGTTCGAGGGCAAGTTTTAATTTAAATTTGTTCTCGGCCTTTGGGAGGGTTGTGCGGTACCGAGCGAGTGCTTAAACCGTACATGGAGGACACGGTCGAATTTCTAAAAGACAAGCACGAAATATAAAAAATCCTATACTTGACGCTGACTAATACACAAATCGTGCCAGAGCCATGAAAAAAAAAACTAAATAACAATAATGAATGTTTTGACTTTTGTTTATGATTGTTTAGTTTAGGAATTAGGACATAATATGACGGTTTTACATAAAAATAAAACCGATATTATGTGCCGAGAAGGAAAACATACAGCATTGTATAATGAAGAAGCAATGTATACTTAGCCATGAAGTGCGATACATACCGAGTGAAATAGTTCCTCTTAGATAGAATAGATGGCGCTGTAATCGCCTCAACTTCATACTTATCTTTACCAGCTAGGACGTAGTCATTTCCACAGTCATAGAGTCTTCACCAGGAAGAGCTTCCTACAATGCTGTATGTTTTCCTTCTCGGCACATAATATCGGTTTTATTTTTATGTAAAACCGTCATATTGATGTGCCTCCGGAAAACATACAGCATTGTATAATGAAGACGTGTTTGTTATCTGCTGGTGGATGTATAAAGTACAGTATAAAACACAACGCTATGATGATTATGAAGAGTGAAAGTCAGGCTTTAGCTAAAGACGTTATTGTTTATATAACTATTTTATTTATTTGCCAATATTCTTAATCAAAGCATAAGTACAATTATTATATATTCTTGATTACGGTATAAATATAACTTTTTTTTATTGAGATTTACAATTAACATTATAATATTATAAACTTCCTATAATCACAACAAGGTATTTCTATAATTACGTTGGTGCAAATGTATTAAAGAAAGAGCTGCATTTTTCTTTACGAGAGTCTATCTCGCGGCAGTAATGATTAAAAAATGTATTTGAAGATTTCCAATTACCCCGTGCTAAAATATCATCTATTGGTTGATTTTCGACCCAACCCAAAGAAGCTACTGCTGCCCTACAACTCCCTGGAGATGCATAGATTCCACTATCTTTGAGAACCGTGCGCACCCAATTTCCGATTATGGTTCGCGAAGCAGCTTTTATTTTGTTGTTAATGGATATAAAAATATTGTTTAAATTTTTTACTTGAGATCTTCTTGTATTACTCATAGCTATTTGGAGTCTAACTAAAGTGACAGGGCATATGTTTTTATCGTGGTGTGAAAGTCCTGTTGATGGCGTCTTGAGTGTGTGTCTGTCTTAGATCCGAATGTCGGTGTTAAATAAATGTTATCACCATCATCCACGAAATGCTCGTCAGTAATTTTTAATAAAGTTAAATCGTGAACCCTACGGCCCGATGCTAAAAGCAATACAGTGGCTGTTCTGCGAGCCGTATCGAATAAAGTGTCCTTAGGAGGGTTGGAAGAAAGCCAGTCTAGTACTATACGCGGGTCCCACGTGACGGATGATTTCACGACTTTTGGTTTAGCTACTCCTATTGCCCTGAGGGTGTGTTTAATAATAAAATTTGAAAATGTTTGTTGTTCTACATGGGGACCGCAAAAAGTTAAAATTGCCGATTTGTGAACAAGGATAGTTGCATAGGATAAATTTTCTTTTAGAAAAAGAGACATTAAAAATTTTGCAATATCGGCTGGTTGAGGGGATTTTGGGTTCACTTTAGAGTTGTCACACCATGAGAGCCATCTTTTCATTGCGGGTAAATAGGTGGACAAGGTGGAGTGACGCCAACTCTTCAAAAGTAGATCTTTTTCCTGTTTGGACCAGTCTTTTATTTGGGCACCCCACCCCCAATTTTCCAAACTTTTAGGGTCAATGCTTGTATTTGTGGAGGAGGCAGTGCAGTTTTCATATCTATGAGTGTCTCCGATAGGTGTTGAATTTCGTGGGGGTGATCTAGAGATCTGGATTTCAGGTCCTGAAGCCAGAAACCTCGCGGCCAATCTGGAGCAACTATCAGATAGGTTCCCGTGGCCCGGTTCAGGTGTGCTAAAACTCTGGGTAACAGACTTGGAGGGGGAACACCCATGCTAGACGATAATGCCATGTTCTGCTGAAGGCATCTATGTAATTTGCGGATCGATCTCTGCAATTTATTGATACGTAGTTTCTTACTACTGCAGTCTCCTTTGTTGCAAATAGGTCTATCTCCGGATGTCCCCACTTCCGAAAGATCTCGGCTGTTGCTTGAGGAAGAAGGTGCCATTCCGCAGGCTTTTTTCCCCTTGATAATCTGTCTGCTATGATGTTGTATCTCCCTGGTAGGTAATGTGCCGACAGAGTTATGTTGAATTTGTCCGTCAGGTGCAATAATTTGAAGGTTAGTGTGAGTAACCCTATCGATTTCGTTCCACCTTCTTTTTGAATGTATGCAATCAGAGTTCGGTTGTCCGATTGTATTAATACGTGTGTGTTTTGTAATATTTTTACATTTATTTTTATTGCGGCTATCACTGCATATAGTTCCTTTTTGTTGCAGTGCCACCTTTTCTGTTGGTATGACCATTTTCCTGACATAAGGTTCCCGTCTAGATGTGCCCCCCAACCCCAATCCGAAGCGTCCGTCGCTAGGAAGTGGGTTGCAGGTTCTTTGTGTATAGGTGTCGTCTGATGAGTAGCTCCGAGCCACCACATCAGTTCCTGCACTACAATCTGAGGCAGCAGTTGACATCGACGAGGTCGCATCTTGTTGAAGTGTCGCAGAAAAATCTGTACCTGGCGACAATGAAGCCTCCCGCGGGGCACGACAAAGTTTGCGAAGTTTAGTTGCCCTAGCAGACTTTGTAACTCGCGGAGGTTGATGCGATTTTTTGACAGCGTCTGTTCTACTGTATGGTTTATGCGCTGTATTTTTACCTTGGGTAGCGACATCACATTGTCCGTTGTATTCCAGCGAATTCCTCGCTGCCGGTAGATGGAAATAGGCTTGTGATAAATCTATTTTTATCATCCAGTCCCCTGGTTGAAGAAAGTCTGGGACTGAGCCGTGGGAGATCAAACGAAAATGTTTTGTCTTCACGAATTGGTTTAGTTCTCGCAAATCTACAATCGGACGCATCGAGCCGTCGCTTTTCTTCCGAAGAAACATTTTGGATATAAAACTGGGAGTTTTGTTGAGAACTGTTTGTAGGATACCTTGATTCAAGAGTTCTTTGATTACCTGGGATGTCGCAGGTGACGGTTCGGTTGCGTATTGACTTATGATTCGATTTGTTGGCATTAACAAAGGAGGTTTCTTGTACAGAGGTATGCGGAATCCTGTAATTGCGGATATTATAAATTTGTTGGCACCCAGTGCCTGCCAACGTTTTTTGAAAAATGTTAAGCAACCTCCCTTGAATTGTGTTGGATAGTCATTTTTTTCCGTCTTTGTTAGAAAGCGGGTAGTTCTTAAGTTGTTTATGACTATCGATTTTTCTGTTAAATGTTCGCTTCGTTTGTTGTTTTTTGTGGGTATCACGAAAATTATTTTTCACATTTTGTGCCTGGTGTCTGTATTTGGATGTAGATGCTGACGGTTCTTTGTATCTAGGTTTAAAAAGCTCTCTTACTCTTGAAGGTTGCGGCGGGGATAGCCAGAATCGCGGCCCACCGAGGGATTGTATGAGGGACGCGAGCTTATTTTTTTCAAACAAAAATTCCTCGCTAGGAGGTATGTTACTAAGCGCAGTTTGAATACCTGTGTCCGAAATCTCACTTATTAATCTTTTACGCCTAGTTTCTATACATTCCGCTCGTTTTCCGCATACAATTTGCAGGGTTTGTTCATGCAATTTGAGAGAAGGTGATTCACTACCAAAAATATCGGAAATTTTTGTGAAAAGATTATCGGGTTTTAATTCCGTTGGGTTATTATGAGCCCAGTCTATGATTTTTTGTAATCCAGATTGTAGTAATTCCCTTTGACATATGATCGCGTGGGTGGTCGCAGCCATAATTTCCTCTGTTGAGGCCAAGAAATCTTTCCCTTTGCTTAGACAACATATTTCATCGTTAATTTTCAGGTTACAAAAGCCTGGAGACGCCAGCATATCTACCAGGGCTTTTTTGTATCTAATATGTTGCCACGTGGGAGTATTGAAATTTTGGAGTTTTATGAGCTGACGTAATCGTTTTTCATCGGCCGTTTTAATAATTTTTTTATCATCAATATTTGTGCTACCTACCCCCAAGTCCAGAGATTTCGAATTTTCGGTCGACGGATTAATTAAAAAATCGCTATCGTAGTTGGTAGGTTGGTGGGTACCTTCGTCATTGGACGCACTGGCATTGGGTACATATTGTTGATGCATTATAAAATTTGTGAGGAAACTCACCTAATTATATAACGCGTCGATCCCGGGATCGACCGTTACCTGTGGTACTCGTTTCCTTTACTTTCGTGGTGGTTCCTCGCGCTCCGAGTCGCTATCAGACGCGCTGCTGGTGCACGTGGAGTCCTCTTTGTCTTGTTTTTGACCTTGCTCGACACTTTTTAGACTACCTGCCTGATCGGCCCCGGCGGCGGCCTCATCGGCATCGTGAGTCGGCGCGGATTCCATAACGCACGTGTGATGTATATATAATGCGGTTTGCTAGTAATTTATTAACATTTAGAAAATCTATAAGGTTTTAAGATGACTATGCACCGATTTACTGTTAATATTGAGTCGATTCGGTTTTGACCGCACGCGGCGAAAGTACACAACGCTATGACTGTGGAAATGACTACGTCCTAGCTGGTAAAGATAAGTATGAAGTTGAGGCGATTACAGCGCCATCTATTCTATCTAAGCGGAACTGTTTCACTCGGTATGTATCGCACTTCATGGCTAAGTATACATTGCTTCTTCATTATACAATGCTGTATGTTTTCCGGAGGCACATCAATATATGAATTTTATATTCTAATTCTGAATTCTCGATATTTTATTGGTCTTGATGAATTATGATCCTAAATAATTATTAATTGTATAATATACGGTCAGAAATGTTCAATATGATGCCGATCCTTCTTATAATGAAGCGGATAAAAAGTCAGCGGCAAGATAGGGCGAAAATACGAAACAATAAAACGACTCGAAATGAAACCGTAATGCTCAACTATGTTGAATTAAGAAATAGAAACCATCTTTTTTTATGAGATAATTGTGATCGTATAAATATTAACTGAATCCGAATAATAATAATTTAATAGAACATGAAAAAAAAGTAAAAGTAGAACGAAAAACGTATACTTTGTACGTAGCTTTGGCCAATATAATTGTATCCGGTGAAACTACAGATTCGGAATTAAACAGTATTCATCCTAGTCTGTGAAATAATTGGAAGATTTGTAAATAGAAAATAAAAACATATATTTCCAATGAAATTATAAAAATTATAGATCGATTGTATATAGATTTGTTTATATAGCTAAGCGTACAATATAATTTTTTAAGTGCTTCAAGCACATATATAAAGAAAAATAATATATTTTTATGGAAATATGCTGTATTCTTATGATAAGTGTCAACAAATAAACAAAAATATCATATTCTTTTCTTAACATTTTATCCAATGTTTTTTTAATATGCTGCCGTATCTTCTGCTTATGAACCGTTTAAAAAGCAATCGGCGGGAGGAATTACAAGTAGGTAATCCAGAATGCTGCAGGACCTGTCTAGGATCTGAAAATCTCTCTGATATTTTCCAATCTAAAAACATAATGATAAAACGTATGCAACAACTTAAGTTAACTACTGGATTACGGGTAAGAGAGACTAGGCTTAAACTGATATAATACTGGTATTTAGTATTCTATATTTTATAGCTTCTGCTGTTTAGTTTATTTATTGTTTCTTGTACTACTTTTATGTTATTGGATGTCATGGTTATACTTGTTCACAGACATAAATGCTAGAGGGCCTTTTTGATGTTTTTTAAGTTATTAAATAGATCTGACCCCTTATTTCAGATAAAATATAATGATGGATTATCACAGAAAATATGTTCACAATGCTTAGACATGATGGAGACTGCATTAAAATTTAGACAGATAAGCTTAGAATCACAAGAGGCATTGCTTGATATGAAACATTATAAAGAATCTGATGAAAATAGATTAAAAATAAAAATTGAAAGAGATAATGATTTTCAGGAAGTAGAAATTGAGTTTGCAAAAAAGAGCATGCATAGACAAACAACAAATCTATGTCAGAATAAAAATCTAAGGTTGAAAATGGTAAAAGTGGTTAGTATAAAGCATTATTCATGTATTATGATTTTGTTTTATCTACTTTTATTATAAAAAAGATATACTTTTCGTACTCAGTTTTAACAGTTTTTAAGTAAAATAAAATAATATTATACAAGAGCAGCAATAGACTTGAGGTTGATGAACATTTCTGTCACCCATTTCCATGTAAATTAATTTTTCATTGATTTGTCTTTTGTTTTTAATTCTAAAGTATTTAATAATTTGTAATATTTTATATTGTTTTAGAAAAAGAAGGTTAGAAAAAAGAGAAAGTCTATGCAAATACCAAATGCAGATTCATACACATGTCCCGTTTGTCAAATGGTGTTTACAATTAAATCTTCATTTGCACAGCATGTGAGATATCACTATAACCCGTATGTTTGTGAGGTAGGATCAAACTTCATATAATTTTTCTATAAAAAATAGAAAATTTGTTTGTTTCAATATTGGTTTGAGCGCTTCTAATTTCATAAAACAATATACTGCTACCATTAACAGTATATTGTTTTAAATTGAAAACAGTGAACATTTTAAAATATGAATGAATGAAAGAGAGAAAAATACAAAAAAATTTAAAATATTTTTGTAACATGGTTTTATTATTTATAGAATAAAATTATAACCCAGTAAAATGGACCACCAATATAGTTGATCTACATATTTTAGCTGTTACAGTACAATACAGTAAATACTTTTCAGACATAAAGCGCGTCTTATGAAAATTATCTCTTGTCTGTCGCACAGCACTAGGCTGTCAAATATGTCAAACTTCATACAGAAAAAAAAATAGTTTGACAGCTCTTATAACCTAGATTTAGGTTAAATTGATGATTATACAGGCCTTATATAAGATATATTATACAAAAAATAATTCAAACTTATTGTTTTAAAAAATGGCGGCCTTGTAAAATTCGTCTCTTGCCTACTTGAATCCGCATTTAATAAATTCTTTTGTCTGGCCAAAAGACAAATAATAAAAAAAAGTGCGTGCGTACAAAGTACACATGTCAGAAGTGAAACTTCTTACTAACTGGCAAACTAATTATTAACTCTTGTTCATATTTATATAAATCTAAAACTTTAGATTTCCGAGACTTAGAGGGAGGGAAAAAGGAAGATATGTTAAGAAATTAATAAATTTAATTGTCATTAAATTATAAAAAGGGTTGAAAATTAATACAAATTATAAATTAATAAAAATTTAATTTTTTAAATTTATTTCTTCGATAATAAAAACACGTGGCATTTTAATTTACAATTCGTCATTTGAGATTTCAATAAATTATTTTGTATAAAATATAAAATACTAATATTTCATAAATTCTCTACGAAATTTTAATTTTATAATAGAATTTCTATAAGGTTATTCACCCTTCTCACTCTCTATCTCTATCAGTCTCAATCGCTCTCTCCCTTTTTCTTCGACAAAAACGCTGCACTTCGTTACGTTCCGTAAAAATTTTAGCCTCATGCGCTTAAAGAAGTTTCACTTAAAAAAATATTCGAAATTGAAATAAAAAGAATCATAGAGTAGAAACCGTTTATGACAGTTGACAATTTTTTATACAGTTATGCGGGAAGCGGTGTAGGTCTATTTCGACACTGGAAGCCCACAAGCGCGCGAAACACGGTCTTGAAAAGATTTACAAATGTGATCAATGTGAGAAAGAATTTGCATATCGAGAAGCTTATCAGGTGAGTCTAAGAACTAAAATATGAGTATGTATAAACACTTAATTTGTATGAAACATTCTTTATACTTATTTATGCTACAGTGGGCTATTTGGCAAATACGACGAAATGTTTCTTTTTTTGTTTTTTTGTATTTCTTATTCTTTTACCCATCATATTTCTTTTTTTTTAGTTTTTTTCCTTACTAGGGTTGACTGGAAGAGATCGCTTGTTAGCGATAAGACTGCCCGTTGCAGATAAGACCGCCCGTTGCATCCCTTATATTTTTTGATGTATTATTTGTATTTCTATAAATGTAAGGAAATGGAAATAAATAATAAAAATTAAAGAACCCGCTAAAATTCTTTATGGAATGAGAGAGACTATAGCTTGTTGCTCCTGATTTGAGAACTGGATGTTAATTTCGAATAATAATAATAGCTAATTAAATAATATATAGTTAATTTTATTTTATTTTATATAGATTCACGTTCGAACGCATACCGGCGAAAAGCCGTACATTTGCGACATATGCGGGGCTGGATTCCACAGACGCGGGACTTTTGTTCAGCATTTAGGAGTACATAATCCAGAAAACACTGTACAGGTGAGTAGTTTGCAGCCTAATATGACCAGAACAGAACCGCTGCAGATAGATAACTGTCACCTATGTATGTTCCAATGTCATATATTTTATATGTTGAAAATAATTTAAAAAAATACTCGGCTTCGCTACTGAAGTTATAGGCAAACTCTATGCGTATATGATAACGTTGCTGCAAATTCATAGATAATTAATTCTATTCTTTTTCAGTGTGATCTGTGTCCGACGCGAGTTAAATCTCTACAATTTCTATATTCACACAAGAACAGAGTACATTCGGGTAAACGGTATCGCTATATTTGTCCCATCTGTGACAGAAGATTCGATTTACCGACGAAAGTTAAGAAACATGCGTTAGAAGAGCATCAAGTTGGTGATAAGGATTTAGGAACCATAGTTAGGATTAATACATTCCTTCAAAATACATCGCAAAAGCGTTTATCGGATTCGGGAACGAATGACTAAGGGTGAGATTCAGAAGAGAGGCGCGAATGACACAACGTATGACACTTACGTTCATATTTGCGTTCAGAAATGGTTGAAGTCAAACTTGGGCATAGACTAGGCAAGTGATGGAAATCGGCGATTTGAGACTAAGCGAAACTGGCGCCAATAAATTATGTGTTAAAAATACAGATAATATTGATGTAATGTTTAACACTTATTTATTCCACAGATACAATTTTAACACTACGTTAAATAAATAAATATATTGAAATTAAAATATTGTAATTTTATTTTATTGTATAAAAAAAAGGAGTTAATTGGTTTTGAACTTGAATTATGTTCCTACATATATTAATTGATATCCTAATGTCTTTTATACATTATCACATTTTAATTCCTCCGTTATTGAAAAAAATATTTTCGGCAAAACAAAAACAATAGAAACCAAACTTCTCGAAGATTGACAAGAATGTTTCTTTAAATAACCTTTGTTTTGCCACGTCTCGGCTCATCCCGGACTTAGATTGTCCTACAATAACGTTTCTAAATCTCAAACTTAGTGCAAAGTATGACTCCTGTATGTTCAAATCCATTATGTTTTAATGTAACGGCAGTTACAGCGATAGAAATGGTGTATTAGGTAATTTGTATACATATACTGACAATAAAAGATTCGAATACGAATTTTAATACAAATTGAACGAACGAAATCTGATAACCGCTAAGGTCACGTGGGAACATAAACTGTCTCGTTTTTTCGATGTCATGGTACGAATTAGCGATGCATCTCAGTTGTATGTTGTCAATAGGCTCCCAATAAGAGTTCATGGTAGGCCCCCAGGGCACCTTATTCACGGGACAAGATTTTTAAAAAACTTTGTAAATTTAAATTGAATTAAGGTCAACCGGGGGGGGGCCCCCCCCCCCCCCGGGCCACGGCCCCCCCCCCCCCCCCCCCCCCCCCCCCCCCCCTTCCCCCCCCCCCGCGCCCCCTTCCTTTCCCTTTCCCCCCCCCCCCCCCACCCCCCCCCCCCCCCCCGGCCCGGCCCCCCTTTTTTTTAAAATCCCCCCCCCCCCCCCCCCCCCCCCCCCCCCCCCCCCCCCCCCCCCCCCCCCCCCCCCGCCGCCTCCCCCCCCCCCCCCCCCCCCCGCCCCCCCCCCCCCCCCCCCCCCGCCCCCCCCTCCCCCTTTTTTCCCCCCCCCCCCCCCTTTTTCCTTTTTCCCCCCCCCCGTGGGGGGGGGGGCCCCCCCCCCCCCCCCCCGGGGGGGGGGGGGGGGGGGGGGGGGGCCCCCCCCCCCCCCCCCCGGGGGGGGGGCCCCCCCCCCCCCCCCCCCCCCCCCCCCCCCCCCCCCCCCCCCCCCCCCCCCCTTTTTTTTTTGTTTTTTTTTTTTTTTTCCCCCCCCCCCTTGGGGGGGGGGGGTTTTTTCCCTTCCCCCCCCCCCCCCCCCGCGGCCCGCTTCCCCCCCCCCCCCCCCCCCCCCCCCCCCCCCCCCCCCCCCCCCCCCCCCCCCCCCCCCCCCCCCCCCCCCCCCCCCCCCCGCCCCCCCGGGGCGCCCCCCCCCCCCCCCCCCCCCCCCCCCCCCCCCCCCCCCCCCCCCCCCCCCCCCCCCCCCCCCCCCCCCCCCCCCCCCCCCCCCCCCCCCCCCCCCCCCCCCCCCCCCCCCCCCCCCCCCCCCCCCCCCCCCCCCCCCCCCCCCCCCCCCCCCCCCGCCGGGGGGGGGGCGCGCCCCCCCCCCCCCCCCCCCCCCCCCCCCCCCCCCCCCCCCCCCCCCCCCCCCCCCCCCCCCCCCCCCCCCCCCCCCCCCCCCCCCCCCCCCCCCCCCCCCCCCCCCCCCCCCCCCCCCCCCCCCCCCCCCCCCCCCCCCCCCCCCCCCCCCCCCCCCCCCCCCCCCCCCCCCCCCCCCCCCCCCCCCCCCCCCCCCCCCCCCCCCCCCCCCCCCCCCCCCCCCCCCCCCCCCCCCCCCCCCCCCCCCCCCCCCCCCCCCCCCCCCCCCCCCCCCCCCCCCCCCCCCCCCCCCCCCCCCCCCCCCCCCCCCCCCCCCCCCCCCCCCCCCCCCCCCCCCCCCCCCCCCCCCCCCCCCCCCCCCCCCCCCCCCCCCCCCCCCCCCCCCCCCCCCCCCCCCCCCCCCCCCCCCCCCCCCCCCCCCCCCCCCCCCCCCCCCCCCCCCCCCCCCCCCCCCCCCCCCCCCCCCCCCCCCCCCCCCCCCCCTCCCCCCCCCCCCCCCCCCCCCCCCCCCCCCCCCCCCCCCCCCCCCCCCCCCCCCCCCCCCCCCCCCCCCCCCCCCCCCCCCCCCCCCCCCCCCCCCCCCCCCCCCCCCCCCCCCCCCCCCCCCCCCCCCCCCCCCCCCCCCCCCCCCCCCCCCCCCCCCCCCCCCCCCCCCCCCCCCCCCCCCCCCCCCCCCCCCCCCCCCCCCCCCCCCCCCCCCCCCCCCCCCCCCCCCCCCCCCCCCCCCCCCCCCCCCCCCCCCCCCCCCCCCCCCCCCCCCCCCCCCCCCCCCCCCCCCCCCCCCCCCCCCCCCCCCCCCCCCCCCCCCCCCCCCCCCCCCCCCCCCCCCCCCCCCCCCCCCCCCCCCCCCCCCCCCCCCCCCCCCCCCCCCCCCCCCCCCCCCCCCCCCCCTCCTTCCCCCCCCCCCCCCCCCCCCCCCCCCCCCCCCCCCCCCCCCCCCCCCCCCCCCCCCCCCCCCCCCCCCTTTTTTTTTTTTTTTTACATGAAATCGCCAGTGGCGTCTGTCGTGCTAACAGGCAAGTAAAGCGTCTAATGCCCGTTTTAACTAATTGTTTTACAGTCGCTGAAAATTATGAAAACAGGTCTTGGAAATCTGTTATCGGTAAATTTCAATTAGCTTTAAATTGTACAATGAAAATGAAATTAAAAGTAAAATGCTCTGTCGGGTTACCGATCTCATTGAAACAACACATACAATTTATTGTAAAAGTTCCCTATAATTTTTGTGCAAAAATGAAATGGAAAAAGAAACTATATTGTACAGACATAAAAACTCCGTGGTTTCCATTAGATCTATTTTACACATCTAGGCAAAATAGTTAAAGCGTAGGCCAGAACTCTTCTCTTTCTATCAGCAAAAGAAACTGCGTATTTGTTTTTAAATGAAATTTGCAAGGTTAAGTTAAATTAAGGATTTAGTTCCATAATACATTGTCTCGTCCAGTCTATAGTCTAGTCGACAAGTTGAAAATGGAACAAAATAGAGATACTGCTCTTAAAATTATGTGCGATAGCTCATTGGATCCGGAATGACGTCTAGAAAAATGTACTAAAAGCGTGTATTAGCACATAAAAAATTGCAAAAGTTATAGACAATTAAAGATGAAAAAAAATGGCATTTAGTTTTTTGCCAATATTTAATAAACTATTAATATTTAAGAAATTTCAAATAAAGATTCTGAAAGAGGAGGAAATTTCCAATAAAAAACTCATAACTCCCGGAACTCTATCTCCATTATTTATAATTTTAATTTAACGCTGAAAATAGGTCTGCGGGTGAATTTTTTTGTTTCCCGCCCGGCTGTCAAAAGCGACTACGGCACATTAATTAATTTATTTAAGGTATTGAATATTTTTTTTAAATTTAAAAAATTTATGGTGTGTTCTGAACACTATAATTAATTTATTCCCGTTGAAAATTTTACTTAAAGTTAATTTTTCAACAAGTTAAATAATTGTTAACTAACGAAATTTTCTCGAACGACCGTCTTAATTGTAAGTGAAAAAAAATGTTTAAATAATGGTCGTAAAAATATTTCGCTTCGCAGAGCCTTTATTACATACATACTTAACAAGATCGTGCCATAAAAGTTAAAAAAATATTTATACTTTGTTTGTAACAATTTTTTTACTTAAACAAAAACTTAAAAATCCATGTAATGTTGTTAAAAAAATTTTTTTTTCTAAATCATCATATAATGGTTTTTTTATTAATACAAGATATTTATTGATTTGCAAAAAAAAAAATTCCCGCCATTTGTTGATAAATTTTTTTTAAACAAATTGATTAAATCAATATTTTAAAAAAAAAATTTAACACAACTTTTTTAATATTAAAAAAAAATTTCCTTAACAATTAAAAATTGTTAATAATCGTTTTTTTTAATTTTCTATTGTTTAAATAATTAGTTAAGAAATTTTTTTTTCTAAAAATCATAATTCACAGTCCTCTATAAAGTAACAGAATTTTTTTTTTTAATCAACAATTCTATTGTTTATTAACTTACCAATTTGTTATAAACAAATATTCAACTTCTTTTTATTTTTTTTCTAAAACTTCTAAAATTAACAAAAACAACCATATATAACAAAGTATAGAAAAATTTTTTTTGTAAATTTTTTGATTATCATGAATATTACTTTTATTTAAAAATATATTTTTTTTTTTTTTTTTTGAAATGAATGAAAATGAAATGAATGAATGAAATGAATTTGAAATTTCTTAAATATTAATAGTTTATTAAATATTGGCAAAAAACTAAATGCCATTTTTTTTTCATCTTTAATTGTCTATAACTTTTGCAATTTTTTATGTGCTAATACACGCTTTTAGCACATTTTTCTAGACGTCATTCCGGATCCAATGAGCTATCGCACATAATTTTAAGAGCAGTATCTCTATTTTGTTCCATTTTCATCTTGTCGACTAGACTACTAACTGACTGGCTTGGTTGATTGAAATGAGTGTAACTGTTGATAGCAATTTGAAGCTGTTCTGCCCATTTTTGGTCAAGTTACTGTACTTTTGTTTTGAGCAGTGTTGGCCTAGTGGTATCAGGGTGCGACTCTCATCCATAAGATCGTAGGTTCGAGCCGCGGCTGTCGCCACTGGACTTTGTTTCTAACATTCACTCGAACTGTGAAGGAAAACTTCGTGAGGAAACCGGCTTGCCTTAGACCTAAAAAGTCGTAAGCGTGTGTCAGGCACAGGAGGCTGATCACCTACTTGCCTATTAGATTGACAAATGATCGTGTAACAGAGAAATCTGAGGCCAAGATCTAAAAAGGTTGTAGCGCCACTGATTTATTTTTGTATTTGTTACTTTCTTTTTTTCGCTATCTCGAATCCCTCATAACTATTGTTTCTTTACTTGCATATTGATTAGTGTAGCTTATGAATTTTAACTCAATAATTATAAAATCCTTCATAACTTTTTTAAATATTTGTTTTTATGTAAATAAAACAAGAAAATATTATGCAAAATATATATTTCATACTTAAAATAACGTTGATTACAAGGGAATTGGTCCCAGACAAAATACATTCGTTTTAGTTCATCGAACTTGTAAATATTGCTTAAAATTACGTTATATAGGTAAACCTTAAATACAGAAAAATGACAATATTATCCTATAATAAGAAAGTGTAAATGGCGTTATTAATACGGGAATGCGATAACTTGAATAAACTCGACAAAATCAACTACTTAAGATAAAATGGTGGATTGTGTGTACTTTTTAATTAAACAAAAACGAGTGATTTTAGATTAAATATGATAACAATCTTTAATTTAATCTCACAAAGTGATGTTTTTTTAACTTTAAACACGATTTCTAGCATCTATGGAATGTTTTACCTTGGTCCCCAATTTGTGACGTCAGGAATGCAAAAAACAATGATTTAAACACATTAACAACTAGCTATACATAAGAAGGCACAAAATGGACAAGAACATTTTAAATTTGATTCCATTAAATAATAAAAAACCAATGATATGTGAAACTTAAAATCCAATATGAAATTTGACAGCTGTCAAATGTCAAGTCTACATATGACTCTGTGGTCTCTTCTTTCTACTGAACAGACCACCGAAGACGCCTTTCTTGTCTTTCTTCTCTTTTGTTCCACCGACAGACAATTCTGATTCTCCTGATGATCTGTAATAATGAACATACATTTTTATATCAATATTAGTTATATATGACAACGTTTCACTATTACAGTCAAATTAAACTGATATATTTAAAAAAAAAGTGTGGCACTCGGGGCCTGCCGCGGTAAAGGTATTGCATTATTTTTTTTTTAAATTATGCAATTATAATTATTTATTTATGCAGTATTTTTTTTTCTTTGATATCAATTCAAGTTTTTTTTTTTAATAAATTCATTCAATCTACCACTCTACCAGACTCAGACTAACTCGCCTATATCTGTCTCACTCTAACGCGCACCGGCTGCACCGATCTCGTCAGAGAGATGTGAATACGCAGTATGCGTTCTGTCTCGCTCTAACGCGTAAGGTTTTTTCGTTACGGTATTTCTGGATTCGATCTCCACGCTCGAGGCCCGCGATAGAAGCTATGCAATAGCTTAAAAAACTATAGGTACATCGTATTATTATTATTTTGATAACACACATTAGCTTAAGCAAAAAAAAAGTTGTTCTCAAAATAAGGGTGTCGAAGGGATGACAAGAACTAGCCAAAATAATAATTCAATTAAACCAAATCATATACCAGCTCAATCGTCTCTTTCTATCCAATTATATTTACATTGAGATAAAAAGAGACGGATTCCTGTAAAAGTATTTCAGCTGTTACAAATATAACTTTGTTTGTAAAAATAAATTCAAAATATACTGAAGCGATATCAAAATATCACAATTAGATCAAGTTATTGACTCACCTAGACGCTGGTCTCTGATCTAAAGCTGGAGAGCCTCCACTTCCGGCGACTGACGCAGGGCGAGTGTTACTTCCGCTATTACCACCGTACGCTGTAATCAAACTCTTACTATAAATCCCATGAAATTATAAGCCATAACGTAAAATTGTTATAAAATTCATTCATACACTTAACAAAGAAATCTACAAAAAAAAAATTAAATATAAATTAAATCAATACAAAGAAAGTGAAGTCTCTTAGACATACTTATTAATAAATATTGAAACAACTGAAGTATCTATTTGTTTTCTTCATGTTAACACAATTTGAAAGAAAGAGACAACAAATGTCTAAGAGAGTTAACATTACTTGATCTCTGTAAATAATCAATTACGAAATGTAAGAAAATATAATTCTACAATAGCGCACGACACACCAAAGCTATTCCCGCAACCACTACATAAGCACAGATACAAATAAATAACACTAAAAGCGATTTAAAATCAATAACATTACAGTAAAAGCTCCCTATTCGCGCTTCCTTTATTCGCGGATTAAAAAAATGCAACCCAATTTCCTTATTCGCGGCAAAAAATTCATACAAAATTTCAATAGGTGTTTAACGCAATATCATATAGATAATATGGAGTGTAATCCTGATATGAATGTTATGGAATGCTGGAAGAAATTTGACATAGCAAAATGCATCGTAAACATAAATGAATCATTGGACGAACTGAAACCACACACATTAAAGTCATGCTGGAAAAAACTGCTCTGACTGCGGAAAATGACGAAGAATCCGTGCAAGTTCAAACTTTGACTTTGGTTTAAGAATGGCAAATGAGCTTTGCGATTTCTTTATGAACATTGATCCATCTATGGAACGAAGTCTTAATTTTAAGAGGCAAATTGCTAATGCGACTGCTGAGTATCAGTCTGAATTGAAGGAGCTATAAAAAACTGCCAAGCAAGAGAAAATAACAAAATTCGTCAAACCATTGCCTAAGCCTGAGGATAATGATTATATAATCAAAATGTTCAATAACATCAATAAAATTGATTTTCTTATATATTTGTGTTTTTTATTTTGGCACCTAGGAACGTATAAACCCATATAAATTACCATTCTGTATTCGCGGCATATTTATGGAACATATACCCCGCGAATAAAGAGAATTTACTGTATATCTCTTTGAATACCTCAAGTATAATTATTTATGGAAAACTTATTTCCTCAGTGAGGCATTAAATATGTAAACAAAACTGGGACCCTGGGTCTAGTCATAGATTTCTGTAGCTGTGATCATTTGTTTTTTCTAATAGACAAGAAAGTGATCAGCGAACCGTGTACGTCGTTGACTTTCTTGGGGGAGATGATATTCCTTACGAGATTTCCCTTCACTGAGCGAGTGTTAAATGCGCACAAAGTATACTTTGGTGCACAGCAATTCGAACCTATGACCTCAGGGATGAGAGTCGCACTCTGATTACGGCTAACACTGCTATAAGATATAAATTACCTTCGAACTGTCAAAGGGGCCGTTCAAGTATTACGTAAGCACTATTGGGGGGAGGGGGAGGGGGTCTTTGACTATCTTACTTGGTGACACTTTTTACCCAGACATTGTCTATGCTTGAAAACGAAATGCATATTCTAGGATTACTATTTATTTTTTGAGAACTTTGCTTACTTTCGCTGACAAGATGAAGGGGGGGATAAATTGCAGTAAATCTGCTTACGTAATACTTGAACCGCCCCAAATCTCAAATAATCGTGTTAACGAATACAGCTAGCAGTAGTCCAGTCAATACAGAAATAATCGTAACGTATACGAATTCATTGTAAAGTTCAAATGCACCCACTAAAATGGGTGTCTATGCTTGGGCGACCCGTAGGCTCGTTGGCCATATAAAAAGTTTATTCTTAAGCCTCTGAAATATTAATGTTACGGACATTTGTACTTGAAGACAGTTATTGATTTTAAAATCGTTTTCTAATCTACGTACAAGCTAGAGAAATGCGAAACAATCTAAGCTAGTGTTGCCAGGTAATATATATTTTTCACCTGGCAACATTGATATAATAATTATACGTACAATGTACTTTATGCAGTACATAGAGAAGATGGCTCGGTCCTTAAGCAGCGTAGATTACATAAAGACTTAGTTTAAAATTATAAATAAGCTTAGCATAGAATATTCCAAAAGAAATCTTATTTGGTAAACTACAGTCGGATAAAAGTTTCAATGCAAAAGTTGGTCTATGGTTATTATAATATAAATACCTAAAATAAATTGTATAGATTTTTTAATCTGACTGTAAAATACCAATTTAATACAGAATGCAAACCACAACAATTCAATTAAGGAAACAAACTACGCGTAGTTCTTGTCAATGTCAATTGTCAACTGTCAATTTATAAATGTCTTGAACATAGACAACAAAGCAACAGCTTCATCAGTCGCGCAAAATGTCAAAATAAATCAGACGCGTTGGTAGTAAAAATGTTTTTAAGTTCATAGTCAAATTTATTGACGTATCCAAATAATTGGCCCCTGATAAACCAAATACAGCATGGAATATTAACAGCCACAATGGCGGTTTATGATTAGCCCTGTTTAAATGGACGTAAGTGAAAATGTTAATATTTTAATGTAAAGCTTTTAATTGGTACAAATAAAATCTTGCTTTAAAAGTTTTTTTTTAATAATGACAACGACAAGAACCACATAATTACAGAAGCCAAATAAAACTGACCCAGCTCACTCGCCGAATAGAAGTGCGAGGTCGTTTCGACACCCTGCCAATTATTATTCCAGCTGGGATTCTTCTCTTTCTCTTGCCAGTTCTTATTAACCTTTTGCTGGTAGCTGTTAACCATGGCCGTAACAGATTTATCCCCTTGAGAGACGGTCGAACCTTCCGATCTCTCTGTGTATCTATAGTTCTCGTGTCTGTCATTTGAGTTTTTGTCAAATCTCTCGCTAGAACTGCGTGCCGACGCGGAGTTCCTTTCGTTCGAGTTTTTATCGAATTCTCTGTCACTCGAGACTCTGTCCGATCTGACAGACGTCCTGTCAGACATGACAGATCCCCTGTCAGACATCACCGACCCTCTGTCGGACATGACCGATGCCCTGTCAGATACGACTGACACTCTTTCTGGTCTCTGTTTAGTTTGTGATCTGTCTGGCACATTTGGTCCCCTTTCGGGGATGACCGGTGCCCGTTCAGGTATCGCTGGCGGTCGCTCTGTAACTATTTGTCCCGAGGCAGCTATATTTAAATATTAATTATTAAAAATACAAGATAAATTACTTTATAAGATATTCAACGTTCACAAAAGCTGACGTCACTTAGCATAGACAACATTGCTTCAAAATAAATATTTAAAAAAATCCTAAATAAAACTATTTTTACCTTCTCTCTGCGTTCGTAGGAATTCAGCATTAATATCGCGGCCATTTGAAAAACGCGTTCGTCCCCAGGAACCGCTTACGTGTTCAGAATTTCTGTAGAAGTATTATAGGTAATTATATTTATATAGCCTTGTTCTTGCACTTAATTAATATCTGTATATATGTATAATTGCTGAGCAGTTGGCCTAGCGGCTTCAGCGTGCACCTGAGATAGTAGGTTAGATCCCCGGCTGTGCACTCATGGGCTTTCTTTCTATATGCGCATTTAACATTGGCTCGAACGGCGAAGGAAAACATCGTGAGGAAAGTGGCTTGCCTTAGACCCAAACAGTCGACAGAAGTGTCAGTCACAGAAGGCTGATCACCTACTTGCCTATTAGATTAACAAATTATAATGAAACAGATACATAAATCTGAATCTAATAAATAAATAAATATTGTAATTCTTTTTTAATTTCTTAAAGTAGATATTGTAGCTAATTGCCGTCATCAACATCTACTGAAACCAAGTCTATTAAAATGTTACCTAAGTATGATCTCATCCTCCTGTGGAGGTTGTCTCGGGGGCAAAGATGGCAACACCGACGACTCTATGATTCTCTCTGGCGTGTTCGCGGCGCGGTGTTCCTTCAAAATCTCACTTTGAGTTCGCACCTTGCGTTGTGTGTCCGGCGAAGAAGTCGCTGACGATGACGTTGAAGCGTTTCTATAAAAACGTGGAACAAGCAAAATTGATGAGATTTTGAAAAAATAATATTTATTTGTAAAAAACTTTTCTACAATAATTTGATAGACTCTAATGCAATAACAGCGTACGACGGAGGCGTGATATATTTTACTTTTTTTTATTTTTGAAGTGAAACTTTTTTAGGCGCATGAGGGTAAATTTTTACGAAAACGTCACGAAGATATGCAGCGTTTTTGTCGAAGAAAAGTGATAGAGTGAGAAGGGCGTTACCTTTATACCTTACCATTACCTTATAGAAATTCTATGTTTAAAATTTCGTAAAGGGATTTTATGAAGTACTTTATGCAAAATAATTTATTGAAATCTCAAACGCCGAATCGTAAATTAATATGCCACGTGTTTTTATTATCGAAGCAATAAATTAAATATACACTTAATATTTTAATGACAATTAAATTCCCAACATATCTTCCTTTTTCCCTCTCTCTAAGTCTCGAAAATCTAAAGTTTTAGATTTGTATAAATATGAACAAGACTTAAAAATTCGTTTGCCAAAGAAGTTTCACTTCTGACATCTGTACTTTATACGCACGCACTTTTTTTGTCTAATGCAAGTGTCACGTATATTTTTAATGATAACCTTCGTAAACCTAAAGTAATAAGCGTGGGGGCCTCATAGCCTAGCGGTCTTATTAAGTGGCAGCTAGGTGAGGGGTACCGGGTTCGATTCCCGGTTCGAGGGCAAGTTTTAATTTATGTTTGTTCTCGGCCTTTGGGAGGGTTGTGCGGTACCGGGCGAGTGCTTAAACCGTACATGGAGGACACGGTCGAATTTCTAAAGACAAGCACGAATTATAAAAAAATCCTATACTTGACGCTGGCTAATGCACAAATCGTGCCAGAGCCATGATAAAAAAAAGAAAAAAAAAGTAATAAGCGACTTGTAAAGAGATATTTACAAAAACGAATACATAATTACAGAATACAAAAAAAAATCTCACCTCAAACGTTTCCTGACATCGTCAGCTGGCGATGAAGCTTCATATGGTGTGAGCTGAAGCTGTGGCGGTAACGCGGCGTGGAAGGAGATCTTCGCGACCCACTCCATCATCAGCTCGTGACGAGCGCAGGCGAAGAGGTATTCGGCTCCATCGGTACACGAGAGGCGGAACACATGGGCCCGTTTGGTGTAGTCGCTGGCTGGTTCACAACGTGCCTGAAATCGTTTTAGTGTTTATTAAAAAAATACTGTGAATATTATAATAATAATAATAATAACAATTTATTGCAAGAATATGGTACAAAAATGTGTAAGGTGGTACAATCGTAAGTTCGCATATTCTGCCACACACAATGGCGCGCAAATTTGTATTTAAAGGAATTTTTACATTATTAGTCAAATGAATTGGTCAATTCTTATATTATTTATATAGTACATATTATATCATACTTTATTAAGTTTATATCAACAACAGTGTCTCACGCAAATAATCATTTATTGAATAGTACATTTTTTCCAAAAGTAATACACCAAGTCGCTTTTTAAAAACTCTAGTCGGAAGATCTTTTAATTCTTTAGGTAATTTATTGTAAACCTTAATTGCCATACAAAATTCCTAAACAGTTTCAGATTTATTTATTATTATAACTAATTCAAAACATCCTTACAATTATATTGTAAATTAAAAAAAATGGCTTAAGAAGAGTGACGGAAAGTTTCTTGCCAGTTCTTCCCATAATTTGAGTTCTGGCAGAAAAAGTAAATTTACAAACATTTTCATAAGAGTAAATTGTGTTACCAAACTTTTTTTTTAGAACAGGGGTAGGGGGCTCATTTGATGTTATACCGTATGGTGTGATACCGCCGCCCATGGTCACTTTCAATGCCTTAAGAGAACGCAAGTGCATTACCAGCTTTTTAAGAATCGGTACTCTTTTCTTGAAGGACTTTAAGTCGATTTGGTTCAGAAATACTTCAGTGGGTAGCTGGTTTCACACAATGGTGTTGTGCGGCTAAAACCGCCTAAGAACCGCTCGCTTGTGGAACGACGGGTAGGTTCGTATTCCGCCTTGATGATGAAACTCAGCTGCAGGTATTAATCTAAACAACTCCTCTGATCCATGGCAAACCCGGTAGAAGATAAAGAGATACATCTCTCTCAACGCTAAGAGATCAAACAGCTCGATAAGTGAATTTAATCGTAAATTTGCTACTAAAAGTTCTACTCCAAGGTCAGAAAACCTACATGTGTACTTACGTTAAGTATAGCTACAGGTGGCGCCGCCGCCTTACTGCTGGCGAAGTCAGTTTGGTCTCTGAAGAAGCAGAGCAACTGTCCGCACAACACACCGTAGTACGAACGCCACGAGCGCACAGTCGCTCGTTTACCGCCCACTCCCGCCTCTTGCTTTCGTTCTAAGTAGCCTGGAAAATCATAATATTTTTGTGTGTCCATTTCATATTATTTTTCTTCGTATCACCTAAAAATATTTGTTTTAAAACTTTTAAAACCAAATATATCGGACGTTACGGATTTTTATATCGAAAAAGACATCAAATATTTCCCAGTTAGGAACAGTTTCTATTGGAAAATTTAATTGTCGTTTCTAGTATTTTTCTTTACGTATTATAAATGTTTCCCATCGTTTAAACCTTCCCTGAACTTCCACAAATATTTCAAGATCATAATTAGCCAAAATTAGCGAGACAAACAACATCAATTCATTTTTAAATGTCATTTGTTGCTTTAGAATGGCAACACCACGCAATATCATAGACATCTTACGTGTTGTAAATTGTCAATGTGTCAAAGTCAATTTGTCACTAGTGCGTTGAATCATTGACCTTGTTTTTAAAATTACATTAAAATGTCGGACGTCGACTGTGATGATAACTTTGAAAATATTAAAGGCTTTCGAATCTGCGACATATGTCATATTTTGTAAATATATATGCAAATAAATAATTAAAACAAACATACCTTCAATCTCGACTGGCGGTAGTTCGTCCGGCTGTCTGTGTCTTCTAAAGCTTTGTGTTCGTCTACGTGTTGTGAACGAGGGAGTTCGCTTTGGAGTCTTAGTTGCCACCTGCAATTTGAAAACATTGTATATAAGGGGCACGGGACACGTTTGATAAAGTATAGCTAAAAGGAATTAGCCAAGAATTTCGCTGGCGCTGATGATCTATCGTGAACAACTAACGCTGCAACGCGGTGCCGTTCACGGATTGTTTGTCATTTGAACGTCACAGACGTATACGTCAACTTCCTGTTCAGTGTAATTTTTTGACGTGAGGTTGGTGGACTCATTTTCCGCACTTAGACTCATAATTGGTCCGTTGTACGTAACCATGACAGCTTATAATAAATCTATGAAATGCTGCACGCACGAAAAAGCTTAACTCATTGTCCCGTTACGCTCATTGGACGCTTACGCCGCATCTATCTCTGCCACTCGATTGGCCTATGCGTCCGAGGATTCACTCCTTTGTATCCGAAAAACAGTGATAATTCAATAAAAATGATTAAATTTTATTCATTTTGCAATAATTTCATGGATGGTTTGTTATGACCTTGTCACGTTAAACTATCGTCGGTTAACCGATTTTACAACCATTTTTTGTTTAAAGCTATTTTTTTACTTTTTTGACTTCTATGTAGGTATCGCTATAATCAAATTTAAACTCACACTCATACTCTCTGCCCTCTTAACCAAAGTATCGCTCTTTGGCAGTCTGTCGAACTGCGGTGCCGGTGAAAAGGTTTCTTCAGAAGACACCACGCTGTCCTGATTGCTGAGTTGACGTTCCATCTATAATGTAATATGATTTCATGACAAAAAAATTTATAACAAACTAGCTATATTATTTCATAAAAATAGCTATCTACAATAATAAAAAAATAGGGGTTGATCGTAGTGGGGTAAAATTTAGGGGTAGTATGTATTTTTAATGCTGTATCATAAAAAAATCTAAAAATAAAAGCTAGTCCCGCGAAGTCAGTACAAGTGACCTTCACCATTAGAAGAGGAGACTGCCCACCTGTAAAGTTGGACCAATGTATTCTGCCCCACAGCCACCATGTAAGATATCTTGGCTTACACATTGATCGTGGATTAACGTGGAGGCACCACATCAAATGTAAAAAGCAGGAGCTACAGCTAAAGTACAACAGCCTTTACTGGATGCTAGGAAGAAACTCAAGACTTTCTCTAGATAACAAACTTCAACTACAAAGTCCATTTGGACATATGGCCTCCAACTGTGGGGCAGCGCAAGTGATACCGACATAAATATACTCCAGCGACAACAGAACAAGATCCTAAGAGCAGTTGCAAAAGTACCATGGTACATACCAACAACGAAGTTCACGAACACCTTAAAATGAGAACTATCAAAGAGGAAATCCGGAGACTGGCAGCTAAATACAAAGAGCGGTTAAGCTGTCACCCGAATGAACTTGCTCGCCAACTCACCATTATACAGTATGTGAGTCGACTAAAACGTCACCATATTCTAGAGCTAGAAGACCGGCAGTAGCTCTAGACAGAAGATGAGTAGATGCTTCCAATGGGAAGTCACTCCACATGACAGCACCACAGAAAAAATTCGCTAGCCTTAGGGCTGATTGCAAATAACCGCAAAAAAAATAAAATAATAATTTAGGAGTGGACTACCCTTTACATTTAGGGGGATGAAAAATAGATGTTGTCCGATTCTCAGACATACCCAATATGCACACAAAATTTCATGAGAATCGGTCGAGCCATTTCGGAGGAATTTAACTACAAACACCGCGACACGAGAATTTTATATATATATATATATAAGATAAAGCATTATATTGCACCATTTAAAGTTTTAAGTACTCATCTTCAATTTATTTTTATTAGAGAGAGCGAGAGTACTTTGTGTGATGAAATATAATTGATTATATTTTTTATGTATACATAAATAATTATTGCTTATAATTAAAATAGATAATTAATGATTTAAAAAATAGCAACTTCAAATACCTGCCATTTGAGCCTTGAAAACTAGTTAAGCTGTTTTGACGCAACTAGACTTGCCATCTTGAAATGTGAGTAATATGTTTTTATAGATTTTTTAACTGTCAGTATTATTTTTGTTTTGTGATTTTAAAATTTCTGCTGTATATTATATATTATTTTATTTTTATATAACGCTATGGATTACCGAATATATACCGTTTACATAATAATTGATAACAGTTAGTTGAATTCAATGACAGTACAGTGTATAAAAAACGAATTAACAAACAAATATGGTGGCGCGGGGCATATTCCGTTCAACCAATCAGCGCGAGTTGCGATCCGTTTCACAATTTGACGGTTTCACTTCGATAGATTACAATCTACCGAATAATAATACGTTAAATTGTAAACAGTTCGTTGAGGTTCACAATCTTTCGACAGTTTATAATCTCGCAAGATAGATTACAATCTAACGGTGTTTACAATTTTACGTTAACATATACAAGATAACTCTAAAAACTAAACACGTTTAATTTATAGTCAAATTAATAACTATTCACTACATACATACCAGGATGGTGTAATAAACACACACGAAAATATATAATACATCAAAATGAGAAAACACATATTCACATAATCAAAACAATTTATAATGCTATTTACCTGCACATCCTGCCTACTCTGCTGACTGCCACTCTCTCTCCTTCTCTCCTCCGCGATTCTCTCCATCTCCCTCCTCTTCACTAATCTCAATCTCTCCGCCTCTTGATATTCTGCTTGGCGTTTGCGAGCTTGTTCTTCCTCTTGCTTCTGCTCTTTGAACGCACTTTCGATCTAAAAAAAAATATTCATTTAGGTACTTTAGACAACTTTAGTGCTAAGCATAAATTAAACAACGTATCAATATTTAATGCTAACATTTGTTTTTGAACGTTGAACGTTTGTATCATGTTATTTGGTATTTAAATTAATTTATTATTAATTTTTTTTTTAATTAAATTGTCCAATTGTTATTAATAAATATGGACTTAGTTGATCACGGCAAACTCAAGAACTTCTGACGTTTATAAGTATTCTGAATGAATTATATTTTGATTTTGTTATTGAAAAACTGTGTTGGTTAGTCCATTTATTGAGAAATTACTACATATAATGTCCGCGAGGGCATATTTATTAGCCTTATCTTTTAATCGTTTAATTTGTAGTAAAATATTAGGTCCTTACATATGAAATTGGCGTTTTGTATTGGAGGAACAAAAAGTCGAATATTTTTAAATATAATATATTTAATTAATCAAAGTATGAACCATTGTTTTCTATGCACTTTTGCCATCTCATAGGTAGTTCATTGATCCCTTTACTAAAAAAACCAGTCGGACGGGAATCAATAAAATCTGTGAAGGCGATTTGGACTGCCCAATCAGAGTTAAATTGTTTCCCTTGCAAGAAGTTGTCCAAATTTCGAAAAAAATGGTAATCTGTTGGAGCAAGGTCTGGGGAGTACGGAGGATGTCTTAGACATTCCAATTGAAGCTCTTCTAATTTGGTAGCCATCTGTTGTGCAGTGTGTGGTCTAGCGTTGTCATGAAGTAGCAGTGGCGTGGAGCGATTGACCAGCCTAGGTTGTTTAGCCGCTAGCTTTTCCATCATGGTTTGCAATTGCTGACAATAGACATCAGCCGTAATAGTCTGGCCAGATTTGAGAAAACTGCAATGAACAATACCGGCACTAGTCCACCAAACGCTTACAAGTAACGTTTTAAAGTTTTTTGGGTTAATTTTCGCTTGGGGCAGGATTTGGCTGGCTGGCCAGGATCCAACCATTGCGCTGAGCGCTTCCGATTATCGTAAAGAATCCATTTTTCATCACAGGTAATGATTCGGTTTAAAATACCTTCATTATTGTGCCGGTTCAGTAATGTAACGCAGCAGTCGACGCGCGTTTGCCGGTTTGCTTCAGTCAATTCGTGAGGTACCCATCTTTCAAGCTTTTTAATCTTCCCAATTTGCTTCAAGTGAATTAAAACAGTTTTATCACTAACACCGCAGCCTGAAGCTTACTCGGACGTGGTTTGCGATGGATCCGCTTCCACAATAGCCTTCAATACTTCATTATCAACTTGGGTCTCAGGCCGTCCACGGGGCTTGTTCTGCAGGTCGAAATTTCCAGAACGAAAACGTTGGAACCAAAAACGAACTGTGTTTTCTTTTGCAACATGACCGCCATACACATCATTCACCCTTCGAGTCGTTTCCGCAGCACTAGTACCACGGCGGAACTCGTACTCGTAAATAATGCGATACTTTAAATTTTCCATTTTGTAAAATGAGTGACGCAAACAGAAAAAAACAAATGAATGACGGTCATCAAAGCACAAATACATGAGTAAATAGCTGTACAAATTTTAATTTGGAATTCTTAACCAAGGAGGAGATATTTGAGGTCAAAGTGGCCAAAACGTAAAACGCCAATTTCATATGTAAGGACCTAATATTTCTATAAATAATACAAATAAATCCGATATTTTTCACAAGTTTTTATTTTATTAAAAGTTTAATATAAATTTATTTGGTGATAGGAAATTTTAACAAGCAATAAATCAAGAAAATGCGCTTCTGTGTACGGGGTTTTTAATAGGATAACGAGCCTACAGTGTGTTGCCGGCCTTTGAGGGAGTAGATACCAGCTTAATAATGAATGAACTCACCAGTGTAATTCTCTTAAGTGCGTTGAACTTCTCTTTCTGCGCGTCTATGGTCTCTTCTAGATCTCTGTGCCTGTTAATCAATTCTTCCGTCTGCGCCACGCTGTCTCCGTACTTTCCGTCTCTTACTAGCGGCACTCTGTATATAAAAAGAATACATTATTTTCTATATATGTAACAGAAGGAAAAATCAATAAACAAAAAATGCGAGCTCCTTGAACTAATCATAAAAGGCAAAGTTGCAGGTAGAAGGAGACCTGGCCCCAGACGCACGTCCAGGTTGAAAAACTCAAAACAGTGGTTTGTTCAAAGCAACCATTGATTAGAAGCGCGGCATCCAAAATTAAACTAGCCATGATGGTTGCCAACCTTCGCAAGGAGATGGCACATAGGAAGAAGAATACGAATTGGAAGTGGTAGTGTTACGGCGTAATGGCGCATGCATACGTGTAAGGATTTTGAACCGCAGTCGCGTGCGCACATTTATTCATTACAATAATGTACTGCGTGCTAGGAGTAGGCCACCACCACCGTTACAGTCTTAGCATGATAGATTTTTGGATTCCTTCTTTTACTATACTATATAGCTGAACCAGCGCATTTCATTTTATGGAGGGAAGGGAGCACTGGAAACAGCTTCCGGATACCCAGACATAATTATCGTGCCTAAATTTGGAAAGAGCAGTGTTGGCCTAGTGGCTTCAGCGTGCGACTCTATCCCTCGAGTCGTAGGTTCGATCCCCAGCTATGCACCAACTTTCTTCCAATGTGCGCATTTAACATTTGCTCGAACGGTGAAGGAAAACATCGTGAGGAAACCGACATATGTCTTAGACCCAAAAAGTCGACGGCGTGTGTCAGGCACAGGAGGCTGATCACCTACTTACCTATTTGATTAAAAAATGATCATGAGACAGATTCAGAATTCTGATGCCCAGACCTAAAGAGGTTGTAGCGCCACTGATTTTTAATAAATTTGGAAACTCCATCAGTTAGTAATTGCAGACATGGTTATGAAGCAGCAAATAGCGTAAGACTATCCAAACATACCTGGCACTTATCCATTGATCCAGTGCCTCAGCATCCCTCAGGAAGATGAGAGCATCTAGGTGCTGTTCGTAAATCGTTGCTCTTGCTTGCCAAGCGGCACTCAGCGCGGAACGTCGCGCCCGTAAAGCAGACATGCGACCTTCCACTTCTGACGATAGGAAGTGGCCATCGCTGACAAGTTTTTCACCTGGAATAAAGAAATCATTTAATATACACATAAATCTAATTAAATTACATCAAAACTAGACTAAACATTGAAAAATTATAAAAAATCATATGGTTGAACATAGTATTGTCTTTTATTGACATAACTTTTACACATTTAAAGAAAACACTTTATTTACCAGATTGAAGTTATGTATTGTTATAAACTGATGATTATTTTACATAATTAAAAAAAAAAGCGTGCGTGGTCACCGTCCGGTAAAAAAAGTGTTTTCTTTAAATGGTTGAACTTTTCATAATTTAATTAGTTACTAAATCGAAAATACTTTATACGATCTATCGATCATAAAAATTAGATTTGTATGTAATTTGTACGTAATTTAATAATTAGATTCATCATTTTTTTGTTTTTTTATTTTTTATTATATATTTAATAGTTTCTTTTATATTACGATTCTACTAAATCTATTACTCCAAAAATAACCATAATTTTAGTGATTTTGGTAGATAAATTTTGCAGTTAGTTAGTTTTCTACCATTTTTGATCGCTTAGCCAGCCACGATATTTATACGTCAAGTAACAATATCCTTTTGTAAAACGTTACGATGCGGGGCGGGGATGGAATTACGCGTTATTGTTAACATTATTTTTGACCTTGCAGTACTTTACACAACATAATGGTAACTTTTAGGTATAAATATTGACTGGGTGGTCACGAAACGTTTTACTATTGGGTACAGAAAAACGTTACGGCGCGTTACATGGAGGGGGCGGGGGGAATCAATAGTCTCCAAAAATTGCGTGGCGTAATACTTGAGCGCTCCCTTAACCACTAGGCATGGGAATCGGCAACTGTAATGGTAGAAGATACATTAAAATTACCATCAGCATAAAAGGTGTGGAAAGCGTCATCTTTAGCGTCCATTTCCGGTGAGATATCTCGATGTCTTGCGACAAGTCGTTCTGCTGCCGCCACGTCGCTGCCCAACTCTGGTGCTGTCACCCGAGCCATTGTTTCATTTGTCCACGCCCTGAATAAAAAATCACTAGCTGTAACCTTCGGTTTCACTCGCGTTCATTAGACCATTGGAGCCTTAGTGAATTTTAACCCTGAATCATCAAACTTCTAGAATAAAATCTCATTTAACCAGTCTCGAAAAGTCCCTTTATCAGAAGGAACTTCTGCAATTCTCAACAATAGAGGTTCCTCACTTATCCAGGTCCACGATAGGTTTTCCTATATATCTTTTATATTATCTTCTTACACAAACTCAAAATATCTTTATTTATATTAGGTAAACAAGTACATTTATGAACGTCAAAAAAGAAGTAAAATTAATTATAAATTTACGTTTACTACCAGTTCACAAGTCAAGGGGGGGAGGAAAAAAACGGCAAAACCTTTCCCCCCCCCTCTAAAAGTATGTACAAATGTTTGAACTGGAGCAAATCAATCCCAAGGATTAGGATCATTTAAGTATTCGTGAAATTTATAAAAAGCTTTATTGATTAATTTACGTTTAACGAGGGCTTAGGTTTAGGCAACCAGTTTAAATAAAACCTGATTTGACTCACTCTGACCACAATTGCTGAGGAGCATCAACAGTTCAGTTGTAAATTGCGTTTATATTTTTGAAGTTATACTTAGTTTGGCGCAATATAGAAAAATGATGAGAGTAAATTTTTACGATGCACGCGCACACCGTCACAAAAAACCGACACCCTGAAGTTAGTCAACATTTTAAAATAAAAAATGTCAATTTCTTTAATTATGTAGAAATATTTTTTTGTGATATTTAAATAAACTTTATTTAACTAGATAATGCGTTATAATAAAACTTTTCAATGTATTAAATGCCTTTTTTCTATTGTTAGTGTCGTACTACAAACGTAGAATAAATTTTTGTTTAAAGATTTGTATCTTGTTACGTCAAAGAAGTATAACTTCTAACGCGTGTACATAAGTACACACGTTTTTTTTTTAAGTTTTTGTAAATGATTCTCGCATATGAACGAAAACGATTCAATGTATAATGTATACCTATATCGTTATAAGAACTACTTAATAAGACCTTCATAAGATTTACATAACAAATATCTTAAATTAAGTATCGAACGGGAATTCAATTCCATACAAATGTTCAAACGTTTTCAGTTAAAATTGTTTTATTACACTCACATAAGCTCCTGGTAGGTGTCGAAGTAGGCCTGCAGCTGATCGGCGAGTTGCAGTTGCTGTTCGCAATGGGCCGCTCGTTCTTCTAAAGCCTCCAAGGCCTCCGTCACGTCCTCCAGTTTGGCTTGCACGTGTTCCTTTGCGTCTGGGAAGGCAGCTCCAAGCCTGCAAATTTATTTAGTGCTTAAAAGTGTAACAGTTTTCATTTAGTCAATTAGCAATCAATTGATGAAATTAAAGATTAACAGAATCTTCAATAGATACTTCGGGTAGAATCCATCATCGTGGGTATTAATACAAACCACAGTGGTATTCAAATTTAATCTTAATATAATATATAAATTACGTGTCACGTTGTTTGTCCGCTATGGATTCCCTAAACTACCGAACCGATTTCAATCAAATTTGCACACCGTGTGTAGTTTGATCGAACTTAAAAGATAGGATAGCTTACATCTCAATTTATACCCGTAATATTATTTTATTGCAAAATATTAGTTTATTATTTGATAGCCACAATTCTAGCAGATGGCGCTGTGTTGAAAGTACCAACGTTTCACATAAGCTACAATTGAATGGCATAACCACCAAAAAAGCATGGTGGTCCCCATGACTGGTGTTCTTCTACCGTTTCCCTTGAATAGTTTGCTACTATGTAATATAACAAAAACCCTAGCCACAGCAACGCTTGGCCGGTCTGCTAGTATACTATAATTTAGATTGTATTATTCTGTAAAATAAATAAATAGAAAAAAGATAAAATCGCTTATTTCGTTAAAAATTTAACGATAAAAATGTATTCTACATAAGTACATTATTATAAAACGCAATTGTAAATAAAAAAGGTAAATTCTAGTAAGCATCGAATATTGCGGGTAGAGGCAATAATATAGGGTAGAAATTTATACCTGTCTGCTTCGTTCTTGAGGTGGGCGTGCTTCTCTCTAATGGCGTTCAAATCAGCCCTTAAAGCCCTCAGCTGATGCAATTGCTTCAGGAGTTGAAGAGTAGCCTCTTTTTCAGCCACCCATGCTAACGTTTCCTCCGCAGATCTGTCGAATTCGTGGACTTGCCGAGCTCCAGCTAACGCCTGGAAATAAACACGATATTTATCGAGTGTTTTGTGGTAATCTAATAAAATTCTCGTGTCGCGGTGTTTGTAGTTAAACTCCTCCGAAACGGCTTGACCGATTCTCATGAAATTTTGTGTGCATATTGGGTATGTCTGAGAATCGGATAAGATCCATTTTTCATCCCCCTAAATGTTAAGGGTAGTCCACCCCTAAATTTTTTAAATTTTTTATGATACAGCATTAAAAAACAACAACCCTAAATTTCACCCCTCTACAATCAACCCCTGGCAAAACGACGTTTGCTGGATCAGCTAGTCTTTGTATAAATGTTTTGTGTGTGTTTGTAATTAAATCCCTCCAAAACTGGACCGATTTTCATGTTTTTTTTTGTGTTCAAGCGGAAGAGATAAGCGCTAAGTACTGGTGTGAACAAACTAGAAGAAATAATACACTAGAACAGAGTCTTACCATTAATATTTTTAATTGTGCTGATTTCTATAATTGGTCGATCTAAATGTACCACTTTCTTGCAAATAAACGATTTATTATTATTATTAATAGACTGTAAGTCGTGTTATTCGACACTGAAATGACTGATTAGTCTTAATCGCTAAAACATAATAATAATAATCATTATTATCAATGATGTCTCAGTGAAAATTTATTTTAAAAAAAATGTAGAGAAAATAGTTTTGGTTTAAATTTAGACTATTTTGTATTAAAGAGAGCACGTGTTTCGGTCCCCCACTTTCTAAATTGAAATAAATAAATAAAAAAATCTATATTCATACTCGCGTATAGACAATTATTGTTATAATATAATTTCGCATATTGTATTTTTTACTATGGCATCGCTTAGTTTGCTTAAAAAAGAGATTACCTCTTGTCTGGCAACAGCCAGTTCCTTAAGATCATCCCACAATCCACGAATATCTTCCATCTTCTGTTTCACTCTGTCTGCTTCCGGCGTGTTCTCTTCTAGAAGAGCGGTACCACCTTCGCATACAGCCTCTATGCGACCCTCACTAGCTGTAAGTAAATGAGTTAATTTAGTTATCTGTTATCCGACTTTAGTTACATATACCTTTATTAGGTATGTCAAAACGTTTAGTCCGTTTTATAGTTTTTAAGTTAATGAATAACTAGCTATCCAGCCCGGCTTTTCACTAGTAACAGTGACCCTGATAAAACATTCTAGAAACTATTGATAAAAGTTCATTACAAATTTAAAGTTTATATTAAGACAGATACATAAGACGGAGTACTTGCTTTTATATAATATAAATTTTTACGGATGAAACGCAATAATAATAATATTAGAGTCACGAAGATGCGCAGCGTTTTTGTAGAAGAAAAGGGAGAGAGCGATTGACAGAGAGTGAGAAAGGGCGAACGTAGCAAGAAACAAATATCCATGAAGCGAGAGTAGGAAGCAAGTGAGAAAGATCGAGAGAGAGAGTGAGATGGAGCGACCGTCGCATCACGCACAGTCCCATGGAGCGAGAGGTGGGAGAGAGCTATAGTGAGAAAGATTGAGAGAGAGAGAGTAAGGGATATCGAGAAAAAATACACGCTATTGGTTGATGTATTCGTCTTTTCATCAGATTAATATATATGACACTTAAAAATAACGTGACTTTCTATTGGTCAAACTTTCCACAGCAGATCCACAGATAACCACTCTACGAGGTCACAAACATACCTTTTTATATAGTATTGTCTTTGATTAACATAACTTTTATTCATATCGACTAAAAGATGGAGGGTTTTGGCAAAAATGGCTTACGGTGTCCTCTATTTTCGCGGATTGTGTTTTGCCAAAACCCTCCATCTTTTAGTCGATACCAACTCCGGGGAAATAAATACAGATAATGCAACTTTCTCTGCAGCTGTGATACTTTTTGACATTCAACATCTTTTGTCTTCAGTCACCGTGACCACGCACGCTGTAAAGCACGCGAAACGTCGGATAAATTTAAAATTATGTTAAATAGTTGTAAATTTATAATAATACATAACTTCAATCCGGTCAAAATAGTGTTTTATTAAATACCTTTTTATAATTTAGTTAAATAATAAATCAGTGGCGCTACAACCCTAATTGGGTCATTGATCATTTGTCAATATAATAGGCAAGTTCATCAGCCTCCTGTGCCTGACACAGCCGTCGTTTTTGGGTCTAAGACAAGCCGGTTTCCTCACGATGTTTCTTTCACCGTTCGATATATAGAAAGTCCATTGGTGCATAGCCGGGGATCGAACCTACGACCTCAGGAATGAGAGTCGCACACTGTAGCCACTAGGAGGAAATTAAAATTACCGGGTCAGTCGTGAATAAAACATTAAACCACATCATCACTAACCATGGAGCTGCTGTAGGAAGTTGTCGAAGGCCTGCTGCAGGGTGTCCACATGTTCTACATCCAGACCGTACTCTTCACTAGCGGCAACTGTCATCTGCTCACTGATCCATTCCTGAACTTCTTCGCATTCTTGGACGAACCTGGGTAATTATTTATGAGTCAATTGTATGCAGGATGGAAGTTGCTTGGGAGCGGTCAAGTATTACGTAACGAACTTGGGGGATGGGGTCCTTTTGTAAAACGTTACGGGGCGGTGATTGAATTACGCGTTATTGTTAATATTATTTTCGACTTTCCAGTACTTTACACCACATAATGATGACTTTTAGGTATAAAGAGTCACTGGGTGGTCGAACGCTCCCCAATTCCCGAATGGAGTAATCTTTGTGCCTATCTTTGCGTGGAAAAGAGTGGCGGAGAGTTTATTGCCAGTTCTGTCCCGTTTTACGCCCTTGGTTTGAGAACTGGCAGTGAATGTAAAATTAGAAGCATTAATATGTATTTCTTTTTGACGTTCATAAGTGTACATTGTGTTTGTTACCTATATGAATAAATTATTTTTATTTGATTTGGTGAAAGTAATAATCGCGTGGAATGAAATACATGTTTACTATTACTTGTATATAAAATAAAAATGAATATAAATATTTCAAGACTCTTGACAATTTTGTAAAGTGTTAAAATGTATGAAGAACCAGAAAAATTGAATAAGATCTGACTGGGCAAATTCAAAATGTGATTGCTTATATTAGTACCAACAAAGTATTCTTGAAAGCCCGGCGACGCACTAACGAGCCTTAGGTGCCGTTCAAGTATTACGTAAGCACTATAGGGGGAAAAGCAGGGGGCGGGGTGGTCTTTGATTTTCTTATTTGGTGATTACGTCGACAATAATTATTTACTTTTTTACACATATTACCTACACATTGTCTATGCTTGAAAACGAAATGCATTTTCGAGGATTCCTACAACAATTAATACGTTTATGTACTAATATTTTTGAGAGCTTTGCTTACTTTTGCTGGCAAGAGGAGGGGAGGGGTTAAAACGCAGTAAATCTGCTTACGTAATACTTGAACGACCCCTTATGGCAATGTGAGTGTCCATGGGCGGAGGTATCACTTGGAGAGCTTCCTGTCCGTTTACCTCCTAATACATAAATAAAGAATTTTTTTTAACGAGATGTTTTTCTACTCGATATTAACTCGTTAAAGATCATTATAAGTAAATAATAATAAAATATCAATGTAGAATAATATGAAACAGAATATAAAAGCGGAAGTACTGTTAGTACATCCACAGAGCGCTGCTCAAACTTCTACTTCTCCATACAAACTACCTACTTGAAGTATTTGAGGCTCTGTTGCAATCTCTGTTGACGTTTCGCGGAGAGGAGTTTCAGCTCTTCGCAAAGCTCCTTCACATCATCCATCTTCTTTTTTACGACTTCGTCTTCGTTCATGCGTTCCTGAAAATAATTCATTTCTAAAATAAAATCCTCCTTTTTTTAAGGCATGACGGGCAGCGGTGCAAGAAAGAGGGGGGGGGGCCTCGATGCTGTGTCAATGTCGTCAATATTTAAAAATGGTCAGGATTTTTAAACATCTCCCATTAACGAAAAATTAAAAGAAAAGTCTAATACTATATTTGAATATTAAAAAAAAAATAATTTATATTTATTTACTCTTTGTTGTATAATATAAAAATTTAACATAATTACATGTAAAAGAAAGGCAACTGGCGGCCTTATCGCTTTCGAGCGATCTCTTCCAGGCAACCACTGGTACCATATAATTAATTATAAAAACTTTTTTAATCATTGTAGTTATTATCATAACTAATAATTAACAACTTAAAATAAAATTTTAAAATCGAAATAAAAACAAATTTAAAGAAAAGTCTAATACTACATTTGAAAAAGTCTAATAAATAAATAAATAATTAATTATAAAAGCTTTTTTAATCATTATAGTTATTATAAAAATTAATAATTGATACAAAACTTAAAAATTATCTTAAAACCAAAATCTTTGAAGGTTTCAATTCTACCACGTGTCAATTGCACACGTTTTTTTTTAAATCATTGCTAGTTTTTTAATTACCCATACTATAGTCAGTCGTCGAAGCGCAGCCGTGCGAGTGACACGCGTATAACCTAGCACGAGCTTATCAAGACAATCTAATCATGTCGAAGTGTGACCAATGTAATAAAACGTTTTCTAAATCGATGCCCGGATGTGAATGTGCCCGATGTGAAAAAATGGTACACCTAAATACCAGATGCAGCGGTCTTACGAACAAACAGATAACTGCATTAAAGGCGGCCCCAAGCCTAGATTGGACTTGTATGGAATGCCAGCATGAATCCCCGAAGCGAAACTCCTCTTTGTTTCTAACAGAGGATGCAGAGGAGGATATACCTATGGACACTAAGGGGCTAATACATAAAATCTCCAAGGAGGTGGAAAAAACTATAAAGAAGGAAATAAGCGAACTTAACCAATCTCTGCAATTTCACAGTACGAAGTTGGATGAAGTATTAGGTTGTATTGATGCCTTTAAAAATACCATAAAAGCTTTAGAAAGAAAAAACACGGAACTATTACAAAAAAACAACAATCTCGAATTGAGGGTAGGCGTATTGGAGCAGCGTTTCCATGAGATGGAACAGAAGAAACTTGCTAATTCTATAGAAATAGCAAACGTCCCCCCTGCGAGCGAAGAGAATGTGATAAAATTAGTTGAAAATGTAGCATTAAAACTTAAACAGCCCTTCGACGGTATCCGTAACTCAATGCGATACCAAGGTAAATACGACCAACCCGGCATTATACGAGTTAAACTTACTGATAAAGCGACCCAAGAAAAGTGGATTAAAGCTGCAAAAACCATTAAAACTATGGTGGCCGATGTTTGCCCCTATGAACCCAACAATAACAAAATAGTATTCATCAGGGAAGCAATGACTAAATCCAACAAAAGCATTTTATGGGAAGCCAAGCAGGAATTAAAGAACAAACAAAACTATAAATACGTTTGGTTTAAAAACGGTATGGTTCGTGCAAGAAAAGATGATAACACGAAAATAGAAAACTTAAGATCTATATTGGATATACAAGTTATAAAAAAAAAAGACAGAATGTCAATTAACTGCCCAAATTAAATTGCATATAAATTATTATTATTAATATGGATAGTTTAACTAGTGATATTTGTGAATTAGAAGACTGTATAAACATAAATGATTTCGTGAGTAAAATACCCAGCAAACATTTAAATCTGTTGTGTGTACACATAAATATAAGGTCAATCATAAAATATTTTGCTAGCCTCGAGCAATGTATATATGCGGCTAACACTATAGACGTTATTGTTGTTACAGAGGTTAACATTTCTGATAGAATCAGTTGTTTGTACAATTTAAATGGATATCAAATGTTCTCAGCGCTCAGAAACAGTAGGAAAGGTGGTGGTATCTTAGTTTATGTAAAAAAGAAACATAAATTTAGTATACAAATTGTAAAAAGCCAACATTTCGAGAATATACTCTTTACCATCACAACTCAGACGAAATACACTGCGCATATTTGTGCTATTTACCGCCCACCTAGCCTAAGCAAGAGCCTGTTTATTGACGAACTTCATAATATCATTAAGAGTAACTGCCAGAAAAATATAGACTTGTATCTATTGGGGGACGTTAATATAAACCTAAAGCTAGACATTCCTATAAAACATAAATATTGCAACACATTACACAGTTTAGGCCTTATGTGTGGGATCACAACATACACTAGGGCAGAACTATACAAAGGAATCGTTACAAAATCATGCATAGATCACATATACGCTCGATCCCAAACACACGACCTATACACTGCAGCGGTTGGCACAAAACTAGCGGACCATCGAGCGATCGTGCTCGCTTGCACTAAAGCACAGCTACAGGATGTTCCAACATATAAAACATTAATTGACAAAAATAAATTAACGACCCTTCTAGAGCAAATTGATTGGAAGCCGACAGTAGAAATGAAGTGTCCTATTGGCATATACAACTTCATACAAAACAACATAACTCAAGCATATAAAAAATCAGAATATACAGTTAAACTTAAATCTAACATTCATCGAAACAGTAACCATTGGATTAATAATAGAATTATTAAAGCATGTCATTACAGAGATAAACTTTTTACACAATATATAAAAGATCCAAACAACTTAATACTTAAACAAAAATATAATAAAACCAGAAATTATGTCAATAAATTAATAAATAAAACTAAAAATAAAACACTTAGAACCAATATAGAAGCTAATAAAAACAATCTAAAAAATCTATGGGATATATTAAACCGATTAACAGGAAAAATTAAAACATCCATTGACGTAGCTATACAAAACTCATTTGAAAATCAAAATGTTACGTGTAAAGATATTGCAAATAATTTTGCAACTACCTTCCACAATAGTATCAGTAATGTTGCAACCAACTGTGTAAATCCACTGTTGGATACAAGTTTATACCGGCGAGCAGAAAATATTAGTATGAGATTTCAGTCAGCAGACCCTAAATCTGTTGCAAAGATAATAAAATCATTAAACGACAAAAAATCTCCAGGCGCAGATAGAATACGAACTATAGACATTAAAATGTTATGTAATAAAATAAACGTAGCCATAGCTAATCTTATTAACACGAGCATTTACACTGGACAATATCCTAATTTATTAAAAACAGGTATAGTACGACCAATATACAAAAATGGTAGCAAAAAAACTACAATAATTATCGTCCAATAACTATACTGCCAACAATCAACAAAATAATTGAAAAATACATATGTGGACAAATTCAAAGTTATTATAAAAAACACAATATTCTTTCTAACAAACAATACGGATTTCAACCAAATAAAAACACCACACAATTACTATCCGCATTCACAGATCATATTTATAAGCACTTAAATAAAAAGGATCATGTCCTGGTAGTGTTTATTGATTATAGCAAGGCATTCGACACATTAAGGCACAGCGTAATACTACAAAACCTAAATGACTGCGGAGTACGAGGAAACCTGCTCAAGTGGTGTGAAAACTATCTGCAAGATAGAACTTATCGTGTTAAAGTGTGCAACGAAGAAAGTTTCCCAATATCCATAACAGAAGGTACGGCTCAGGGCTCAGTTATTGGACCCTTGCATTACCTTACCTACGTTAACACATTACCTAACATAATAAAATATTGCCAGATATTCCAATTTGCAGACGATACATGCCTAGTAGCCGCTGGGGCTAACATACAAGAAGCAGAAACAAAGCTACAATCTGATTTCGATACATTGGCTAAATGGTCCCACGACGTGGGACTTGTACTAAATCCGAATAAAACAAAGTTCATGCATATCCGATCCAGTCACAATCTAAGCGCACGTACACCCCACTTAATCTTACACAACCACATTTGTGCACATTCCTATAACTCGTACCCCATCAACTGTAACTGCAACGCCTTAGAATTAGTTCATAACCACAAATACCTGGGGCTTACAATAGATGACCGAATGTCTTGGAAAATGCACATTAATTCTGTCTGTGAAAGGCTAAGAGTGATACTTGCCAAATTCACTATAATAAAAAATAAAATACCTCTCAATACTCTGCTACTGCTATACAAAGCACTAGCAGAATCTATTATAACATATGGACTTTCAAGCTATGGGAGAACATGCAAAACCTATCTTAATCAAATATTTTCATTACAAATACGTATTTTAAAAGCAATTGCTCCTTACAAAATAAAATCACAATATAAAGAAGACTATAGAAAGCTATTTGCATTTTTCAAAATTATACCTATACAAGAGAAAGTACAGCTAGCATTATTAAATGAAAACTACTTTACAGACAATTACCTTAAAACAACTAAAACTCATTATCACTATACAACACGTAGAAAATTAAAAAACTAATTTCTTTTACCAAAATACAATAATTTATATGGGAAAAAACATTAGACTATATTATTCCAAATCTATTAAACTCTTTACCGGCTGCGCTATTTGCTAATGTAACAGGAAACAATATCAAATTTAAATTAAAAAATTACTTTATAAGTCAAACAATTACAAATTATGCATAACTAAAAGTAGGACGTCGTTATTTAGTTCATGTTCGAATATGTAAATTCGATTACACATCCTGTATTCGAATGAGAATTTCTCGTCAAGAACAGGTTTCTTGCATCGGCTGTGGAGCGTCATTGTTTCAATTGGTATATGTTGTTCGTGCAATTTTTATGGTTTATTGGTGGGGTGTTATATTGTATAGTGTGTCACTGGCCTGAGTGTGTAATAGGTTAATTATTTAAATATTTTCGACGACCTGGTGGACGGAAAAACTGTTTCCAGTTTGTGTTTCCACCACGCCAACTTTTTTCTATTTAGGATGATGTATAGAATAAATAAATAAATAAAAATAAACAGATAAGAACAGAACTTAAATAGCAGATAAATTATTAGTTCAACGAGGGCCTCTTATTTCCCACAAGCGGTCTCTTCTTAATTCTTATATTTATGAAAGACAACATAAAAAAAAACTAAAACAGTGAAATTATAATTAGGAAATTAGTTATTAAAAACCTGCGCAGCCTTCTCCAATCGCGTCACAGAGGGAAGAAAAGCTGTCAACTCTCTCTGTTGAGCTTCCAATCTTCTCACCAGTCCCAGGACTGACTCTTCATCTCTTCCCGTATCTCCTCCCGACAGAGCAGTCTTTCTTTCCACCAGCCACGCTTCAGTTTCCCACATTTCAGACAATAACTGAAAAGCGATTTAAACACTCCACTTTAGTTTCACGCAAAGGCATTGTCAATTGAACATCAATACATAGACATAAAATTTATTAATAACGAAACACACACACAAGAAATACACAAAATAAGAAAAAAATATGTAAAAGTTCTTTAATTATGGAATTCTTTCGGATGGCAACACAGAATGTCATTGAATATCTTAGGTTAGTATAATTTATTGTCTTGATACTTCATGCAATTACTCATTTTTATAATAAATATAGTTTTAGTTTTCCATGCAATGCTAGTCAATTTAATTTCATAGAAATACAGTTACTATCAATGTAAAAAATAATAAAACAAAATCAAGTATCAAGTAAGTTTAATCCACAAAATATATCAAACTTTTAGGGATACCATACTAAATTTTTCTGAATTTGCCGCGCCTTTTCGTTATCTTCTTATATTAGCCAGACTCTAATAAATATATTATTTATATAGACAATTTTACCTGTAAAGACAGCACCCTATCCTTGAGACTGGCGGAACGTAACGCCGCTGCTTCGAGGAGCGTTTTCAAAGCGTTTTTAAGGTCTCTCGAGCGCGTTTCTAGAGCGTTACCCGCAAAATGTCCGCGCCGAGATAATGCTGACGCGCGACTGCACACTGCGTTGATTGTAGACTCGCTGCAAAATATATAAATCATATTAGTTTGCTGTAGGTGGCAGAAGGTGGAACTAAATAGAGATGAACAGGATAGGCCAGTAATTGTAAAATAGAAAGTAAATATATGTACATTAAATGCTTCTAATTTTACATTTACTACCAGCTCTCAAATCAAGGGCGTCGAACGGAAGAGAACTGGGAATAAACTCTCCGCCACTCTTTTTAATCGCCAAGTTTTGAATGGCGCTGTTTAGTAAAGAGACTAAGCTAGAAGAAGCTGTTGACTGAACGGCTAATTTAGCTAGTTGGCTGCGACATATATTACTATATGTCGTAGTATATATATATACTTTCTGGGCAAACGTTGTTTTGCCATGTATATTATTTCTAGAAAACATTTTTTTAGTTCAATAAAAATAACTATCTACTATAATAAAACATAGGGGTTGATCGTAGAGGGGTGAAAATTAAGGGTTGTATGTATTTTTGTATGCTGTATCATAAAAAAATAAAAACAAAAAAAATTTAGGAATTTTTTTTTGGACACCCCACCCCTCCTTATCACTTAGGAGTTTGAAATATAGATAGTAGCTGATTCTCAGACTTATTGAGTATGCAAAAATTCATAATAATCGCTAAAACTAAGTTAAAGCTAAGTAATGCGGGAGAAATGCGTTCGATACAATAGTAAACTACGCTACGAAATTTTGCTATTTAGCAAACTTACCGCGCAATAATTTCAGCCTCCAACGCCGAGTGTTTCTTTAATAATGCTTGAGCTTCTGGTAGAGTCGCTCCAGCTTCTTCAGAGCGCACAGCGCTTTCCCGTTCCTTCAACCTGGATAAGAAATAAGTCGATCGAATAGTTAAAAACAAAGATTATTACGAACGAACCTAATCGAATCAAAAAGTGCGTGCGTACGAACACATGTCAGAAATGGACTTGGACTTTTTTGGCAAACTAATTTTTAAGTCTTGTTCAAATTTACACAAATCTAAAACTTTAGATTTCCTAACTTAGAGGGAGGGAAAAAGGAAGATATGTTAAGAATTTAACTGTCAAATAAATAAATAAAATATTAAAAGTGCCGATAATTAAGCGTCATTTTAGATTTCAATAAATTATTTTGCGTAAAATATAAAATACGTAGTCGGTCCCAAAGTTCTGTCATAAATGGAAATAATGATAAAAACAAAAGTACTGATCAGTTTGTAATGAGTGATATATCAATTCTTAGAACATTAATTAAGGAATAAAAAAAGCATAAAAATATTCGAAATAACCTCCCTCATTTTTAATACAGGCCCTTAAGCGTCGCGGCCAGTCGTCTATCGCAGCACGCACCATATTCGTGTCGATTTCAGTCACTGGTTTTTTAAAGATGACTTCAGATTCTCCAAATTTTCATGAGGTTTATCACAGACCTTCCTCTCTAAGCCCTGTCATAATTTTCGGGTCCAAAGGATTAAGGTCCGGACTGGAGGAAGGCCAATCCTCATGTCTAATTAAGACGATGTTTTGACGCTCAAACCAGGCTTTAGTGGTCTTGGCTTTGTATGCAGACGCAGAGTCCTGCTGGAACACGAAGTGATGTCCCGCAAATAGGGTGCTGGACATGTCTTTGACAAGGCGATACAAAACCGTCTCTTGGTACACTGTAGCACTGGTTTTGACCCCTTTTCGAAAAAAATTAACCTCAGTTAGCCCGTAATAGGACACTCCCAACCAAACCATTACTGATGATGGATGATGTCCATGTTGCACCCTTGGAACTATATTTTCAGCTTCTTCAGAACTCTTAGCGTACACTGTATAATTCTGTTTATTGTACTTCTCTTCAATATCGAAAAATTTTTCGTCCGTAAAGAGGATATCACGGTGTCGGTTTTTCGCGTACCGCTTAAACAACATCCGCGATCTCTTAAGCCTTATTGCTTTTAGACGAGCATTAAGTAAGTGCCCACTCTTTTTTGTATGCTCGTAGACCAAGATCTTCATTTAAAACCTTTTTTACTGTTTTCCTACTGACACCCATCTGCAAATCCATCAACTTCTGTTTTCGGACAGGATTTCTTACTATCCGCGCCTTGATAGCTTTGATTACTGCTGGTGTTCTTGCGGAGCGTGGCCAGCCAGTTCTTTTCTTGTCCTCAACACTGGAGACATCAAGGTACCTATCAATAGTACCGTACACAAACCTAAGCGTTATATTCAAATTTTTGAGCAACTTGAAAATGGTACTCGGCGAGTGTCCACAGCGGTGCAACGCAATAACAACTATTCGGTTTACTTTCAATGTCCACTCCATCGTGAAAAATTACGGAAAGTTATTGTTTTTTGTTTTAAAACAATAATCAAACATTCCAAAATAGAATGCAATAATTTTTTTATAAAATCCATCTCGAAATGTAGAAATAATGTGCTAGTGACAGAACTTTGGGACCAACTACGTACAAATATTTCATAGATTCTCTTTACGAAATTTTAATTTTAAAAATAGAAATTCCAGAAGGTAATTCGCCCTTCTCACTCTCACTCAATCGGTCTCAATCGCTCTCTCCCTTTTCTTCGACAAAAACGCTGCACATCTTCGTGACGTTAATATTATTATTATTGCGTTTCATCCGTAAAAATTGTATCCTCTGCGCCTTAAAGATTCACTTCAAAAACTTTTTGATGTTTCATATGGAATCTTTTGAGAACAAGCGTAACAATTACAGGTATACTGTGGATATATCTTTTAGTCAAGTCAAAATAATTGTATTATGTTGGGATAAAATTATTTTTTTAACACGTGAAAAGTATGAAAACGAACAGATTATTTTTTATAAATTGTTTCTTCACTGAGACATCATTGAAAATTACGAAGATTAAGGATTTAACATAAAGTGTCAAATAAACACTTCCGTCTCTATTGAGATAACAATGTTCTTGTGCAATGCACAAATTCAAATGTTTTTGTACTGTACAGTCTTCTCACGTAAAAGCAAGTACAAAATATACAAAAGAAATATATTCAAAGTAAATAGTTAATCAAGAAATATAAAGCTTAGAAAACTACGTTAATTAAATTTAAAATGTATTAAAATATTGATAAAAATAAAAAGACGTGTGGCTCTCGGGGACTGACGCGGTAAAGCTATTGCATAATTTTTTTTTCTGTATTTTTTTATTTAATATTAATTCAAATTTTTTCTTTGATAAATAAATTCAATCTACCACTCTACCATACTCAGACTACTCGCCTATATAGTCTGTCTCACTCTAACTCGCACCGGCTGCACCGATCTCATCAGAGAGATGTGAATACGCAGTATGCGTTCTGTCCCGCTCTAACGCGTAAGGTTTTTTCGTTACATTTCTGGATTCGGTCTCCACGCTCGAGGATAGAATCTATGCAATAGCTTAAAAACACCACAAAATTAGTATAACTACTACTACACTTACCAGTGTAATTCTTCATCAGCATCTCTTTCCCATCGGTGAAGTAACGCAGCATCTTCAAGGTTGTCCCGACGAATCTGCATCGGCTCTTGCAATTGACGGTAGCTGCAAAAAATTAAACAAGAGGGTAGTTGCAGGCAGTAGACTTTAGAGTAACTGTTCAAATCGTGTTCTTTAATCTGTCCAGCAATGATTTTTTTTGTTATATTTTAATACGATATGGGCTACCATTATTATAGGTAGGTACCTACCTACCTACCTATAATAAATTTACGTGCGTTAGGATATAGGAAACTTAACGTGGATTTGTCGCAAATTTCCATTTTCGCCTCTGCCAGCAGTTAACCCACTAATGACAAAGCGACTTCTTAGCCTCAGTAAAAAAGTCAAAAATCATTTATTCATGGTAAATACATAGTCGGAATAACTAACATCACCGCATACATGAAGTCAAGTACGACCAGTCGCCACAAGTAGCACCCGTTCACGAGTATGACGCATGGCCATCCATCGGCCCCCTCGCCATATTTTAGGGAGAGAGACAACCCGACGCATGGACGCCGCCTCAATTGAACTAATCTCAAAACAACGATAGGGACAATTACGGGCCACTGTCTCCTTAATAAACATCTTTTTGTTCTAGGTACGACAGACAGTCCCATGTGCAGAGGCTGTTACAGAATCAGTCACGTAGTCCTGGAATGCGTGACTGTGGCTAACTTACGTACAGAAATACTCTAAGCAGTGAGGTCGCTCCGTGAAGCATGCGAAGTACCCAGGAGACTTCTGTGCTTCTGGAAGGAGCTAGGCTGACTTTACGCTCAACGGGCTAATGAGAGTCTAAGTGCGGAATCTGAGTCCACCAATCATTAACCATCGATCATTCGGAGACAGTATTAGGGTGCGTCCAAACGTAGGTGCGGCAACTCATGCAAGGCTCGTATAAGGCGTGCGCGCACTCAATTCTCGCGCTTACAGTTCCGTTTACTGGCGTGGGCGAAAGGAAGACGCGAGCCGCTAGCGCGCCGCAGGAACGGTGCACGAACAAAAATGCACGCGCGCAGCTCGCAAACCGCAGCTGTTTTTACAAAAATTAACTTTAAATCTAAAAAAGTCTAAAATTTTCCTTACCGTTTGACAGCCTGCTCGGTCTTCTCCAATATCTCCTCTGACATAAAGTGTCCTGTGTCAGCTAGATGCGTAGCGGTGTCCGCAAGTTGTGTCGCCACTTCCGCCTTACTAGCCACGCCTTGCTCCAGGCGGGTGTGCTTTTTGAGGAGGGCGCAGACTGACGAGAGGTCTTTGCCTATAAAAGAAAATGCATTATATATCTAACTAGCTGTACCCCGTCACGCTTCATGGTTCAGAAATGAGAAACAAAACAAACAATACATTTCATATAAGTTTACTTTTTCAATACTTGTGGAAAAAAAAAAAAAAAAACGATCCTTTATGCGGATTATATATCATGCTAAAATTTCAGCTCGATCGGTGCAGAACTTTTTGAGTTTTTGAACGCACACAAACCAACATAAATTTTTTATATATAAATCTAATAGATAAAATTCTCATGTCGCGGTGTTTGTAGTTAACCTCCTCCGAAACGGCTTGACCGATTCTCATGACATTTTGTGTGCATATTGGGTATGTCTGAGAATCGGACAACATCTATTTTTCATCCCGCTAAATGTTAAGGGTAGTCCACCCCTATTATTCTAATTGGCATTAAAAATACATACAACCCCTAATTTTCACCCCTCTACGATCAACCCCTACTCTTAATATACATGATATACATGGCAAAACGACGTTTGCGACGGATCAGCTAGTAGATATATAAAATTCTCGTGTCACAATGTTCGTTTCCTTCTAACTTCTAACGCGTGTACCTAAGTACACACACATCTTTTTTATTATGTGATGTAAACGTCAATTGTTGCCGCATTGGTGTAATCTGTGGTGGTAGCTTATTTTGTTAAAAAAAAATATTTACATATTTTTAACAGTGGATTTTTCACATTAAAATAAGTTATTTTACTCCACATTAAAAAGCCTTATTTTACACAGATTTAACTTTTATTAGACTTTATTATTCGTACTGTCAAATAGCCAAAAGAAAATCATTACTTACCATGATCCTCACTGAGTAATTGCGTCTCAACGTCATCCAACCAAATGATGAAGTCGTCCAGGCCACGAAGGAACACCCTGGCTTGGTACGCCTCTTGCAATCTATCACATCGGAGTTTCGCCGCGTGCTATATTAAAACAAAACAAGAAATTTAAAAAATAAATAATATCGCGGGCTTTGAGTGCGGCGAATTAAGAAATTCCGTAACGAAAATAAAACCTAACACACGTTGACGCAATATAGGTGCGGCCAATACGCGTTAGAGTGGGACAGAACGCATGCTGCGTATTCACATCTCTCTCTCCGATCGGTGACGTAGCATAAGCGCGGCCGGTACACGTTAGAGTGAGATAGACTATATAGGCGTGTTTCTGGTAAAGTGGTAGATTGAATTAATATGAAAAAAAGATACTGCATAAATAAATAATTATAATTGCATAAGTTGATAAAAAATGCTATGCTGCTTTACCGGCAGTCCCCGAGTGCCACAAGTTTTTTTATAGAACAGAGGGCAAACGGGCAGGAGGCTCCCTTGATGTTGCTTGATGAATTGGTACACAATTTTCTTTTCCAGTGGGCAGCTGGTTCCACATAGTGGTGATGCGCGGAAAAGACTGCCTTAAAAAACGCTCCGTTGTGAAACGGACGTCAAGCCTGGTCTGATCATGAACATATGTCTATTCACAGATTTCGATCTTTGGACTTTTCGTGTCTGACAAATTTGTATACACTTATGCAAGTGCTAAAATAGATTTTGTTCCTCCTTATATCATTACAATGCTAAAATATATAAATTAGAACAAACCTGTAACTCTCTCCACAGATTTTCCAGGTCTTCGACGTGTCTTGCAATCTCTTGTGATGCGTAGTGCTCTGATTCTGTAATAAGTAATATAAATTAATAAACCTTGGTGCCAATTTTTGAAGAAGTGTTGAAGCTTCGACGAGCAAAGTTTGAAGTTTCGACTGCTTTTACCAGTAATCGCAGACTGAGAGATTGTCAGATAAAGTGGAGAGACACATTTGATATAAATGCAATCTGTTGCATACAAAGTTGGAATTTTCGCTAGATTTTTTAGCAAATTTTTATTTAATTTTTATTTTAATAAATAAATTATTTTGTAATGAAAATCGTATAAGATGTACAAGGAACTGCATAATCAGTCATATTAAATATAAGTAACATAATTATAATACATATCTATACTAATATTATAAAGAGGGGAGATTGGTATGTAAGAATGATTGTAACGAACTGGCTCAAGAAGCACTTGACCGATTTTAAAAATTCTTTCACCATTTGAATGCTACATTATCACTGATAGGCTATTTTAATTGAAAGAAAAAATAAGGATCCCTATTAAAAAAGAAATACCTATAAAATAACCATCGCATGCGATGCGAAAACGATAGATAATAGAAAAAAAATGTTCCACAATATTAATGAAAATATTAATATCAAATTTTTTTTTTACAAAATAAATGTCCACCCGTGCGAAGCCGGGACAGGCCGCTAGTAATGTTATAAAGGGGAAAGATTTGATTGTTTGTTTGCATTGATTAGAGTCCAAGACTACTGGACTGATTTGAAAATGTTTTTCTCTATTACAACCCTACGTTACCTTTGATGAACAAAAGCTATATAATATTTTCAAAAAAGATTGTATTAGGTATATACCTAGTTATATAATTACGAAAGTGATGTTCTACAGTTAATATAAGACATCAATCTCTACCAAAAAGTCCTTGATACCATGTTTAACAAAATTTTTGCATTTAAAAGTCTATTTCTAGAAAAGCTTTAGGCTATAGAACATCGTGCTACGACCGAATTAATGCAGGTAGACCGCAAAGCTAACAATACATACGTCATACGTCCGCGTACGTAGCAACGTGCACTTGGAAAGAGTTTTAGATTTGAAAATTCAATTCGCGTGACGTGAATTCTCTTAAAATGATAAAATTGCGGTAAACGGCTAATCTCACCAATAAGTTTCTCCCCTGCAGCAGCTACGTCATCAATGCGTCGTTTGTTCGCAGCTAATTCGGACTCAAACGCCGACTGTTTCTCCATCTTTGACTGAAGGTTTGATAATTCTCTACAAATATAGAAAGATACAAAAATAGTTATTTAAAAAAAAGGGTTAGTCGACATCACAGGAGACCGAAGATCTGGCAGCTACCTCGAACAAGAATTAGACTAGCTATTCAAAGGGGGAACGCTGCCAGTATCTTCGGGACCTTGCCTAAAGGGACTCCTTTTAATAATATATTTTAGTTATTATATTTTAAGGTGAGGTTTTTTTAATATTAAATAACGTATAATTATTATTATATTTATTAATTTCTAGTTATGTATGTTGATTAATTTCAGCTCGTATAATACTGCTCGTATATGCCTTCAACGTTCGACACATTAAACTACTATTACAAAGATCACGGAACAAACAGACATCTGAGGGCTAGACCTAAAAGGGTGTAGCGTTGGTATATTGTGTTGTTTTATTTAAATTAATAAATTATTGAAGTGAAACTTTTTTAGGCGGAGGTAATTTTTTACCGATGAAACGCAATAATAATATTAGCGTCATGAGGATGTGCAGCGTTTTTGTCGAAGAAAAGGGAGAGAGCGCTTGAGACCGATTGAGATAGAGCGAACGTCGCATCACGCACATTGCCATGGAGCGAGAGGTGGGAGAGAGCTATAGTGAGAAAGATTGAGAGAGAGAGTAAGGGAGATCGAGAAAAAATACACGCTATTGGTTGATGTATTCGTTTAGTTACATATTAGAACTTTAGATTGCAATTTTTTTTTTTTTTTAAAGACAATTCACACCAATTGACCTAGTCCCATGCTAAGCTGGTGAAGCTTGTGTTATGGGTACTAGGCAACGGATATACATACATATTATAGATAGATAGACATATAAATACATATCTAAACGCCCAAGACCTAAGCACAACACCAAATGCTCATCACATCGATGTTCGTCTCAGCCGGGGATCGAACCCGGGACCCATGGATTCGCAGTCAGGGGTACTGACCACTAGACCAATGAGTCGTAATTCTGCCGCATAACGTCTTGTGCAGTAAACGCAGATTTTTAATACTTTAATGACAATTAAATTCATTTAATTCTTAACATATCTTCCTTTTTCCCTCCCTCTAAGTCTCGGAAATCTAAAGTTTTTGATTTGTATAAACATGAACAAGACTTAAATTAGTTTGAAAAAAAAAAAATTAGTTTGCCAAAGAAGTTTCACTGCTGTCATGTGTACTTTGTACGCACGCACTTTTTTTAAATATGCATTTTCATTTCGTGGTGTGGTAAGGAGATTGACGCAAAAATTTACCTTAAAAAAAATCTATAAAGAAATAGTATCAATGAAAACCCCAAAACTCAGTGTTACAGGGCTTCACGCAATTTCTGATGTACTGTACCTATAATTGTGATCATTCGCGATCTGCATCTTCAGTTCAATCCATTCCCGTTCGTGAGTCAGATCCCGTAGGAATTGGTGGAGTTGTTTCGATTGTTCCAATTTCTTGCCTCGAATGACACATGATTCCTAAAAAAAAATTATATTAATAAAGACTTGAGTTATGACATTTATATGTCAAAAAACGTTACAGATTTTGACATACAGAAGTCATAGGTATGTTCGCGCGACATTTCTCATAGGGGTCAGACGGTCTATAAATATTATATCATAAACTTTAACTTACCTTAATGCTATATTAAGATAAGTTCATTAAAACAATATTTGCGTAATCAGTTAGGTAAGTTAATTTTTTAACAAATTTTTTATAAAAAAATGGATCCAACTTAGGGAGCGTTGAAGTATTACGTAACGAATTTGGGGGGGTCCTTTTGTGAAACGTTACGATGCGGGGCGGGGATCGTTTTTCCAGTACTTTACACCACATAATGGTAACTTTTAGGTATAAAGAGTCGTAATATTTGAACGCTCCCTTACTCTGAGTGCTCATCCAAATCTAAACGCACACACACACACAGCCAAATTGATGGATCACAAAAAGGACACAGGAAATGAAGGCTTCAGAAAGCTTAAAACCTAAAAGATTTTCCGAGAAAAATACGATGCATCTAAGAAAATAGTTAATACCTTCAGTTTATTAGCTCTTGACCGAATAGCCTTGGTCCGGGTCTCAATATACGGAGAGTCCTGATGCTGCTTCGCCAAAAGACTGCTACCGAACTTCTCCAGTTCGTCCACTCGACCGATTTGAGATTCCAGCAGTTTTGCGAATTCTATATGCTTCCGGATTAATGTTTCCACCGCTGAAAAATAATAGTTATTTATTAATTTTAAAATATATACATGGAATGCTCGTATTATCAGGAATTCTGATCGTGTCAATTGACTGTTGATTTTTATGGTTGCTTTGGTTAATAATAGAGATTTTCCTATTACTTTTAAGAATTATAATTTATTTTGATAAGATCTTTTTTGTAATTATTTGATTGTTTCATAACTTGGAATCATTACTTAACGAATAAAATAAGTGATATTGTTACGACCAATCCAGAACAGAAGAATAATGACAAATAGAGAAACTATTATGATACAAATAGGAGGAGATGCTATCGAATATGTAGATCACTATGTATATTTAGGGCAAATAATATCATTTCATGACCAAATGGATCTTGAGATAGAAAGAAGAGTGTCTTGCGCCTGGAAGAGATTTTGGTCACTCAAGGAAGTCCTTAAAAGTAAAGACTTCCCAATAGTAGCTAAGAAAAAGATGTTCAATTTATGTATCCTACCATGTGTTACATACGGCTGCGAGACTTGGGCTTTATCTCAGAAACATCTTCTAAAGTTGAGAACATGCCAAAGAGGAATGGAAAGAAGCATGGTGGGTGTAACACTGAGACATCGAAAAAGAGCAGAAGAGATCAGATCAACGACCAAATTAGAAGACATTATAAAGAAAATAAGGCAGTTGAAATGGCGCTGGACTGGGCACATGACGAGATATTAGGTTGATATTGATAGCAGGTTGAAATGGACAAAAATAATTACAGAATGGCAACCACGTGATGGAAAAAGGAAACGAGGAATACCGAGCAAGAGATGGGCAGACGATATAAAGATAATAGGAGGCACAACTTGGACAAGAAGAGCCAATGTCAGAAAAGAATGGAAACAGCTGGAAGAGGCCTATGTGTCACAGGACACGCTGATTACCTAAAACGGGTCAAGTGACGTATTAGATTAAGTTTTATTTATGTATTAGAATTAAGTGTTTTTTTTATGTAACTTAAATATTTGTTATTACATTGTACTGGGTGTCAGCAATAAAGGTTAATGAATATGAATCAGAACAGAGCAAATGCCTCAAATGGGGTCGAGGCGCCATCTTGACTTTGGCCAGTCTTTTGTGCTCGCACTTTACCCACATGACATATACGTATACAGTCAAACCTGGATAACCGAGAGTTCAAGGGACCACAATCTCATTCTCGCTTATAGAGGTTTCTCACTAACCCGAGTCGCGTTTCCCTCTATTAGAGCAGCAGCAATAACAAGTCACAGCGAGTACGAATGTAGTAGGTAAATATGTAATATGATAAAATTATGTGAATAATGTGCTCAACATATATTATGTACATATATATTTTATTTTATTTAGAACTTATTTACACTTTAAAAAATACGTCAATTTCGTTTGGGTTTTTGTATATTGTAGCTATAGTTCCTCCTAAATAATATAAATAAATAAAGCTCGACTGCCGCTTATAGAGGTATAGATAAGTAGCAGTCTCACTTACGGAGGCTCATGAGGGAAAAACTACTCTCCCTTACAGAGGTTTCTGTTTCTCGCTAATAGAGGTTTTGGGAGCTTAAAATGACGGGTCCCGGCTATTACTCTCACTTATAGAGTTTTGCTCACTTATCCAGTTCTCACTTACCAAGGTTTGACTGTATATACAACTAGAACGATCTGATTAGGACATTGTCTCTATTATTTTGTAAGATTTTTCCTAGTAAACGTATTAATTATTATATATTAATTTTTAAAAAAAGTCTCTTCCCTACAAGTATGTTCAACTTGCCTTAAAAATAACTTTTACTCTGCGATAAATAGCTATAGGAAACTACGTACAAACTAAAATTTGTAGTTGTTTTTCTCTATTTTGGAAGTGAGATATTTTTTGTAAAATATATTGTTACGAAAACGCGTCGACTGTAACGTTTCTAAAGATGTGATGGGACAAGTGATAAAGCACTGTGTGAAGGGCGTGTAATTTAAGTATTATGTGGTGTACTTTAATAAACAAATAATATGATAGATTAAGATTTTGATTTGATTATAAAATGCACATGAATTATGAAAAGGAGTTAGGAATACGATATAAAGTTATCTTTAAAAGCTAATAAACTCACCATCTAAGTTTTCTCCAAGATCATCATTGTTCAGGAAGGCTTCTTTAGCAGCGAGCCAATCTTCCACCTGCCTCGCTTGCTCGTTGAGGAGCTGCAACTCGTGCGCCTGTTACGAGATTTCTCAAGTTATATTTCTGTAGTGAAATTGATAGTTTTTTCAAGTCCACAATTAGTTTTGCATACCTTTGCACCTGTTACATTCTCGTGTCATTGTATGGGTCGGTTATCGAAAGCTGGCGCGTTCACAGCACTCACACTAATGCAATTTCACTATACATACTGTTTAAAAATATGACTTTTTTGCCAAGCTATATATTTTAGTATACTCTGGTTTTAGTAAGGTTGGGTGGGTTGTAAAATAAATAAAAATGTGACAAATTCATATAAATATTATGTGCATACGAGGGTGGATCCAAAAGTTCGAAGCCCGACCAAGAACGTAAAAGAGTAGTTTGTGTAAATAATTTTTCATTTTCCGACATAATCCATCTAGCTCAACACACTTCACTTTTACTTCACTAACTATTTTTTCAATACGCCCCTTAGAAATACCAGTCGCATCTGATGTCAAATTAAAAATAACATTCTTTCATCAAACTGTTTTTATTAAGATGCTTAAAATAATTAAAAACATTGTGCACCATTTCACGAGATTGTCCTGTTAATGTTTGAAAAAAGATCAACATGTACAGTAAAGATCAACATAAACAGTAGCAAAAGCAAAACAATAACTGTCTCTTTTATACTCATAAGCTTGACCGAGCGCGAGAGAGACGAGCAGTCTTTTCATGATGCATATTCAATTTGACATAACGCCTCGCGCTATTCACAGACACTACACAAGCACATAGTGTAAATGTGTTGAAGCCGCCAGCTTTAGATAACATACCGATATCATCTAATCACACAATTTAACCACATCCAGTAAATAAAATATACCTGAGTCAAGTAATTCTTCCTCTGCAGCCAGGCCTGATCGAGTGTCGATGACAGCTTCTCTACACGTTTTACTTTCTCCGGTTCCTTCGCCTGATCGGCCTCTTTTTGAAGGGAACTGATTACTTTTTGACGTCCATCGATTTCAGCCTGTGAAAAACAATACACCAAGTCAGGTTTTTGATGTTAATTCAATTGTTTCAGATCAACAAAGATATAATTTACTGAAATCAAAATATGGCAGATGGCCCAACGATGGAAAGTTACAACAAGGCGTGCCAAATTGTAAAAGTGGGATACATTTTTGAAGTTATACTTCTTTTGGCGCGTTAGGGAAAAATTATGAGAGTAAATTTTTGCGATGCGCACACCGTCAGAAAAAACCGACACCCTCAAGTATATTGAACATTTTAAAATAAAAATGTACATTTCTTTAATTATGTAGAATTTTTTGTGATATTTAAATAAACTTTATTTAACTAGATAATGCGTTATAATAAAACTTTCAATTAAATACCTTTTTTCTATTGTTAGTGTCGTTTTTTCTACAAACGTAGGATAAAATATTTGAATAGATTTTGATCTTGTTACGCCAAAGAAGTATAACTTCTAAACAAAATGTTTCCGGGTGTAAACGTTCTATATAAAGAAAGAAAATTAAATATGTTTGGGAGTTAACCAAAATAACACACCTTTCTCTCGTGGTGCATTTCCAGCAAACCCTCAGCATGGGAGACGCTCTCAGGTTCAGCACCAGACATGCGCTTTACAGTTTCTGACACCCATAACTCTAATTCCTAAAAAAAGTATACTCATCTTGAATATTTGATTATTTTGTTTTTAATTTCCAAACATTTCGCTTGAACAGCCCCGTAAAGTCATGTCATATGACGAATAACCTAAAATTCCTGGTTTCTCAGAGAAACAATAATATATATATATACTAGTAGACTCGGCCAAGCGTTGCTCTGGCTAAGATTTTTGTCATATTACATAGTAGTAAACTATTCAAGGGAAACGGTAGGAGAACTTATGTGAAAGGTAGATGACAGCTTATGTGAAACGTTGATAATTTTAACACAGCGCCATCTGTTAGAATTGTATCAAATAATAAACAAATATTTTGCAATAAATTAAAATTGCGACTATAATTTGAGATTTAAACTATCCTATCTCTCAAGTTGGATAGAACGGCACATGGTGTGCAAATTTGATTGATATCGGTTCGGTAGTTTAGGAGTCCATTGAGGACAAACATTGTGACACGAGATTTATATATATTAAGATGTTCTATCCGTGATGGAAGGCTTTGGTTCCTTTTACAATGCAACAGAAAATTTCGTATCCATAGCCATTTAAGGTAAGACTTTAAATTACATTCTTTCACACACCCTTACACACACAACCACTCATGCATAAGTTTTTTTCGATAGTTTAGTTTGTTACGTTGTATATGTCATGATCTGCTACCACAAGACTTGTATAGTTTTCAAAGGCCAGCCTCTCACAAGGATGGTGAAGTCGACATACCTTAAGACTGTCTTCAAACTTGTGTTCCGCAATGGCATCATCAAGCAAGGCGCTTCGTTTGGCTCCAAGTTGTTTCAACCTGTCCCAGGCTTCGTCCAAGCCGCTTAGACTTTCTTCTATCTCTGATGCCTGGTCTGGATGGCTAGAAAAATACAAGAATTTAAATTGAACTTCTACCCTATGTAGATTTTGTTTAAAACTAAATTTAGTTGCGGCTTTATTTTTCTGAGATTGCTAGGTGCCACAATTATAGGTGAATGGACTACAGCTCTCCCGTGGTACATCATAAATGTTTAAAACAAAAGGAATAAGTAATATATAGGAAAATAAAAGATTAAAGGTTTTTGTTGGCGTCTGGTAGACAGAACCAGTGACCCAGAGCTGGTGCTTTCCTCCCTCAATGAATAAGTATCGCAATACAGCGAGGAAATGCTGCCAGCGTTAAAGGTGCTGCCACAGGGACTAAACATTATAAATTGTTTTAATTATTTTTATTTATTTTTATTATAACTATGCAGGTTAAGAAAATTGTAATTGTATTTGATAGTTATGATTACTAATAAACGTTATTTATTTTATTTAAATCTAAGCTCTTGCTTAAAGTATATATAGCCAAATCTGATTAAAAATCAAAGAAAGTATGCTCTGGATCAACTGGACCGATATTGAAATATCTTTTACCAATAGAAATCCAAGTGTGTGAGTGTCATATATATTAACCCAATGAATATATTATGTATTTGTAAGTGAGCAAAGCAAAAGACATATATGATTCTGACAAAAATTTATAGAGTTTGATAATGCCTACAAAAAAGGCACAATACGTCTAACGTTTATCTAAAATATAATTCTCGTGGCGTTTGTAATTAAACTTCTCCGAAATGGAAATTTTCGTAAAATGTTGTGTACATTTCAGTGTGGTCTGCAAATCGGACAACATCAGGTGTTCCCCATGAATGTTTTTATTTATTTATAATACAGCATACAAAAATACATACAACCCTTAATTTTCACCCCTCTACGATCAACTCCTATTTTTTTTTGTTAATAACTTGAATTTTTTGGAAAAACATCGTTTGCCGGGTCAGCTAGTATTATATTATAGAAACAAAACCCAAAAACTGCTATGATGCTCGCTCATACTTCTTCATTAGAACGTTAATATTTTGTGTCATAAATTGTTAAAGATTGCTATCTCGCTCTTACATCATAAGACGGTAATATTCTGTCTCATAAATTCTTATAAGATTGCTATCTTGCTCTTACTTTAGCACGTTAATATTTTGTCTCATAAATTCTTATGAGATTGCTATCTCGCTCTTACACCTTAGGAAGTTTATTAACTTCCCAAGAATATAACAGAATATTTTCTGTCTCATGAATTCTTATAAGATTGCTATCTTGCTCTTGCTTTAGCACGTTAATATTTTGTCTCATAAATTCTTATGAGATTGCTATCTCGCTCTTACACCTTAGGAAGTTAATATTCTGTCTCATGAATTCTTATAAGATTGCTATCTTGCTCTTGCTTTAGCACGTTAATATTTTGTCTCATACATTCTTTTAAGATTGCTATCTCGATCTTACCTCTTAGCAAGCGCTGTGCCTTGCGCTCTAAGTGCTTCAATCTTATCACCAATAGCGGAAGCCTCAGCAGCTCTCGCTTGATGTCTTCTCTTCAATTCGTAAGCCGCTTGCAGCTCACGTCCACGTTCGTTGCTGCTGAATAAAGCGGCTTTCTTCGCTATCCTCTCCGCTGTATCTTCTACATCCCTGAAGAAAAAAATACCAAAAAATACGTTACTTACAAGAGAATGTGATATATTACATACATGTTATATTGACATTTTAACACACTTAAAAAAAGGAGGTTAGACTATTCTGCATATGATAGTGATGGAATTGCACAACATTGGAGAATGAAGATCTATCTGGCCACCTGTGCCAAAAGTGTCTATCAACCTACAAATTTATTTTGGAAACTTTAAGTACAGGTCCAATTTAATTATCTTTTTATAAAATTTAAAAAATCTCATGGTGCTACAACCTTTTAGGTCTGGGCCTCAGATTTCTGAATCTGTTTCGTGATTGATAAGGCAACTATATGATCAGCCTTCTGTGCCTGACACACGCTGATTCTTGGCTACCCATGTCGTTTTCCTTACGATGTTTTCCTCACCGTACGAGCGAGTGTTAACGCGCCCATAGAAAGAGACAAGTAAGGTGCACGCACAAACGTTTCGAACGCGTGAGTTCAGGGCTGAGACGCACACGCTCAAGCTATACAAACACTGCTTGATACTAGCAGCATTGCCTGAAAAGCCTCAAAGGAAGCGTTCAAGTATAACGTAACGAACTTGGGGGAGGGGGTCCTTTTGTAAAACGTTACGATGCGGGGCGGGGATTGAATTACGCATTATTGTTAATATTATTTTCGACTTTCCAGTACTTTACACCACATAATGGTAAGTTATAGCTATAAAGAGTCACTGGGTGGTCACGACACGTTTTACTATTGGGTACAAAAAAACGTTACGGCGCGTTACATGGGGGGGGGTCAATAATCTCCAAAAATTGCCACGCTCCCAAAGACAAATTTACTTTTTACTAATTGTAACTGGTAACACTTTACCTATTGAACGAATGCAGTTGCAGCGCCGCTGACAGTCTATCCCTGTACCGTTGTAGGGCTCCACTCAACGCCTGCCATTTTGAGAGACACGCGTCCCGTCTTGACTTGATGACGTCTGCTTGTTGAGAAGGACCCTAAAACATGCAAATGTTTTTCAGTATTCCACAAACACTCGTAACTTGTTTACACTAGTTTTGACGGCTCATTGGTCTAGTGGTTAGTACCCCTGACTGCGAATCCATGGGTCCCGGGTTCGATCCCCGGCTGAGACAAACATCGATGTGATGTGCATTTGGTGTTGTGCTTAGGTCTTGGGTGTTTAAATATGTATTTATATATCTATCTATAATATGTATGTGTATCCGTTGCCTAGTACCCATAATACAAGCTTCACCAGCTTAGCATGGGACTAGGTCAATTGGTGTGAATTGTCTATTAAAAAAAAAAAAAAAAAACTTCTATAAAGTTCAATTAATTTAAGGCCCATTTAGATTGAGAGTGTTTCTCGTCTCGATGGTACGATTATCGAAAGAATATAAAAAAGTTTCTACGTCTAAACATTCACACCAATTGCTCCTCCACTTTGGCGACAATTGCCTCGCCATGAAAAGTTTATTGTGTCCGTGTAAACAGAATTTCAAAAACAATAATCGTATTTCGAGATTTTGTGCCCGTTGCTACCATGAGTGCAGTGCATGAGGGTGTTTTGATTATGATTAAACGAAAATAAGATTTTGGGTTAAAAAATGGGTTTTTATAATTTTCTTTTTCCGTTTTCAACAAACACTCGTAACTTCTATAAAGTTCAAGTAACTTAATATTATTGGCAGCCCCAAAATTAAAAGGATTTTTGTGACATTTTTGCAACAATACCCTACTAAACTCGAATGAAACATCTCGCACTTAAAACGATTTGTACGATACTCGTATGAATATAAATAAATTGTGCGTGTAGTAGGTGTACACACGTAAGAAGTGAAACTTCTTTATGATCTTATTTTTCGAAAAATGATCTACTATATGCAACTTTACAGAAATTCGTTAAATTAGATAAAGTTTAAAAAAGGCTTTTATTATCATAGACATGAATACAAATATTTCATTTTACCTTATTACTACGAAGATTATTATAGAATTTCATTAATTGTAATAGAATTATTACTATCATTGAAAAACGTGACGATTTGCTACAAAATTTCTCCCATACGTCGATAAAGAAGTTTCATTCCAACGCCGATGAAGAAGTTTGACTTCAAAAAGCAACATGGCGCGTAACTGAAAAATGTGACGCGTAACGAAAAAATGTTACACTAAATTTTTTCCTACCTCGATAAAGAAGTTTCACTTCAAAAATGTCATACGAGATCGTGTTTATACTAGTCGAGATTCTCGTAAGAATCTTCTTACTAAAATGTCGATGTGTAAACAGACGCAGGAAATTATCGCCTAGCAATAAATCACTGGCGATTCTCGTACGACATAATCTTAGGTGAGAATTTAATTCTTGCTTGTATGTAAACATTTTGATACAATACTGCTATGGCAATTATTCCTGGTGATAGTTGCGTACGATTTCTCGTGCGAGAAACTCTCTCCATCTAAATGGGCCTTTATTCGAGGAATAAACCTAAACACTGTTTCGAATTGAAAAAGATTTTTTGTGAGAATAGATGTTGGATGTCCCTATGATTTTTGAAGGGAAAACTTCTTTAGCGGCGTTGTACACTCTTTTTGGAATGGGGTAAAAAAATGTTAAACTCGCGTCAGGACACGTGACCTGATCGAAATTTCGTAAGACGGATGAAGAGTAGACAGCTTGCGCGGCGTATTTAATGTAATATAAATTGTCATGTTTGTGTACCATAGTTCAATAAATAAAAATTGTATTCTGTACTTTTATACTGATAAAAGCAGTTCGTGCAAAATTATTCCCTAACGATTCCAAAATATCAAAAATTCACAACATTAATATTGAAGGTTTTACTTCTGCCGGCACTCCCGGAGTGCAACCCGTCGTTTTTTTATTCTGAAATCGTTCTATAATTTTTAATAGTATAATTTTGACATATTTATTTAGATGGATACCAAGGACCAGAACCATTCTGTTACACAGATCCTGAATAAATGAACAGCACTGAATGCTGTCTCCAAATATTGACTTATCTTTATATGATCGCAGAGTTAGTTCACAGTAGCGATATTGTATATCATACGTTATCGTATAGTACTCTAAGGATAGTGTATATATTTTGTGAATAGTTTAATAAATCTCGAATACCCTTATTACAATTTTACAGTAGATATATTTAATCACCTGTTTCAGCAATTTATCGGCTAGTGCGCACACGTTTTTGACGTGTTTGTCATCAACTTGCATGTCGCTGTCCAGGTCGTCCAATTTACGAAGCAAAGCGCTGCAGTGTTCGTAATCACGACCCACCTCGTTGGCTTGGACCTGTTAAACGTATAATTAGGTCGATTATGTTCACTAAGGGAGCGTTCAAGTATTACGTCACGCAATTTTTGGAGATTGACCCCCCAAAGTAACGCGCCGTAACGATTTCTGTACCCAAATACAATACTGTACCCAAGTATAGTAAAACGTTTCGTGACCACCTAGTGACTCTTTATACCTAAAAGTTACCATTATGTGGTGTAAAGTACTGGAAAGTTGAAAATAATATTAACAATAACGCGTAATTCAATCCCCGCACCGCATCGTAACGTTTTAAAAAAGGACCCCCCTTCCCATAATTCGTTACGTAATACTTAAACGCTCCCATACTCTACAACTACATATAGATATAATCTGAAATAAATTAGTTATTATTATAAAAAAGTATGTTAATAATAAATCTGAGCCCTAAATACTTCAGTCGGCAGCTGGTTCCACACAGTGGTGGTGCGTGGCAAAAACTGCCCTAGAAAACGCTCAGTTGTGAAACGGACGTCTGATGAAACTCAGCGGACAAGTATTGGAAAATGGTAGCGAGGATGAGAGACAAGTGGAAGAATTTGGAGGAGGCCTTCACTCTTTCAGAGATCGTGACCTAATGTTAAACATATTGACATGGACATAATGAAATTCTGATTATGAAGTACTCGAATAAGGATTCTTTATTTATTATTGAAAATTATAATTTAAATTAATTATAACTTAGAAAAGCGTTAAAGTTTCATCTATATATATATAATACTAGTGGACCCCACAGACGTTGTCCTGCATGATATTTAAAGCGATTAGGATATTAAGCAAAGTATGAAAGTACCGACTGCAGTGCCATCTGCCGGGCTGATTTGTGAATCTAAACCATTCCCAGATCCCCTTGAACACACACAAAAAATTTCATCAAAATCGGTCCAGTCGTTTGAGAGAAGTTCAGTCACATACACACGCACACAAGAAATATATATATTAAGATGTTATATACATTCCTACATATTTAACTTACCATCATTTCCTTATCTCTTATCCAGGCCTCAATTTTCTCCAAATGCTGGTTGAATTCCAGAATATCCTGCGCTTCCTCCAATCCACGCCCTGAAGCAGAAAATGTTTATTATCATTTAACAAATCTATTGCAGGTCCAACTATGAAAAGATAAAGGGAAACTACTTTTAAGACAATAGAAAAAATATTTATACATTATTGCACACAATATGATGGAGGAAGGTTGGTGTACTGTTCCAACCTAAAGAAAACGATGTCAACTCCTACAGAATGTTACCCCTTGGACCAACTTCCAATACTCCTAAAGGTTTTGTTCTACACTCAGTTTGAAAGGTAATTTCAAATATGAATAATAAAAAAATAGTATAAGATATAGCTTTTGATATTTCAGGTATAAACACGATTGGAATTTTAGATAATTGGTTTAATTTGTTGGTTGGGATCTTGTATTATGTACCCCCTAAAAAACCCCAGTACACCTTGATTCCCCTTAAACTTGTGTGGAAACCCCCAAGCTGGCATCACTGCTTTAAGTGAGGGTCATGGACCAGTTTACTCACTGAGTGGCCCTAAGGCTGGGAAGGGGAAGTTTTCTTTTTTTTTCTTTACTATTATGGAAGAGATCCCTTGTTAACAATAAGGCTGCCTGTTAGCCTATTGCACAACTGCAAAAACATACCAGTTTCTTCCGCAGCTTTCTCCAATCGTCGCCAGTCTTCCCTCAACTGCTGCAACTCTTGGACCACTTCCTTCTCAGGTCCTAGCTGTTTCGCCAACTCCTCCACTTCCTGGAGACGAGCCCGGTTTGCCACCAATTCAGCTGTGAACGCTTGGTGTTTCTGGAGCTTCTTCATCTTGTCTTCGAGGCTTGTTACTTCACCTGTTTAATTATTTGAATACGTTCAGCTTGAACGAACATGTTTTGATGTATTGGTAATAATAATAAAAATATTGTGTATAATTTGAATTCAGTTTCATTCCTACGCCTGAAATACATAATGGGTTTTTGTAGATGATAAGCAAGCAAGCAAGAACCTGATGAGGTAATTAATTTTTCAATGAATGAATGAAAACATTGCTAGGGAACTTGCTTAAGACCCAAAAGGGATTTGTGAATCTTCATAATATGAATTTGTTCTGCTCCGGCCCTCAATACAAAATTCAGAGTGTTACCGGGTATCATTATTTACATAAATGACGCTAAGCACTCAGACAACGACGTAATAAGCCTAATAAAAAATGCCTCAAAAAAATTACAATTGATTAATGTCCGAAAAGTCAAAATTTTGGAATTAGAGATACGACTAAATCTTTATTTATTTGCTAATACATGTATATTACCTACAACAACAAAAAAATACTAAAGATATAGCCAAAGATGGAATACATCATATATACAAAAAGGTTCAAACCTTGACAAAACTTAAAAAGGATAAAATTCTCAAAAATAATTCAATAAAATTAACTAAGTAATACTTAATTCGGCTGTGCTGTGTGATGGTGTAAAAGCGGGGTATTTTTATATATAATAGGGGGCAAACGAGCTCACAGGACGCCCAAAAAGGCAGTCATCGCAGCCCATAGACACCCATTTTTAGTGGGTACGTTGTCGGCCTTTGAGGGAGGAGTACACTCAGATCTCTTACTCTCTCTTCTTTCTCTTAGTAGTCGTATCTCTCAGTAAAGGGTATAAGGGTATGTACGTGATGGTATGTATATGGGGTGTGCTCATGATGCAGTATATTAGCGCTATGGATATTCTTAATACTCCTTAACCATATTCCGCCCGAGACTTACTACATTACATACAAACATTCAATACATACCATGTTGGGCGTTGAGCATCGCCAATTTATCAGCGAGCCAGCCACGCGCTTCGTTCGCGTCACGACTGAACTGAGCACGTGCACGCGCGCGTAACAAACGTGCGCGACGCTCTGCTGCACTGGCGTATAACTGAAAAAATTGTGTTTTATTTAATTATGAAACTCCTGGGCTGGGTGTTTTTATTTTAGTTATTAATAGGTTAAGGAAGGAATAATTTCCAGCAACGCCCTCGCAAGCCTTCATTTGGGTGAGCCTTTTTCTCGTTTGCCTCCTGTTGCAGAAAAAATAATGTTATTCGAGTTTTTACGTCTACAAAGTCTAGTAAATTACCTTCTTCCTTCGTTCGTTGATAGCTCTCAGTTCGTCTGCAATACGTTGGCTCTCGACATGGTTTTGTTGCAATAACTTATCGCCGTGGGAGTTCAGTGTTGACAGTTTTTCATCCTATTAACATGTATTAATATTAAATATCTGAAAAACTCTAAAATTTGGTGTTGGAGTTACAAATAATAAATAAAAAAATATTGTACAAATGCCTAGACAAAGCAATCAACTGTATAGTTCAAGGTAAGTAACAAACACTATGCTTTTTTGGTGGTAATGCCATTAAATTGTAGCTTATGTGAAAGGTTGGTAATTACTATCAACAAAGCGCCATCTGTTAGAATTGTGACTATCAAATAATAAAGAAATACTTTGCAATAAAATAATATTGCGGGTATAAATTGAGATGTAAGCTAAGCTTTTTTTTAAGTTAGATCAAACCGCACATGGTGTGCAAATTTGATTAAAATCGGTTTAGTAGTTTAGGAGTCCATAGCGGACAAGCAACGTGACACGTACTTATATATAAAAAGGTATCTTATTTCTACGATATATAAATTAATGAAAACCAAATCTTATTGCACTGTGTTAACAAAAGCTTTCTGTCTCTTTTCATTACAGCGTAAATAAAATGACGGAAAGAGACAATATACATACTTGAGTTGCAAGAAGCTTCTCAAACGCTTCATGTTTTTTCAGTAAATTCTCGACTTCTTCCACGCTGAGGGTCGGTGATATTTCAGTACCTAAAACAAATTTATTAAGTTATATTTATAACAACTAATTCAACTAAGTTTAATTTAAGCAAGATGCTTTTTTATAAAAAATGATTTTGCGACTACAATGAACAAATTTGACATTTCTCATGACAATAAGAATGAGAACTATATGGAAGAGCTCAATTTCTGAGCTCGAAGTTCGTACATGTCAATAAGAAAGAGAACTTTTTTATGGAAGAACCCAACTTTTGCTCTTGCTGGTACGGAAAAAAATATTCTAATAAAGACTGCTTGAGTACAGCGTGGAATCGGGTTCTTGTTGTGCTAAATTTTTGGTAAAATAATAATTTGATTTGATTTTTAATTGATTTTTTTACAAGAAAGGCTGACAATTTAAAATACTCATGAAATTTCCGGATTATCTGCCACAAAAAGAGCCAACTTCATTTATTTATTTATAGAAAAGGGGGCACACGGGCAGGAGGCTCATCTGATGTAAAGTGTTACCACCGCTCATGGACACTCAATTCCAGCGGGTTTGCGAGTGCGTTGCAAGAATTGGTACGCTCTTTTCTTGAAGGAGAAGAGCCTAATCGAAATAGTTCGAAAATACTTCAATGGGCGGCTGCTTCCGCATGGTGGTGCGCGGCAAAAACTGCCTTAAGAAACGCTCTGATGTGGAACGACGACGGGATACGGGTGGAAATTCGTATTTTTTTGATTGCAATTGAATTTATTTATAATAAAACAACCGATTCTGGTGATTTTCTTATTTAGAACATGTGTGTAATACCAAATTCAATCAACGTCTGAAGTGTCAAACGTCTTAGATATATTGATTTCTAAAATCACTTACTCAAAGCCGCCTCCTGCGCAGTGCATAGATCGTGGAGCTGCTTAGCGTCCCTCAGGAAGCAATGCCAATCGATCAGTTGGTCCAAGGCGACCTGACGAGCTGCCCACGCCGCGTGGAGTTTGCCACGCTCGTCTACCAACGCGTTGCAGCGTTCTTCTATTTCCTATTCGTCAAATGTTTGATAATCAGACACGACATTTCGTATGATTATTTTTTAGCTTTTTGAAGTTATACTTCTTTTGGCGCGTTAGGGAAAAATTATGAGAGTAAATTTGGACGATGCCCGCGCACACCGTCACTTTTTGTGACACAGGGACCGACACCGTGAAGTTAGCTATAGTCAATATTTTATTTCGTGATATTTGTATTAATTTTTATTTTATTATATTTATCAATTTTTGAAGTTATACTTCTTTAGGCGCGTTATAAAAAATTTATGAGAGTGAAATTTTACGATGCACGCGCACCGTGACACAAAATTATCAGTATGGGCGCCGAGCGTGCGCGAGCGAGATGGGAATAAGACAATCTACAAGTAAAAGAAAAGTATGCGTGACGTTAGCAGCTATCCAAGAATTTTGAATGACCATAATGACCTTTTAAACAAATAAAGGAGTTTTAATTATTTTTTCAAAGAAATTTAGCAATGCTTTTTCACAAAGACCTATTGTTACTTAGTTAAAAGGTTATAAAATATACCTAGTTATTAAATTGAATTAATAATATAATAAATAATAATAATTATTAATATTAATTAATAATTGAATAATATACTAAATATTAAATATTGTTAAATTATTAACGCTAAATATTTATTATTAATTATTTAATATTTAAAAAAACATAAAGAAAGCCAAAGTAGTATAACTTCTTACGCGCGTACATAAAGTACAAGCACCATTTTTTTTTTTACATTTTTTCCACAAGTATTGCAAAATTAAAGTTATAAGAAATGTATTATTTGTTTTGTTTCTCATTTCTCAACTATTCAATCACAATGTGCCTGCGAAGCGTGGCGTGGTACAGCTAGTGACATTATATAATCGGTCTATGTGATTAACTGTACAAATACAAATTCTATTATAGAACAATATGATTTAAATTTACAATTAATTATTTCTGTGATGTTCCGTAATTATTTCTAAGGCAAGTAGGTGATCAACCTTTTGTGCCACACCGTCGACTTTTTGAGCCTAAGTCTCGGTTCTCTCACGATGTTTTCCTTCACCGTACGAGCGAGTGTTAAAGCGCATATAGACCTACGAACCGAGGTATGAAACGCATAGAAAATTATACCAACATAAATACATCTTAAACGACGTCATTACAGAATTAAAAAAATGCCTTAAAATTATAAACAAATGCTAATCAATTATAGTTTAATGATTTCATAAGTTTAAAGGTGTTTTTCTGTACCTGTGCATTTGGGTGTCCATCATCAACAAGTTGTTGTCCGTGGGCCAACGCATCCCTGAAAGTGTCGTCTCGCGCGTCAATCTCAGCGCGCAGGGCGTCGTGATGCGCTCGTTGCGCCTGCGCAGCCGCCGCTGAACGAGCACCAAGACTCGCTGACATTTGACTGCGCAGTTCGCTTGACCAGGACATTACGTCACGGATCTGTATTTTTTTTACATTAATATGAAATTATAATTCAGTATCATGACAACCACTGGCGGTCTCCTTTCATTACATTGATAACACAATTTGAAAGACTGTGATGAATAATAAAGCTTTTCTTTCTGTTAATCAGACTATCAGATGAGACTCATCTGATGTTAAGTGGATACCGCCGTCCATGGGTATCCTGTGTGTATACACAGAACGCTCGAAAGTGCGTTGCCGGAATTTAATAAATTGGTACGCTCTTTTCGTTAAAATACTCTAAGTCGAATTACTTCAGTGGGCAGCTGGTTCCACATAGTGGAACGTGCACAAATATCCTTCATTAATTTGATTCAACTCTTCGTTCTTACTGAAAATATCTTTAATTCTAATTATCTATAAAACTATATACAAAAATGAATCCCTATTTCCCTTGGTCACGGCATCACGCGTGAACGGCTGGACCGATTTCGCTAAATCTTTTTTTGTATGCGTTTAGGTCGCGCTCTGGATGGTTTAGATTCACAAATCAGCCCAGCAGACAGCACTGCAGTCGGATCATACTTTGTTTAATATTCTAATCGCTTGAAATATCACGCAGGACAACGTCTGTCGGGTCCGTTAGTAAGATATAGTTCAAAAAATACATGATTAGATTACTTATATCACATGCAAGACGACTTTAATACGATTCTAGGGATAGGATTAATATTGTGTCTCACTTGTGTTGGGGTTGACTCGCTACTTCCCTTATTTATACAATATTGAGACAGTTGTTAGAAAAGAATACAAAACAAAACAAAACCCAGCTAATAAGCAAAGCCGGTAAAAAATAAAGAAAATGTTTCAAAAATTCTAATAGTTTCTCTGACGATTCTATGAACTTATTCTATGCATGCGTGTTTTTGTGTGTGTGTGTGTGTGTGCTGTGTGTGTGAGTGAGTGTGTGCTTGTTGTTAAGTATATAATTATATATGTATGTATAGTACTCATGAGTTGAATTTGTAGCGACTTATGATGCGAGTGACGGGTTAACGGGCTAGCCTTACAGATCTGTGACCGAAAAGCCAGCAGTTACAAATCTCCTTTTTACTAAAAAGGGACTTTATTTGTTTAAAAGGCTTAGCGTCTGCAGCGGGGTCCGTCAGAATGTTGCGGCCAACGGGCTCCAAATAAATGTCACGAGAATATTTCCGAAGTAGTTTAGATTTGAACTAGAATTTAACTTTTAGCTGAGAACCGTGCTATATATATATATATAATATTTTTTTTGTACATCAAAGACAACTCCAAAAAAATTTCGTACCTCAGACAACAACTGTTGCAATTGGTGATGATGATGAAGCACCGTCTTTCTAGCATCTGCAGCAGCTCGAAGGGAATTCCAGGCCTCTGACAGCGCTCGCTGACGTAATGCTATTTGCTGCTCGTTACCACCTGGACAGAGCTTTTGGAGGCGAGAGCCTTCTTCTTGTAACACCTGGAAAAATTGATCAAGTTGATATTATGGACAGTAAGAAAATATGTAAGTACCTAAGCTAAAAATTTTGGTTGGATTTGCGGCCAGACCTGATTTTTTAGTATTATTAAACTACGGTGGAGTACAATATTAAACTACGGTAGATTATTTCCGCGTTATAGGAAACGCGTTGTATGACTATTCTCGAATAACGCCCTTCTATGACCCCATATAAGAAATATAACGTGTGCAATCCCTGCTTTATATAGTGGAATATCCGTGAAGAAGGTCCGAAATCGCGTAATATGAAAATGCGTTGTAAGGAAAGAAATTACTGTTCTTAGATTAAGAAATGAAAAGGCGTTTTTACCTGCATCTGCGCATCGATGGCCAGCAAATCATTTTCCGCAGTGGTGTGGTTCCTTAGCAATGCTTCGGCCGCCCTAAGGTCCCTGGGCGGGGCCGGTTCGGACAGCTGGGCGCGGCGATCGGCAGCTCTAGCTAATAATTCGCTCGCATCTCTGTGGAATCGGTGAATTTCACCCGCGGCGTGAAGACGACGGGCGCGGGACTCGATTTGTTCTACCAAACGTTGCCAAGATTCACTGGAAAATAAAAATATTTTTAGCGTTCATGTTCGTTCGTTCGAAAGAACGTGTTCAGATTTCATTTGAATATTGACCAACTGCTGACACGGCTCACGGATGTTCGAAATTTTAACAGTTGAAGGTGGGCAACACTCCAACAGCTCACAAGAATAATGTTATGTATGTGTGAATAGGTGTAATTAGTATTAAAGATAATGTCTTTGAATAATAAATCAGATTTGAATATTTCTCTGTCTAATTCATTTCTCGTTTCCTCTCAAAGTGGCGAAGACTACTTCAAGGCTTAAATTATCGAGGTGAGCCTGCCCGGTAGCTGAGATAATCCCACCACCTCGAATCTTTGATCCTACCCGCAGGGCTCCGTCTGTTACCTTAGGTCTCTTGGTGCAGACATTCCGTACTTATTTATATATTTACTATTTATGTGTTAGAGCACACTCACTCATACATACATACATTACATATACTATTATACAGATACCTGACATTCAATACATATAAATTTTAAACACCCATTTTACAGTCTACTGGCTAGCAAGCTGTGCAGAACGTATACCGAGTATTGTAAATTTTATAACTTGTGTAATCATTTCAGACGTTTTCGCCATGCCTTATTCTGGCTAAATATTTGATTTCTTCGTTTATTATTGAGCGGAGCGAAGCTCCCATGTGCCCACTCTTATGAGACTCTGTACAAACACTAAGGCTTTTGAACGGCTTAACCGATTTTGAAAATTCTTGTTTTAAATTAAAGATGGAAAAATTTCCCGTGCTGTAGGCTATGAAAACTCAATAATATTTGCGAATAAATAACAAAATAAGCGGAAAAACAACTTCGAAGGAGACCTAAAACTAAAAAGTCATTAAAAATTGAGTTGAACACTCGCTCCGCTCAAATTTGTGCTGAAGCGAAGCAGAATTGCGAGCACTGCGGCGTCCTTCGTTAGTAATACTTTAAGAAAGGCGTCAGCTTCGTTGGAACACGTGAATTTTATGGGAAAGAAATCGGCTATAAATCCGTCTTGAGATTGACATTACATACGTAAACTGACAATAGAAAAAACATAAATTTATGATCTAAACACGACATTTACTCTGGTTTCATTCAAAACCAGTTTAATTGTTCTAGAATTTTTGAGCTTTAACTCACCCAAGGGCTTCCTGTCTTGCCTCGATGTCGCCAATATATGGACTGTTAGATGCGAGCAATTTCTTCGCCAGTTCCTCGCATTGGCTAAACCGTTCCGCGCCGCTTTCCACACGGTGTCGCAATTCCTCGAATTTCGAACGAAGAACCTGGTGATAGGGAGCATATCAAACTCAAAATAACTTTAGAGTTAGAGCGAATACAAAATAAATTCACCCGTTACCTCTACAAGAGACTGTATGGAGTGTATCCATTGTATCCGCTTATGTACCCGACCCTGTTTGTTCTGGGTATGGTAGGCTATGACCAGCTACGCCTCAGAAGAGAGCTAGCCTTGTCGGTGTATGTATTTAAGATACTTACGGGTCGGGTCCATAATCTGGACATAATGGAGAGACTGAGTCTACGGGTACCAAGTAGAAACCTGAGGCGGAAGTCTCAACTTTTGGATGTGCCGCGCGCACATTCTAACTTGGTTAGCGAAGCACCACTCACGCGAGCAATAATTATAATAAATAGGATTTCTGTTGAGGTAGACCTGTTTGTTTGTACACTGGCTGAGTTCACAAGAGTTGCTTCCTATATTATTAGTTATAAGATTTAGGTATATATATCTTAATGTTTTTTATCTAGGTTAATTGGTGTGGGTGTAAATATTGTGTCGTTCTATCGAATTAGTAATTAGGTACTGTAAAGATAGAATAAGGATATGGAATAAATAAATAAATAAAATAAACTTTATTCATATAGGTAAACAAGTACTTATGAACGTCAAGAGAAAAGATGTTAAATTGATTCTAAATTTACATTTACTACCAGTTCGCAAGTCAAGGGCGTAGAGCGGACAAGAAGAACTGGCAAGAAACTCTCCGCCACTCTTAAATCGCCAAGTTTTGAGTCATACAAATTGTTTGAACTGGAGCAAATCAATCGCAAGGATTACGATCATTTCAATATTCCTCAAATTTATAAAAAGCTTTATTGATTTATTTACGTTTAACGAGAATTTATTCAGTGATAATGGGTTCGTACCATTGCAAGTATTTAAATAAAAAAAAGTTTAAAATAGACCAAATTTGTCCTGTCCTGTCTTATATTCATTTTTATTGAATATAATTAAATTATTGATATCATAATAGACATTCAAACAAAAGTAAAATTATGTTTAATATATTACCAATAGATGTTCGTAATCCTGCCCATAGTCTTCGCTGGAGGCAGCTCCATATTGCTCCTGTATCCAGCTCTCCAGTTCCGCGCTTTCAGCCAAGTACTCATGTCTGAAAAGAAACCAGGGTAAATTATTCTTGCAACGTGACCTGGCAAGATTGGTGATTGGTTAGACCTAAAAAAAACTTCTACGCATCTATCGACTCTCTATTCTCCTTAACCCCTTGTGGACGTCATACTTCTTTTGTATCATCACAAAAATATTCTTCTGGTTGCGATCTATTGAAATAATTAAAGAATCTTTAGCAAGTAGCAATGATACTTCCTCGTATATGATATTTATATGAGCATATAACTTATAGAACACCTATCTAAGCTGCTACGACTGAGCTGAGCTCTAATGATGGAGCTGGAACATTATTGAGAGTTACTTAAAAAAAATTAGGTTTATATTAAGCACGAGGAGAGATCGCTTAGTAGCGATGAGGTCGCCCATGCGAATTTTTTAAAGTTTATTGTTAATAATTAGAATAAAAACCCTTTCTTTTCAGATACATTTAAATACATTTATATTTCTATCATCGCATTCTTTCTAGATATCTATTTTCTATCTTTATCTATTTTCCAAATGTGTAAGGTGGTACAATCGTAAGTTCGCATATTCTGCCACACACAATGGCGCGCAAATTTGTATTTAAAGGAATTTTACATTTTACATTATTAGTCACATGAATTGGTCAATTCTTATATTATTTATATAGTACATATTATATCATACTTTATTAAATTTATATCAACTACAGTGTCTCACGCAAATAATCATTTATTGAATAGTAAATTTTTTCCAAAAGTAATAGCTTTTTGAAGTCTCTAGTCGGAAGATCTTTTTCCTAAACAGTTCCAGAATGATTTTTGGCACAGCCAATTTCTCCCCATGTCTTACTTCGACTTAAAATTATGTATGTATTTTTTATTATATTTTGTCAAAGACCTCCTCCCAATCCCGCCATTACTGTCTACACTGTGCCACCTTGCCATGTACCATCTGCTGTTTCCTATATCTGGTCTATACTTCTAAATTGTCTTCCTCTTTCGTTATTGTACCTTGGGCACCAGTTTAATACTGTGTTGCTACACTTTTCTGTCTCTCTTCTGAGACCCGCCCATTTCCACTTAAGTTTATTTATTTTCATTGTGACATCTGCTACGTCAGATATTCTTCTTAATTATATAATCCTTATTGTTAATATTATTATTTAATTCTTATGCAAAAAGTTAAAAAATAAACCTACCTGCAAACACTCTCAACCAATGCAGCCTGTCTCAAAGCAGCTCTACGCTGCAGCCTCGCAAGGCTGGCGGACAGTTGTTCATGTCTTTCCACTAGTGCTTCGCCCTCCGGCCCTCCACTTGCAGCCAGGGCTCCCGCCACGTGGCCCATCTCCGATATTATAGCCGCATATGTGTCCAGCTCTAATTCTACCGCCTGGTGGAATTGTATTATAATATTATATCTAAGGAAACATCACCACTAAAAAAATTATGTAAATATAAAAATATTTTTGAAGTTATACTTCTTTTGGCGCGTTAGGGAAAAATGATGAGAGTATAATTTTTACGATGCGCGCGTGACGGTCGACACAAAATTAACAGACGAGCACCACGGAAGATGCTACGTCATGGACATTTTAAAAACAACATCGAATAATAATAGAATTTCTGTTACACTTAATGTAAGAGAAATAATTTTTTTTATTATTTTTAAATTAAACTAACTTTATTTAACTAGATAATGACCTTTTATCTAAGATTTTTAATTCAATTATTTATTGCTTAGTCAGTATTTTTATAATCCAAAACGTAGAACTAAGCGAAGACACACCTTTTTAAAAGTGCTAGTCTTGACCGCCAATCTATTGATTAGTATGTTTAATTTCAATAGGTCGATGATATTTTAAAATTATAATGCTGTTGTTCATGCTGGAGTTAATAAATAATTCATAATTAAATGGCCGACAACACATTCGCGAGCCCTCTGGTATTGAGTATCCATGAACGTCGATATCACTGAACATCAGCTACCCGTTAAAAAAATCTAGATCTAGATATTAATTTATTATTGAACAGTTTCTTATTCAAAATAGTTTTTTCAAATCCCATTTATACAGTGATAAAAATGTAGCCATACCTTGTGTCTGGTCAGCAATTGCGTCGCACGATGTCTGTCATTTCCAACATCAGCGCTGGCCAGCTCAGCAGCTTTGTCCGCTAACCAAGAGTCCACTTCCAGCGCATCGTGCAGGAACTGTTGAGCTTTAAGCGCTGTTTCAAGTCGAGCCGCGCGTTCATCAGCCGCTTGAGATATTTCGGAGTAAGCGCTTTCGAGCTCTTTGCAAAGTTGATTGATCTGTAAAAGATAACAATTTAACAAACAGAAACTCTGCCATAAGCCGGTAGTACTATTTTATTTTAAGTACAGTGTATATTGTTATACATATTTATATTCGCTATAACGAAACACTCTCTATAACGTTAATAAAATTGGTTAGTTTTAAAAACACAAAACCCATTATAACGGAACAGCCACTCTCTATTACGAAGAAATATTTTCATATTTAGACATCGACAACGTAAAGTATCGTACTGTCAAATAGCCTATTATATTTATGAAGCTTTATCGATATGAGATTAAATCTCTATATATATAAAATTCTCGTGTCACAATGTTCGTTCCCATACTCCTCCGAAACGCCTCGACCGATTCTTATGAAATTTTAATGCATATTCAGAAAGCCTGAGAATCGGCTACTATCTATCTTTAAACCCCCTAAGTAATATTTTTTCGATTTTTTTTTTGTTTTTAATATTTTATGATACATCGTACAAAAATACATACAACTCTTAATTTTCACCCCTCTACGATCAACCCCTATTTTTTATTATTGTACATAGTTGTTTTTATTGAACTAAAAAAATGTGTAATAGAAATAATATACATGGCAATACACACGTTAGCCGGGTCAGCTAGTAATAATATAAAACTGTTATTAAATATATATTATATATACCTTGTCAGCCTGCGGATTCTTCGGCAATTGTTCACCCCTATCTAGAACTCGTTGCACCAACGGTTTCCGTCCTTGCAACTCCGCTCGCAATTTCGCATGCTTCTTTTGAGCTGTTTGAGCAGCGTGCAGATCTTGAGGCAGGGCTGTGGATGATGCAGCCGCTTTTCTCTCGTCGACCCATGCTATTTCGCCTGTCACCTCTGCTGCTAATTTGTGTAGCCTATGTACAAAAACATGGTATAGAATATAGATATTAAAAAAAAAATTTTTTTGATTCTTTTAAATTAATTTATCATTTAAAATTATTAATTATGATTGGAATTTTATTTTTTAAATGCATGCACATATTATGTTATAATTTATATGATGATACTTGATTGCGCGCGCGACATATTAATTGTATTATGGAAATAAAGAGGATAAGATGAAATAATATAGCAAAACAATTAACTAAAGTATTTTATATTAAATGAAATGCGTTAAGTTAACTTCACAGTATATTCTCATTGCAGCTATACAAGAATTTTGAATGACCATGACAATTGAAAACTAACATGACAGTTACCTTTAACAATATAGGAGTTTTAATTATTGTATAAAAAATATTATATACCAAGTTATGAGGCTGAAAAACAAAAACAAAATAAAACTAAATAATGAAAAAAACTATTAACCTTCTGAGCTTACAATTGAGGTCAGGGCTATCGCAAGTAGTATCGTCAGAAATTATTGGGGATTAAAACTGAAACATGCCCCATGTACGTGCTGTACGTTTTTCGTTTGTTACGCAACTTTATAGAAAAATTACGCCCTTTATCAATATGAGAACAAGATTTAACCTCAAAGTTACATAATGAGGTGAAAAGAAGGCTTGGACAAGTCGAAAAGAATATTAACAATAACATAATCCCTGCTCGGAAGACAATCAATAACATTATTTATTCAAACATCCAGATTTAATCTGCCAAATATAATGACAGTGATAAAACAATTGATGAATCAGTGGAGGCACTAAGTTGAATCAAAAAAGAGCTGTCATCTTATCGCCGTGAAACATCAAAACCTGGATGTGGAACAAAGCCAGCCATCACCTTCTCGAGACACAATGGTTCTGAAGTAGATTTTGCACTGATTGTGATGTGTCGAGGTAGGAATGTTAATTATAAATATTATAATTGTTCAAGGTTCAACTTCAAGCTAGGGTACAACATTACTTATTCCTGGAAGGGTAGCTTAGAGTTATTGCTATTCCTCAAAACATCCATGTTGCACTTGTAACCGTTTCTGACTTCCGGCCCATTAGTGCGCCCATTCCCAAAAGCTCTATAATGGACTGGGTTAATACACCTTAGCACCTTAGTGCGAACCACTCACCATGAAAACTAAATTAATAGATGCTATACATATTTCGGGTTATTACCGAAATAAAATCATTACGGCAATTGGTATCCAAAAGCAAATGAAGCCAACAATCGCCAAGGTAATAGATCAGGTTGGACACTAACTGTTCTCAATACTAAAGAGCCTAACAAAGGTTGCAATACAGTGACAACTCTTAACAATTTCATTATTTTGTAGGATTAAAGAAAGGTTAAAGAAAATCATGTCCAACTGAACAACAAGACTGGCCCCATAGCAACTCCAAAGGAAACGTACAAGGAAGACACCGGTATTATATTTAAATTATCTCTATCTCTAAATAGAATAAAAGATGTTACTATCAGGTCCGTAGAGGTGCTACAATTTATTTAACACATCTTATTAATTATATTAATATAAACCTGACTGAAAATTATAATATGAATTACAAAAACTTTTAAGTGTTGACATGGAAATCAGAGCTTAAATTAATTTCTCTGTATTAGTTGCAGAGAAGCAAGAGTTTTGGAAAAGCCTCGTAGATGCACAACCAAGTAATGATTAATTTAAAATTACAAACCCCGAAATCCTGATGAAGACATTATGACGACTCATTGGTCAAGTGGTTGTACCCTTGACTGCAAAGTCACATGGGTCTCGGGTTCGATCCCCGGCTGAGACGAACATCGATGTGATGAGCATTTGGCTGTTGTGCTTTAAAGATCTTGGGCGTTTGAAATATGTATTTATATGTCTATCTATCTATAATATGTATGGATATCCGAATTACGCCAGCTACCTATACACAGAAGCTTCACCAGCTTACCATGGGACTAAGACAATGTTAGTGAATTGTCTTTAAAAAAAAAAAAATTAACTCACTTAAAAATAAATAGTATAATGAAATAAAAATGTTTTAAAGATAAATAGTGTTTTATTTGTTTAATGTAAGAGAATAATAATAAATATGTATTTAATTAATTTCTCAAATGTAAACTGAACTTTATTGACTTTAATGACTCCTTTTCCAGTCTTTGATTATTTAATTGTAACTTAATTATTTGCATGCAATCAAAAACTATTTTTTCAAAAATGCCAATAGAAGTATACTTCTTACGGGCGTACATAAGTACACGCACCCTTTTTTTAAATGCATGCACATATTATGTTATAATTTATATGATATACTTGATTAATATTATTTATTATGGAAATAAAGAGGATAAGATAAATAATATATTCAAAACAATTAATCTGTGAGTCATTTTATATTAAATGAAATCTTAATTAATTTCACAGTATATTCTCATTGAGTATACTTTATCTAGTAAAACTAACTCAAAATTAAATTACATATGTATATTGTATATAAAATATTATATAAGGTCATGAGAGCTGGAAAAACAAAAAACAAAAGAAAAAGCTAAATAATAAGTCGAAAAACAAAAATATTATTATTCAATGGGCAGGGCATATAGCAAGAAGCACGTCACGCAATTATTGGAGATTATTGGAAACCCCTCCCCCATGTAACGCGCTGTAACGTTTTTCTGTACCCAAGTATAGTAAAACGTTTCGTGACCACCCAGTGACTATTTATACCTAAAAGTTACCATTATGTGGTGTATTAGTGGAGAGTCGAAAATAATATTAACAATAACGCGTAATTCAATCCCCGCCTCGCATCGTAACGTTTTACAAAAGGACCCCCTAATTATAAAAGATTTAAATTACCAACACAAAGTTGATTGTAATGAACTTACTGCAAACTACTCTCCAAGGCCCTCCTCCTCTCGACAGCTCTAGGTCTCAGAGCTGCACACGCGTTTTGCAACGCAGCACAATCCCTCTGAATAGCAGCGCTGTCAAAGTGACCGCCGGAGACCAGGTCCGCTCCTTGGACTGACAGGGCTTGTGCCCTTTGCTCCATTTGCGTGAGTTCTTGCTCCAATGCCTATAAAGAATTTTTATCTTACACACCGTATTCACTTATGTCAATCATTTGTCTGATTTCAGTACAGCGTTGACACAATTTGAACGAAAGAGACGTAAAGCCGGAATTACATTACGAAATTAGTGGCATGCATGGCAAATCAGTTTCACGAAAGTAGTTTCGATATATGCGAAAGTAATTTCGTAAATTTAGTGTCGCAGTAGCCATGGCCCCATCAGCGTCAAAGCTTTATTGAAGTGAAACTTCTTTATCGAGGTTGGAAAAAAATTTAGTGTAACATTTTTTCGTTACGCGTCACATTTTTCGGTTACGCGTCACATTTTTCGGTTACGCGCCATGTTGCTTTTTGAAGTCAAACTTCATTATCGGCGTTGGAATGAAATTTCTTTATCGACGTATGGGAGAAATTTTGTAGCAAATCGTCACGTTTTTCAATGATAGTAATAATTCTATAACAATTAATGAAATTCTATAATAATCTTCGTAGTAATAAAGTAAAATGAAATATTTGTATTCATGTCTATGATAATAAAAGCCTTTTGTTAAACTTCATCTAATTTAACGAATTTCTGTAAAGTTGCATATAGTAGATCATTTTTCGAAAAACAAGATCATAAAGAAGTTTCACTTCTTACGTGTGTACACCTAGTACACGCACAATTTTTTTTTTTCTTTATTCAATATAGCTAAAGAGATGCTTCTCTATAAACTTAAAATGCTGCGTTTTTTGTCAACTGGAAATAGTTTTAAGTCATTATCATATGAGTTCAGGGTGGCATCATAACATCAAAATACGCACAGCACAGGCACTTTCGCGACACTAGTTTCACGTCGCATCTCCATTAGTCGCATTTAACTAATTTCCAAAAAATCACGCAGGGCACGAAACTCATTTGCATTGAAATTATTGTATGCATTACGAAAATATTGAATTACACGTGAAATTGTAGGTAAAAATAATGTCACGAAATTAATTTCTTGCTTGATTTCGTAATGTAATTGCGGCTTAAGAATACTTTACTTCAAATTACATTTAGACCAATTTGAAAAAAAAAAAATAATAAAGGTTGGGCACAGCTCGTTTCTTCTACAGTTAACTCTCTATAACGTAATTCGTTATAAGGAAAATATCTCTATAACGTAAAAATAGTTACATTTGTTTCGTTTAACACAAAACCATACATTAATTTATTCTTTATAACGCATCAGACATTCTCTATAACGAATAAATATTTTTATATAGACATCAACAACATACTTAAGTGTAATTGTTTTTAAGATCAGATTAGAGAGGTCATAAACAGCCTTCTCGCCTTTGTTATTGTTAATTGCATTAACACGTGTGCCATTATTCTTAAATTACATTGCCTTTAGAAAATTTTGGTCTCAGTTCCTAAACGCACCACCGTCACCTATCGTGTATTATCAGTCGTAAACTTTGAAACTGTCAAGATGGCCAGTAAAAGAAAAGCGTTATGTGTTTAGAATAATTTACCTATTGATAGTAATAAAATTATAAATTATTGTAATTGGTTAAATTTGTATTTTTTTCTATTTACTCCCAATAAGAAAATGTTCGGTCCCTTGATATTCGTTATAAAGTGTTACACTGTTTTTGTTATAGTTGACAGTGAAATACCTGATGTTGATTCAGCAATCTCTTGCAGCTTCTCAGATCTGTGCCAATTTCTTCGCTATTCAACTCTCGCTCCAAATCAGCCAGGCGAGCTTTGGCGTCTTCCACGGCACTGAAAATAATATAAACGCTCACTATAAAGTTGTAACGCGTCAGACTCGCGTTGACGTAAACAATATCACACTAAGACCAAGATGCGTACACGCAACGCACACATAGAAGCGCGCGGCTTCTAATTCGAAGTCACACCAAGCTCGTGGCAGCCCAATGGAAGAAGTTGGCGTCCACAAGCCACTTCGACAAGGCTAAACCCGTGCGTGCGTAAAAGCATCAATTATTGCCCCTTCCCGATAAAAAAGGCCCGTAGGCTCCGACATGTCCTAACAAATCCGGATGATTCAATCACGGTAGCTAACGGCAAATTAAAAGCCGGCAAATAGTCGAAATCAGATTCATTTAGGATGCTGTTGCGACTGCCATGCTTTTGCAGTGCCTCGGGAATGTTTTCTCAGGCTCATCAAACTGATGAATTCTGGGAAAACATTCCAATATTACTATTAAGTAAATATCTTGCCAGACACATAGGTGCGAGCGCGAGGTCGCAACAAACGGGTGCGAGTGAGATAGGGCGCTTAGTCTATATTTTTTATTGGATTAAGATATCCAATAGAAAATTATTACGGTCATAGTAATGTTAAAAAGTATATTATAACACTAAAAAGTACAAAAATGTATTGTTACATGTAAAAGAAAAATATTTAAAAAATTTGAAAGATATTTCAATGAACATAGCAACGGAAAACTTGTGGATTCTGACGAAATTTAAGTGGAATTACCGTCTATGCTGTCTCTGCTGCGAAGCCTGCCGCAACTTGCTGCCTTTGTCCCTCGAAGCTGCAACAAGCTGCTCCCAGCTGGTTTGCATCTTGTCGAGCCGTTCCGAGATGTTTGCAGCACGACTCGGGTCGGATTTTTGAAGAGACTGACCAATCTGAAATTAATGTTGCTGTCATTTCTCATCTCAAACGTCAAAACAGAGGCAAATCAAGAAATATGTGAGGTAGTTATGTGATATAAGAACTAACGAACTATCAGATTTTGTTATTTGTTTTTAAAATATTTCCTTGTTTTATTAATAAATTTTACTAGTTCAAATATGTGTTAGTAGTGGAGTAGTCACTCCAATCACCGTGTAAAGCTGGGCTGATTTCTTCGTGAAGTTATTCTGTTTTTGAAGTTATACTTCTTTAGGCACGTTATGAAAAATTGATGAGAGTGAAATTTTACTTTGCGCTTGCACCGTGACACAAAATTATCAGTATGGGCGCCGAGCGTGCGCGAGCGAGATGGGAATAAGACAATCTACAAGTAAAAAGAAATAGAATATGCGTGAAGTTAGCAGCTATGCCAAGAATTTTGAATGACCATAATGACATTTGTAGTACCTTTTAAACAAATAAAGGAGTTTTAATTATGTTTTCAAAGAAATCTAGCAATGCTTTTTCACAAAGACCTATTGTTACTTAAAAAGTTATTAAAATTTTTTTGTTATTAAATTGAAAATGTTAATATAATAAAATAATAAATAATAATAATTATTATTAATATTAATTAATAATTGAATAATATACTAAATATTAATTATTGTTAAATTATTAATATAGAACGTCTGAGTACATTTTTTATTTATAAAATACTTTTAAATTTACATTTATCATTCAAATCAAGGGCTGAGGAGAAGAACTGGAAAACCCTCCTCTTAAAATCGCCAAGGTGTTATTACAAAACCTTTTTTAACTGCACGCTCCGTGAGGCTATTTAAAAAAAAAAAAGTACCTGCAGCCATTACATTATTTTACTCAACACATCTTAAGTCGAGTACTTTTTTTGATGGCATAAAAAAAAAGTTGAGCATGACGCATAGACCCGAGCTGAAGCCCAGCTCTGTACGCCGAGAGCAAAAAACGTATTTGGCGAGACAGCGTTGAGGTATTTTCTACCGATGCTAATAAATGGACGGGAGCGTCCAAGTATTACGTAACGCAATTTATTGATATTATTGACCCCCCCACGAACTCGCCGTACGTCAGTAACCGCCGTAGTGACTCATTAGTTACTATTATGTGGTGTAAGTAGAAAATAATATTAACAATAACGCGTAATTCAATCCCCGCCCCGCATCGTAACGTTTTACAAAAGGACCCCCCCCTCCCAAAATTCGTTACGTAATACTTGAACGCTCCCCTACCCGGTCAGTTATTAGATAGCCTAACGTTAACCAACATAAAAAGTAAGTTGATATGCTGTTATGGTTACATTTATACAAGCCACAACGGTTTTCTTAAGTAACATATTATGATTTTATTAAGTTACTATAAAATAAATTAATTAAATATGATAAATAAGAAATCCTCAATCAGTAAGGCGGTGATCAGAATGGGAACACGGAAACATATGACAAGCAGAATCAATACTTACACTTTCAACGTTCCTTAGTTGCTTTTCATTGGCTTGCAATTCTCTTTCAAACGCTTCGTGCTTCTGCAATTTCCGCTCCAAATTGGCCAATTCCCTTTAATAACAGAAATGCTTAAATCTGTTTTCAATTTATTAATTTCCTGGTAAAATACGGTAGTGAATTTTGGGTGTGAGAAAACAATGATAGATAAACGCCGTAGAAATGAGAGCGTTCAATTTGGTGGAACATCGCGTGATAGGTACGTGAACAGTATGGGTGGGTACGTTATGACTAGGATTCCCAAGGGAATATTGGATGGTGAAGTCGGGTCAGTAGGCATCGTCGTACGTACTATACGTACACGACGTACGTATAAACGCGTATGCAAGATCCTAAAAGTGGTTGAATAGGTGTCAGTCTGTAGCAAGTGTAGCAAAACATAAATAAATACTATTAATTTTTCGTTATTTAAATATTTTAATATTACCTATAACTTTGATCATTGGCTGTTTGTGTTTTGTCTTGTATCCACGCTTGCAGTTCTTCGGTAGACGCTACAAACTGAAAAAAATACAGTTTTATATTTGGGAACAATTAATCGTGGAAATAATTGGTTAGTGACCAAAAGCTTTTGAACACATATGCTGGTACCCATTAGCTGATGATGGAGCTCGAATGTTGTCGAGGGTTGCTTAATTTTTTTGTATTGTTATATAAAAACCGTGCATCAGATTGGAGATTCAACGCGCAGCCGTTGTACATATTCTAAATTAATAGTAACATAAATATTATAAAGATTTGATACTTTGTGTGTTGATAAACTTTTTTTCACCAATGCTACATTATGAACGAGTAACATATAGTATCAACCAATAGGAGTGGAATATCAAGGAACAAATTGTTTCCTTCTAAGAGCTACACTTAGATTTTTCATCGACATCAGGAATAACGGGTTTTAATTAAAACATTCTTTTGCTAGTCAATATAAGCTACGACCGAATTAACGTGGGGGCAAGTAAACCCCAAGGCAAAGCTCAACTAACATTAGCGAAGATATATTTTGTTCTCGACGCTGAAGTGAATCAATGTGTGTATTTACCTGTTGATGGGCCAAGTTAGCTAAAAGCGCCCGTCTTCTCTCTGCTAGGGCGTGACGAACTTTCTCCCTACGTTGGAGCACAGCTGCACGACGAGCTAGTATACTGAAAAATAATAAATAGTTTATCAATAATATAAAATGAAACCCCGGCTTTGTCTTTTAAGGGGCTTTAGTAAAAATTATCGAAGATTTTAGTTCAAAAAAAGACAAAAATAAGGAACAGCAATTAAAACACATCAGGAACCGGAAGATCAATCCAAAAAAAAAGGATAAGCATCAAAGGATTTTTTATCAAATACACCTCCCCCAAGCCGGCTGGTCACCGTGGGGGTTGTCGACCGCTCCCTTTCAGCTCAGAAACGACATGACAAAAACATCAATCACTCAAAACCAAATGGAAAATAAGATCACCACCACTCACCATTCTGAATTGTCTATCATTGAGAACACTGGAAGAAGGAAAAGAGGAAGACAGAGTAAGAGATGGGAAGTCGATATAAAGAGAATAGGAGACACATCTTGGATAAAAAGAGATTAGAAAGGAAGCATCTGGAAGAGGCCTATGTGTCACAGGACGCACTGATCTCCTAAACATCTTATGTATTAGATTAAGATAGGTTATATAACTAAAATAATGTTTATATATTATATAATTATATAACACTGAGTGTCAGCAATAAACGCTTTATTATATAGATAACTAGCTGACCCGGCAAACGTCGTTTTGCCATGTATATCATTTATAATAAAAATAGGGGTTGATCATAGAGGGGTGAAAATTAGGGGTTGTATGTATTTTTAATGCTGTATCATATAAAAAAATAATCTACAAATTAAAAAAAAAATTAGGGGTGGACTACCCCAAACATTTAGGGGGATGAAAAATAGATGTTGTCCGATTCTCAGACATACCCAATATGTACACAAAATTTCATGAGAATTGGTCAAGCCGTTTCGGAGGAGTTTAACTACAAACACCGCGACACGAGAATTTTATATATCAGATTTAATATGACGTTTTCGAGACATTTGTGGATACACATACTTAGAAAAATACGTGAATATGAAATTCTAGCATTTATTTGTAGGTTGATGACTTACTGTTCAGTCGCGTAATGTTCCGGCTTCTGGGTCGCAAGCGCAGTGGCCCGTTGCGCGAACGCACTCACTCGTTCGTCTTGAGCGGCCAAACGGGACTCCGCCTCTTCTTGACGTTTCACTAACGTCTCAGCTTCGTCTACTGATGACTGGATGGAACACATTTAGAAAATTTCTAGAAAATGTTTGTTATCGCTCTTATAATATACAAATAAAAGAAAATACAGCTTTTTCGTGGTACAAAAGGAGATGGAGAGTGGGGGACTAATTTCCGGAACGCCGATTTGCTGCCAGACAGACGGTTAACACACGGCGATTAGCCAGGTACGGCCATCGCGTTTAGGTTCTTTCAACTAAAACTTCCACCCCATACCACCAGTTCTTGACGAAATGCCGCAAATCCACAGGGTGACACCACTTAAGCAGGCAGATAAATTTTACGGATCAGATCCTGAACTTGCTAGATTTATTCTCTATACGAAAACGAAAAATACCCTCCCCCTCGAATAGAATGAACGTGGTAATTCAGCTATATAATTAACACAAAGTTCAGTAGATGGAATCAATGAATTGTAAATGAGAACATTCTAGTTGAATTCGATATCTAGTATATTATAAAATAGGTCGATTTTTTTTTTATTTTAGTCCATCTGCAATCAGCCTCATGGCTTTTATCAGATTATATAATAAATAATGGCGATTAGGGAACGCAAATCCAATAATTTAATAAGTCGATTTTGCCAAAAAAATGAAAGTTAAACAAAAGGCAAAACAACAGGTAAGATTTTTGGTTTTTAAAATATTTTTATGCAAGAATAAATGATTCATGAAACGTCGTGAAGCGCATCAAATCTGCCCCTTCTATTACCACTACCACATAGTACCAGATAAGAAGAAGAAATGATTCAACTCACCCCGTACTCCTGGTAGTCCAAGAAGGCCTCATGCCCACCGCTGGAGGCGTCTATTTGATCTGCCTCACGATTGAAGCTCTGCAGTTGTAACAGCTGCTTCAAATACTGGTCCTTCTCTTGCCATTCTAAAATAATCGTTCTTTTAGAAAACTCTTTCACACTTAACTTCTTCTTGTTAAACTTGATTCGGACTCGGCTCTGGGACCCAAAATATAAACTCAAAAATATATCGTACCTCTATGGACAGCTTTTTGCTCGTCTTCCAACTGTTGGATTCTGTCCCTGACGTCAGTCAATGAAGGGTTGTTCCCCAACAACTGTTTGCCAAGACCTATCACTTCTTTGAACCTATAAAATAGAAATAACATTCAAAAATTCGTCAATAGATTTAATAGGAATTACTACTTGGTATGACTTTCAGGTTTCAAAAACTAACACAGATGTGTCTGTGCACGATCATAACAACTTTCAGCTACACTCTCAAATACATGCGCATACACACCCATTCACACACTTAATTTGTAACACTAACTTTTAACTGTTTTAAACATGTACCACGTAATAATTGTTTTCTAGTTACCCACAACACAGGGACTAGCGATATATGAAATCTGTCACAACCCTTTTGTCATAAATGAAGCTTTTATTATTATTCGTTTATCTATTTATTTAACAAAAAAGCTACCATTACAGATTACTCCAATGCGGTAACTATTTACAATTACTTCACAAACAAACATACAAAAAGCCTATTTCTTACAGTAGAGGAACTGACATGAAGCAGAGTTTTTGTCAGTTCACTCAACGGACACTTAAAAACGACTGTTAATACATGAAGTTCATTATCAAATCAATCAAATCAAAATACGTATATTCAGTTAAGATGCGTCTTAGCGCATGCTTATGAATGTCAAAAACGTTTACAACATTCGCGAAAGAGCAAGACTACGCCATCCGTTCGCAAAACTACCAGGAGGCCTTGTTCTGAGAAGAACGGGCAAGAAACTCAGCAAGTTTTACCTCCCCTCTAAGTACATTACAATTATTCAAAGGTAAATGTCATATATGCTAAATGTTTTATTTAAATTATTTATTACAAAACAAACGTCTACCTATCTCTTTGCAATAAACTCAATAGGTATTGATTCATAAGGTTAAGGGGTAAGTTATACGTCAAGATTTTGTGTAAAGTGCTTGTGCGACTCTCATCCTTGAGGTGCACCGATGAACTTTCGTTCTATGTACGCATTTAACATTCGCTCGAACAGTGAAGAAAAATATCGTGAGGAAACCGGCTTGCCTTACATGCGTTAGGCACAGTAGCCTGATCGCGGACTTGCCTATTAGATTAACTATTGATCATGAAACAGTATGAAATCTGAGGCCCAGACCTAAAAAGGTTGAAGCGCCACTGATTTATTTTATTGATTCGACAATATATGTGACATATGCGACTCGATATATCCCATAGGTCCAAATATAGGCATGTCCTACTTTAAAGGTAGCTTTACTTAAAATCTTTTAAAGCTTGAATAGGGAGTGTTTTATAAATTTATTTCTTTTTAAAATAAAATATAGATTTAGAGTTTAGGAGGTAGTTATTTATAATTATAGTTCATAATAAAATATTACAAATTATTATCTTTCGGGAAAACGTTTTAAGTACATACACTAAAATACATGTTCGGAGCTGTCTTGTATGACATATATGTTAGATTTGTATCTCAGGGCCCTAGTCAAAATCTCAATATTTTATTATTTTAACAGACTTCAAATGTTTTTCATAGCAATACTTACTCGTCATCGTGTGCTTTGATATCGTCTTGTAATTCCTGGTGGTGTTTTACAAGGGCCTCTGCTGTTGCCACATCTTTAGCTGTTACATCGGAGGCCACTTGTTCGCGGACTTTCTGAAATTCATAGAAAAATTATTAGTTTGACCTGTATGTATATGATATTGTTGGAATAAGAGTATTTAATTTATTATCTAAGTATACCAAAAATCCTTTTAAATTAAATATGTTCCAATCCGAATTTCATCAAAATCAGTTCAGTAGTTTTTGACATATTATATCCATGTAATTCTGAATCGGATTGGTATTTTATTGTGTCACAATTCTTTTTGGTTTCATGACGAACCTGCAACCTGAGTATAAAATGATCTGAGGCCCGTGTACTAACCTGGACCCAATCCTGCAGTTGAGCACTGCTGTTTCCAAATATCTGATGTCCAACAGCACTTTCCAAACGGCTGCGCCTCTCCGCCGCTTGCGCATGACATCTCACCCACATGCTCTCAATCTCTTTCTGACGACCTTCTACGTTTGTACGCTCCGTTGGGTATTGAGACTTTACCCTAAAGAGAAAAAAAGGTTTTAAGCCCTCTTTCGTAGACCAAAGTACTAAGGCCGCGTCTCAAAAGTCTAGGTCCTACTTTTCCCAAATACGCATACGCTCTCATACGTACATCCTTTAAGGTACCCACTAGAAGTGGAGAGGAAATCACAGTTGTGCTAAGTTTAAATAATTATGAATTCTCATTAAAAACATACATGAGACAGAAAAAATAAAAAAAGGAAAATATATCACGCCTCCGTTGTACGCTGTTATTGCGTTGGAGTCCATTTACCAAAAAAACTTCGCAGGCGCATTCGAAACGGGACTGCTACTATTTCGCGTATCTCAAGAGGCAAGTTGTTAATACTCGCCCCGAAATCGTATATGATTAGTGTTATTACCCGTGTGGGATTGAAATTAAACTTATTGCGTGTGTATTTGGTTATGTACGTTTTTTAACTCAAATTAGTTGTGTACATACAGATGCTTGATGTTCATTAATTTTGTGTCAACCCAGTGCTCTTAATTAAAGAGTTTAGACTTAATATCCCCATCAAAAAACATATCATGTTCAAATACGTTATTTAATAGAACTAAAAATCTAGTAACATTAAGTTCACGTTTATGCTGAGAAAAATGGTTCATACACCTCCAAAAATATGTATCATGTGCTGTTTGGAACCAAATTATTATAAAATTCTATTGAAATGCCACATTATTAAATAATTTTATTTTACTCACGAATCAGCCAACAAAGTGACAGTATGGACTTTCTCCCTCAGAGGTTCCAATTCCCTCTCCAACTGCGCGTGTCTCCTCTGCAAGGCCTGCACTGTTCTGAGATCTGCGGCTGGAGCCGACGCTATCTCCAGCTGTTGCTCCTTCTCACACATCCAGTCCAAGGCTTCATCGCAAGTTCGATTGAAGAGTTCCACGCTAGTATGTTAAGAATATCGCATTTTTTATTAAGCTATTGCATAGATCTTATCGCGGGCTTTGAGCGCGGCGACCGAATCAAGAAATTCCGTAACGTAAAAATCCTAACACACGATGACGTAATATAGGTGCGGCCAATACGCGTTAGAGCGGGACAGAACGCATACTGCGTATGTATTCTATTCACATCTCTCTGACGAGATCGGTGACGTGACGTGCAGCCAGTACGCGTTAGAGTGAGACAGACTATATATGCGTGTTAGCTGAGTCTGGTAGAGTGGTAGATAGAATTAATATCAAAGAAAAAACTTGAATTAATATCAAAGGAAAAAATACTGCATTAATAAAATATAAACAAATAATTATAATTACATAAGTTGATAAAAAATGCTATGAAATAGGTTTACCGTGGCAGTCCCCGAGTGCCACACGTTTTTTTTATTTGTATTTCCGGTTTACCAGGAATCGAACGTAGAACCTCCATCTCACATTACTATATAATCAAGAAGTTTCTGACTGAATTTATGTATAACATAGATAGGGTGACGCAAACTTACCTAGAAGCTCCTTCCAAGCTCTTCTCCTTCTGCTGCTTGAGCCGCAGTAGTCTATCCCACTGCTGCCTCAACTGCTGTTTTCTGGCAGTGGCCTTCGCAGCCTGACTGTGCTTCGCCGCTACCAGCTCTTCAGCTGCGGCATCGATGCGTTCAAGACGTTTTGAAGCCGCGGAGAGGTCGGTTACGAATTTCTGAAAATATTACGTAAACACTATATTGGTGCTCTTTGATCTTCTTATTTGGTGATTACGTCAACCGTAATTTACACTTTTTACACATTAATTAGGGAGCGTACAAGTATTACGTCACGCAATTTTTGAAGATTATAGACCCCCCCCCATGTTAACCCACCTGTACCCAAGTATAGTAATACGTTTCGTGACCACCCAGTGACGATAACTAAAAGTTACCATTATGTGGTGTAAAGTACTGGAAAGTCGAAAATACAATCCCCGCCCCGCATCGTAACGTTTTACAAAAGGACCCCCCAAAATTCGTTACGTAATACTTGAACAGTCCCTGACCCACACATTGTCTGTGCTTGAAAATAAAATGAATTTTCGAGGATTCCTCCAAAAGTAATACGAGTATCTACCATCTTTGAGAGCTTTTCTTACTTTTGCTGACAAGAGGGGGCCGTAATACTTGAACCGCCTCTTATGAAAAACATAAAGTTCTTGGCTTTCCCAACACTTTTATATTTGTAAAACATACACTGGTGACAGGGTTTGAACGCTTACGCTGCTTCAGGGTTTCTTACTTTCTATCTTACCTCATACTTCCTCTTAGCATTCTCAACGCTGTCATCCTTGTCATCAGTTCTCAGCATCTTCTCTTTCTCTTTCATCCATTTGTCGAAGTCGTCACACTCCGCGAAGAAGCTGTATAACTTAATGGCGTCTTCTAGTTGGGCACGTCTGGCCTCCGAGAGTTGGAGTAATTCCGCTAAAAAAGGATTATAAGTTCAGTAATATGAAAGCTATTTCACTAATTTTGCGGGTCCAATGTGGATCCGAACAGCTAAAGAACGATTAGAAAAATTGGAGGCCTCTGTGTAGAACAAGGTGTAGACAAAATCGTCATAATCGTAGAACAATGTCGAATTTGAAAAAAATCCAAAATCCACTTTTTATGATATTTGGATACTACATTGACTTATTATTACGGCTACGAAAGAAAGTCCATTGGTGAACAGCCGGGGATCGAACCTACGACCTCAGGTATGAGTCGCACGCTGAAGCCACTAGGCCAACACTGCTCTGATTAAGTGTTTAACCAAATAAACTTACCATAGTGGGCGTCTATATGGTGCATCCGTTCGCCCACGGGTGGGACAGGAGCTGCTTGGTGGACTGTTCCACGTCTTCG